TACAACAACTTTGTCGAACAGCTATCAACATCAGTTAGAAAAGTTTCAACACGGTACGGACACGGTCAACATACATCATACGCTGCTTGGGGAGCTTGATAGATAGCAACGCAGGAGGTGCAGCCGATGATGTCAGCTTGGGTCCTCAAGGTCCGACAAAATTCAATGGCATTGGCGCTGTCAAGACCTCTCGTACTGTTATCCCAACATTGCAGGGGAGAATATCCAAGTGATGCCTCTGCAATCGTCACACGCTTCCTCTCACCACCACTCACACCGCGTACAAAGTCGTTGCCGACCCTCGTGTTGATCGTGTGAGAGATACCAAACATCGCCATGATAACATCTCGAAGATGCTCGGTATACTCTTGCTTAGATATCCCATTAGGGATATTCTTCGGGCATCGAGAGCGAGCAGCAAAGTAAAGGGTATCCCCGACAGTGAACTGAGGAAAGTGGTGATCAACTTCCGCTGTGTAGATTGCCTCGCCTCGGTAGATCGTCTTCATCTCCTTTGCCCGAATACCTCGATAATTTAGAGTGGCTCCATCGCTGACATAGAAGCCATGGGTGTCTCCCGCGATGGTTCGCAGCAAGGTCGAACAACCGGAACCTGGAGGTCCGAGAACACAGAGCATCTCTCCCTGGTGTATCAGGCCTTCAAAGTCGCGAAGAATATCCACTCTCTTTTTGTTGTCTCGTCCAATAACACGCCTGACCAAATCAACACCTTCGAGGAAAAAGTGGGCGACAGTCCTTTGGAAATCGACAGCTGAACCGAAACCGTAAACGTTGAGATCCTTGAAAGCGAGGCTCGTAGTGCGAAGCTTATTTCCGTCGGAAGCGTCCACGCGGGACTGGTAAAAAGCCTTCGCCCATTTTCTTGCGTTGAAGTCGTCGCTGCTTGGATCAAGCTGCGTACCAGCAGCAACGGGAAAGAGCGGTGGGCTTGCCTCGGAGTGATTGGTGAGCCGGCGAGCAAGACTGTGAAGCTGGGCCTCCATTCCTCCGATCTGGTCCTCGGAGTCGGAAGAAGAATGATTTACTGTGTCTTCGTGGAGGGTTGCCGAGTCTGCTTTGCCAACAGACGTCTGTACATCGATGCTCGTCGCCATTTCTTGATTAGACTTGTCGCTTGTAAAGCGCGGCTCAGTCATGGCAAGTTTCAGGGGCAGCAAGTTGCTAGCTCCTTTAGTCGATCACGACTCGATGATTAACAAGAGTGTGCAGCAATGAAAATGAATACAGTTCAAAGTTGAAAGATATTAAATAAAGTATTGACATGGAACATATCGAATTCAGGTATCTTAGGTCAGGGGCTTCTCTATATGTAGCCGTCTATCGTACGTTTCACAACGTGGCCGACCCCCATCCGGACATTGGCCGGACTCTGCCAATGCTTCCCCCGTGAGCCAATGACGCCGGAGATTGGCAGATCTGAATCAGATCTGTTGGCCGGACCCCGTGGAATGATGTAACGGTCATTGCACAGTTTCATGCTCAACATCCATCGGGACCGGGAGTGGCGAGTTGATTCGGACTTTGCCAAGCCGGGCTCTAACTTTGATCAATCCTAAAATATGGGTCAGACTCGAGAGGCTGAACGCAACTTGCTTCAATGTCTCGCTGTAGAGTTTTAGGCTTCCGGAATGGGCGACGTTCTTGGTCTTGACTGGACCTTCTGGGTCCGAAGTTTATTATTTCAGCGAGCAATGATAACGAGATACGAGAAGCAGGGATCAAGTCGTGAATTAAGCATGGCCAGCATGCATTCATATTGCTCTTGTCTCGGTGGCCGTCGCTCCCAAGTCGAAGTGAATCATCACCCAAGGTCTGACTCACTCTCTTGCCATTGCTCAAACGTTATTGACCAGCCAATCAATCGATCCGTAGCGTTTCTCATCAATGTGAACTGAGTGCTTCCATGATATGGTGACGTCCAGGCAGAAGAAGCGTCAAGACGAAAGAGTTCTAGCTCCGGTGTTTCGGTTCTTGGCAGAATCCGGATTAAAAATCTCTGACCGGGTTCCTCGGCCACCGGTGCCGGACTCAAAACCATCCGAGCCGTTATCCCACTATACATGCTCCCATCCTGGCTTTCAATTACCTTGGACGTCAAAAAAGTCCGCAAGGATATTGATAGAGGCTAGGGCCCGGTGATTCTGTAAGACTATTTGCCCCCCTTACAGAACCTCTCCACAGCTACTGTGGGCGGATCGACTGCCAGACGGGTTTGATCCTATCGGAGCAGGGTCTTCTGTCAAAGCCAAGATGTCCGGCTCTTCGGCACAGCTAAATGCATTGTCGGTAAGTTGTCTCAACTACCAGACACCTTGGCCCTTCACCCAACCATGCTGACAAAGCTCCAAGTGCAAGAGATGTAAGGAGAAGAAGGTGAGACAGTTCTCCTTTGGATTTTCTCCTTGTACGGCATGTTGAGTAATCCAATATAGGTACGATGTAACCGCCACATGCCACGCTGCAACAAATGCCTTGCATCCGAGTCTGAGTGCGTCTATCCTGCTCGGCAAAAGAGAAAGGTGACGAAACCAGCAGCAAAAGAGTATGTTTGCCGGTTTTCATTGTTTTGTATCTCATATAGCAACATAGATCAGCTAATCTAATTCGTCCAGTGGAAGCAATGTCAGCAACCAAGCCTTGACCAACATACTAGAACGTCTTCAAAAGGTTGAGCAGCATTGTGACGCTCTGCCAACAAGTATTCCCTTTTCTATTGCTCAACGTACTTTGGACTCCAATTCAGAGCCATCTCAGGGCAATGGAATTCCATTGCTTCCTATCAGTGCCATCCCTTCCGAGATTTCGTCGCCAAGCTATCTAGCCACTCCCCATAGCGACTTTTCGCTGCCATCGCTGCCAGCACCGGCTCCCATTGACGCCACATCAGTTCTGCATAGTGCCATCGAGCAGGTAGAGAAACTCATGCTCAGAAGTTTCGCAAAATCCGTGATTACAGAGGAGGTCCGAATACCCAAGGAAGTGGCGAAGCTATGGCTCAGTAGTGAGTCGGCTATCCTTCCATTGACATTTTCCCGTCGTCTACGACACTCCTACTAACAAGATTTCACTTATCCGGTAACAGACTTCTTTGATCAAATGTTCTCTGATCTCTTTCTCTCCCTGATCGACCGAAGGTTAATAGAAATGGTTCCCGATTTACTCGAACACCCTCAAATCCATCTCGATGCCGGAATTTTAGTGATATACTACGCTACTCTTTGGCAAGGAGGCGCCATCACCTCCACGCTTGACAGAACCACCGACTTAGGGAGCTTCGCAAGACTGGCTTATATAGGATGCCTGCGTGCCCTTCCTCTATGGCAGAGAGAGGCTACCGGTACCTACACAGATCTGTTAGCAGCCATAGCCATGGTAGGTTGCCTCTTGCTCCTCAGCACCCTAGTCGTGTTAAGCTAAACAGTGCAGTCTCGAATGGCAGGAGATTCTTTCGACTACGAGTTAGCCTGGAAAATGCACAAGCAAGCATGCGAATATGCACAAGCTCTCGACCTTCACAACCTTGATGATGGCGATGGACCCATTGGCAGCCATCATCCAAACATAAATGAAGAGAACCGAAAGGGATTCTGGGGCCTCATTCAAATTGATGCCTTCTTTCGCCTCCTTTTCAACAAACCTCCCATACTCACGGGGAACGTCTGGAAAGTCAACCTTCCCTGGTTAAACTCGGATCCCCTACATGATACCAGGACTCTTGATCAGATGCTTTTCATTGTCAGCTCTCGGGTTGCTCTCATCACATTGCAATTTTTTGCCATTCTAGAAGAATACAAAGATGAGCCAGAGGTTCTTGGTCCAAAAACGGAAGCTCTGTGCATAGAAGTCGTCCAGATATTCGATGAGTGGAAGCTGGTAAGGATCTGCCCAATAACCGACTCTCATATGATTGAAGGATAAAAAGCTGATTTTTTGTTTTTCAATACCAAGCCCTATGAGCAAATGTATTCGGCCAAAACTCCCTTCGAGGCCTTCACTATTGCTGAAGCAGCACTGACAGCTTATACCAGCGTCATCTTCATGCTACGGAAAATGACGGCTCTGGATTCCACCTCGCCCGCACCCATCTCGACGGATGGGGATGTTCGAGACTCTCCGGTGGCTCTCATCGCATCCTGCCACCTGGTGAAGATATGCTCTTGGCTATTGGATATGTGCGCTCACTCTGTCATGCTCTCCTGGACATTTGGCATGTACAGAGCGTATGCGCCTTTGGCTTATGTCATTGGTCATATTTTACGCGCGCCGGACGTGACACCGTTTTCGGAGGAGATCGAGGCGGTTAAAAGGATTTCAGCGGGTATTTTGGCGGTTTCCAAAACTGAGAAGGAGATGGTTCCCTTGGCAAACTCAATACGATATTTGAATGAGGAGATACAGAAAAAGGTGAGGGAGACGGAAGAGGAGTTGGACGAGTATTAATGAATTTTCTCCTAGACAATATGACATCTAGCAGTCGTGCTGGTCGCGCTCAAGCAGGGCCAGTCACATAATTAGTTCTTTATAGCCAAGAGATTTCACGATATTGCTTTAGCGAACTCACCTTTAAGGGTGGAAGTGTATAGATTACAGAATAAACCAAGTTAATGACACTGTTTCTAGATAGTCTCGTATTGGCTTCGCTTGGCAGACAGAGGGCGGAATCGACCCTTGGATGAATACAGCCTTCATGAATCGAGGCGGGGCAATCAAGGCGCAGTGCCCAAATGGGCTGAATCTGCCTTTTGGCTGCTTTTCTCCATTTATTTCCATGGTGTGGGCTTATGATTGCAGCTGCCAGGGTTCAGCATCCCACAGCCGCGGTATTTATGTCACCTTTCCACACTTAGCAATCCCGGACTATCAAATCTCATCGAATACCTTATTTCAATACGTCACAGGACTTCTTTCAGTAAATCAATAGAAGACACAACCATTTCGAGAACCTTCGGGGCAAGTTTAGCTGAATCGCTCGGAAGATAATGGCAGAGCTAGCTCTAGGGATTGTCGGTCTAGCTGGAACAGTTGATGTCTGCGTCAAGTAAGTTTGCATATCCCGATCTCAACTGGTGAATTGGTGCAGAAACACTCACAAAACAGGCTGGGAAAATATTTAGTCCAAGCATACAAGGATTATAGCCAAAGCGACGTCAAGCTCAATGAGCTATCTCTTCGTATGGAGATATGCTGGCTTCGTATCTCGAGCCAGCTGGAAGTCACGAAACACCTTGAAGGTGAGATGGACGACGAACAGAAGGATATCCAAGAACGTATTCTTTATGTTCTTCAATCCAAGCTACATGCCGCTGTGGTCGTCATTTCAAAGCCCGATAAAGCGAGCTCCAAAACTGCCAAGAAGCTGTACTACCTGACTCTCAGAGATGGTCTCGAACAATCGGTGGCTGAACTTGAGTCATGGCAAAAGAGGTTTGAGCCTACTTGGTTCCAGTTGGTCAAGGCTGCCCCATTGACTACCATTGACGGCATGCATAAGAACATATCACTTGGTAACTCCCGACATGCCGCAGAGCCTACACTCGAGGCTGTGAAGTTTCGCCGTGCTTTCGAAGATGGCCACCGACCCGTATTCATCGCGGAAAAGACTCTCGAGAGTCTAGAAAGACGGAGGATCCCATACTGCTCTGCTCAGCTTGCTGTTGACCCGACGGAGGGCAAGTATCATATAATAGATACAGTCTCTGCCGACATAGTCAAGGCAAAGGACGCGCGAGATCTCGCATCCCGTTTGCGAGACTCGAACCCGCTGAGTTCCGGAACCCTCAAGTGCAAGGGGATTGTTCGGCAGACGAAACAATCTAGCATGGCATTCATATTTCGAGTTCCAGACGGGTACACCAAAGTACGTAGCCTACGCGAACTTCTCCTTTCCGGCCAACCGCCCGAATCTCTCACGATGCGGCTTGAGATGGCGCGTCAACTCGTGACCGCAGTCTACTTCGTTCATCTCTACAATTTTGTCCACAAAAATCTCTCTCCCGAGACCATTCTGAGTCTGGAGAAGGAAGGCGAACGAAATGCTACTGTGTGCCTGGTCGGTTTCCAGGTTATCCGTCATGCAGAAGCGAAAACGAACACGTCCAAAGCAGACAGGAAGGAGATCCTATACCAGCATTCAGCACGCCAGGGGAGCGATTCGGTTGATTTTATAATGCAGCATGATATATACAGTCTTGGGGTGTGCCTTCTTGAGATAGGCCTATGGGAGCCATTAATGACCTATGCGCCCGATGGGACACAACAAACCTCAAGAATCATCGAACTTGAACAAAACGAATCGGAACAACCCGCTCCTAGTCTTATTCAAGAGCAACTAATCTCTTTAAGTCGGGGGAAGTTACGAGTTATAATGGGCGACAAATACAGCAAGGTGGTAGACACATGTCTAACCTGTCTGGATGCAGGCAACACCGATTTCGGTGATCCTAAAGAGTTCCAGGATGAGGACGGCGTCGAGGTTGGCGCGAGATATGTTAAGAAGGTCATAGATATTATTAGTGAAATATCTTTTTGAGTGTTAAGCGGAGCTGGAGGTTTCGAGGCTAAGCAGACTGGTACCAAAACATCCAGTCCGCCACACTGAGATTCAACTCGTCGCCAAAGCCAATATCGCCAACATCAAAGTGGCTATCAATCGCGTCCATCGATGTAAAGCCAGTAGCCCCCCCATCGGACGGACCTTGCTCGTTGCTCAATCCCTGTAACTGAGTAGCTTGGTGACTGGGCGCCTGAGAACTCAGCATCACAATGAAGTCCGGCTCAGGAGATGAAAGAGTAGGGGGGTTCACTCTCCATGCGTCAAGTGTAGCCTTGACTATTAATTTCCGGATAGCTCCCTTGGCTTCGGCGACCTCCCTGTGATCCTGATAAAAGTTTGCCATCTTCTCCCATGTTGCGTCAAGCTCCGCAGGAGGATAGAAGTCAGGTCTAGCCAGGCTGGTTAGAATACACTTCAATGCATCCCACAAAAAGAACCCTTTTATTTGCCAGTGAAATTTTCTAGTCGATGGGTTCCTATATATAGCGCTGTCCGTGTCAAGAATCTTATGAGCTAACACGCAAAGCTCCCTTAGTTTTGTGTTGTCGATGTCCTCATTTGCGCGCGGAGACATTCGGTTGCGAAGTCGCACGATGCTGGCAGCAGATCTCGCTATTCCAAGAGTGAAGAACTGGAGTGGATTGGTAATATCACAGTATCGGAGGTAATTCATCTCAATGGTTGTTTCGACCTCGTCCATGAGATCTTCAATCTCCTTCCCACTCTTAATCTCAAGGGAAGGGCCATAGTTCCTTACTGTGACTCCTGTCCGCGCGAAGAGGTTCGAGAGCTCTGCTTTAACGAGATAGAGTATCATCTCGGTGGCGCCCTTTTGGGCCTGAGGCGGCTCCTTCATCCCCGGGTAAATCTGATCATCGTTGATGTTAAGCGGCGGCTTGGTATCCCAGCTACCAGGGAGTATTGATATGCCGCTCCCTGAAATCTGACCTACTTGGGCATCGAGCGGAAGAAGCTGCCAGAAAAGCCTGCGTCGCATTTCCACATCGAAAGGACACAGCCCATCAGCCTCGCCATCACGATGGATCCCCATGCGTTGCGCAATGCGGACTGCTACCCCAGTAAGAATCCAATATGTATGAGGGTCCATTTCCGTACGCATGACGATGAGAAAGAGGACATAAGCTTGCAGAATAAGCATTTCAGTCGTCTGGAGCCACGACGCGTTGACAAGTGCTTGCCGTACTGCTGCTTGGTACATAGCCAGCAAGTCAGATCTCGATCTGTTGAACTGAACCAAGCACTCCTCTTCTGCCATGGAGAACACAGCAGAGTGATAAATTGAGAAGAGCAGGCACTCCTGGGCCTTGGAGGCAATGGAGAGCTGCCGAGAAACTGATTCGACCATCTTGGCTGCCGATGGGATGTGCAAAAGCTTGCACAGAGGATCAACATTGCTAACATGTGCCGCCCATAACTTCATGGCATCCAGATGGCTTGGGTGATAGGGGCCAAGACCTTGTGAGACGCCGAGGAGCATGTCAGATAACGGGTCCGACAAGGCAGTCGCGGCACCTGTGGAGTAACTCTGGCCAGCGAGAGCCTCTGCATTGTGGTCGCCGTGCCTGGCGAGCTCACGCATATCCATGTCGCCAGCATCGAGCCAAAGGCGGCTTTTGACATATCGGGATTTGCCATTTCCCGAAAGCAGCTTTCCTCCGCGTGAGCTTTCAGTTCGCGGGTTTTCAACAGAAGAACTGGTGCTGGTTGTATCGGCGGAAGGGCCAGAAATCCGGGGCGATGAAGACTGATATGGTCCTATTGCCGCTGACAAGACGGCGCTATTTGTGGCTGAAGTAGAATCTTCATGGCGGATTCTCTCTTGGGGACTCGGACGAAGGCCATCATGCGCGTCATCCACAGTAATCACATCTTCTGAAGGAATAGGCTTCCTTTTCCGCGGTCTCGGCGGCGGAGGCGCGCGGTAGACACAGTCCAGTTTCGCCTTGGTGCAGCTCGAGCAGATAGGTGAGGCCCTGTCGCACTTGACCTTCCTTCGGACACAGGACTGGCACGCATATGCGAGAGGTGGTATTGCGAGAGACGCGTTCTGCCCCTGCTCCTTGGCGCCAGCTGGAGCGTTGCTTGGCGCTGGCGCTATCACGACTGGCATTGCGCTCTGAACTGGGTCAAATCGGGTCACTAAAACCCCAAATCATGACGGGAACATGCGGGAATAAAACCTCCATTGGACGTCACCACGATCATCCAAGGGGCCAGGCCGAAGCAGGATGTTTTCCGGATCCGAAGTAAGCATTAGGCTGTCTGGGCGTGTTGTTGTGATTCATCATTCTTCTATTCAATCTTAAAATCATCTTACGTAACCGTAAAGGCCAATCAAAGCTTTCCAAATTACATCACACGGAGCAAATGCCGCTGCGGAATTCCGACAATTTCCAGGAGCGCTCAGATTGGCCAACAAGGTCTAATGCCGCCTGCTACTCAGGCAAAAGAAAGACTCTGGTATAAATTTGAATTATTGTTTGATTTATAATTAAATATCACTAAAAACAATTGTTCATATGTGTCTTTTTGAAGGTTGTGAGAAGCTCCAGAATAAGTGACTACGCACGTGTGTGATATATCATGAAGGGGGTGTGGTGAAAGTTATGAAAGTCAACCTCACCGCAGAATGACGATTTATGGAATACCATATGGCCAAACCAAATGAACAATTTAGAATACAAATTACGAAACATCTATACACGCACATGTATTTCGTATTTGGATTCGCTCTTCAGTTATTCTTCCCAATCTATTCACCGCGTTGACAGTAGTAGTTGGCTCTAGGGTAGTAAGACTCAGCGCGATCGGTCAGACCCCAATTTAGACCCGCCACTCTGTATTATAAATAGACTTTTACATAAGCATACCAGTATTCGGCTCGACTTCGGCTTAGCAACATTGTTTGTCCGGGAATTGCTTCAACGTGTGGCTGGAGCCTGTGTGGCTGAGGCTACCTCGTTATTTAGTGAACTTTGCTCTTGAAAGAAGGAATTGCGTGTTACAAAAAAGTCTCGTATCAAAATCGAAACAGTTTATTGGAAACAAAATTGAGAAATCGCATCGAAGATGCCAATAGAGCGTTTCGTACTCTTTTCTTAATATTTTTTATCACAGAGTGCCTAGGTATATCTGATCAAGTTAAGGAATTTCTACTAAGCTTTAAACGCTGTGCTCAGATAATTCACAGATAGAGAGTTTTAAGAGGACTTTGTAACATGGTTAAGGGTATATTTAGGCTTTCTAGAAGAAATCTTTCATTTAGACCTCTATTACCTAGAACCTACTCCTTAGACTGAGGAAATCTATGTTTACTACTGTACGAATATACAAATACACTGAACTAGAGGACTTTCTACTTTTCGATCACGTGCTCCCAGATAGCAGCTACTGTCTTTGAAGAATTCTTAGGGATTCGCTTGAATCCGTCCTTGCGGTCGACATAAGTTAAACCGAACTGAGGCCCGTAACCGAAATTCCACTCCAGGTTGCTATATCATGTAAAGTTCGATTAGTATCAGAGTACTTTTTCCTTCTTTTGAGAAACCCAAGTACTTACTCCAGCAAGCTCCAGCAATGATAGCCGGCAATTTTCGCGCCTTCTTTCTTGACTACGTCGCACAATGCACCGATATAAAGGTCAAAGAACTCCTGTCTGTACTTGTCGTTGACGATATCCTGGATAGAAAACTTGGACTCGTCTTCGACAGGAAAGCCATTTTCGTAAACGTAGATCGGGATGTCAAGTGGCTCGGCGTATGTTTTCCAGACATGAGTAAGCATCTTGGCAAAGCCCCAAGGGACTTGAGAACCGAGTTAGCATAAAGCGTTCACAAAATACTGGCGTCGTAAGGATCATGCTCTCGACCTTGACTAACCTGTATGTGGGTGTCCGTTCTCGCCGCGTCGACCAATAGCAACTCCATTCTTGTAATGTGTCTTTTCCACATCGTCAAGATCGCGGAAATTCGTTTTGGTATAAGGCTCAAATAGTTTCCCAGTCGCGTACATCGTTCCATAGTGGTTGATAGAGAAACTGAATTCTTGTTAGCGAAGAACCGTGCACTGATAACTTTTGGAATGATAATGGGTCACTTATTTACAAATCAGCGGATCCCTTGACAAGTTCAAGTTCTTCTGGCGTGAGCTTGGGAAATACCTCGCCGTACTGGTCCCAAGAGCTGGTCTGAATTCCTTTAACTATTCAGCCGGAGTTAGTGTCATGTACACGCCTTGAAGACACAGGCCTAAGAGCCCAACGACGAAACACCTACAAATTGGCAAGGCCCACCAGCCCAAGGATCTTTCTTCCGCAACCTTGGCAGCCTTAATTGCCAGCTCTGATTCATCTAGTGGCTCAACCCAATCATAGTTCTAATTCAAGTCAACAAAATAAGTCACAGGAACTGTAAACGGCGGATATGCGAAATGAAACTTACTAGGGCAATACCAATTTGCCCTTTTTGATGAGCTTTGAAAGTGTCCTGATATAGGTTTGCAGTATGTCCATGGACCAAAAGACAGTTGTGGCCAACCCTTAGTACGACATTAGCGCTGGCACCATACGGATCCCTCAATTTTCTTGATGGGCAATGGCTACTTACCTAAAGAAGTCCTGTCTTGTATAATTCTTCACAAGCCCATCAGGCGCTAGTGAGCAAAAAATCCAGGGCTAATACTCAGACCGGTATTAGATCTCTTTGCTATAAACTGTTTATCATTGTTACCCACCTCGTTGATTGTGAGCCATCTTTTGACCCGGTCGCCAAATCTTTCGAAACAAAGCCTGGCGTAAGAGAGAAAGTCTGCGATAAGAGGGGAGGGATCACTGGAAGCAAACCCCTGATATGCTTCATCGAGAGCGAGAGGTGTATCGTAGTGGTGTAGAGTTACGGTCGGCTCAACCCCAGCTTCGATCAAAGCATTGATCTGATAAAGAGTCAGTCGCTTTATGTAGCTTGAAATGGGAGAAGAACTTGTAGATAGGTGTACTTACAAGATTGTTATAATAACCTATCCCCTTTTCGTTGATTGGGTCGTCCTTACCCCCTGCGGTCATTGATTAGTTAAGAATGAGAACATGAATGGTATACCAGATGACATACCAAGTGGCTTGATACGAGACCAGGAGATCGAGAAGCGATAGGATTTGGCCCCATACTGCTTCAAGAGTTTCACGTCTTCTTGCCAAAGGTCATATGAGCGACAAGCATCGTCTCCTTTCTCGGGCTGGTCTTTTAGAAAATCGTCCCAGCTGCAAGGGCCTCTCCCGTCTTTGGCAGTAGCCCCCTCAATCTGATAGGCTGCGGATCTGGACCCAATACTTAGTATATAAGAAAGTCTCTCAGTAAATATAACTTACGCATATCCGTGGAGAAAGTTAGATGGAAGGACAGCCTTGAGATCATGACGTTCGATGATGGGAACGGCCATGTTGTTTTTGTACTCGCTAAGGGTATAAGGAAAATTGCCTGAATGAAAGATTTTAAGTTGAAAGAAGACAGCAATCAACTTCTCACGTTCACTGCTTTTTGAAAGTTTTTTGTTTGATGGGAAATGTCAATCCCTTTCTGACTTAATGCAACCTAAACCTGCATCTCCTCTGCAATGTCATGACTATGAACTGGAAAGACAGACTAAACTTGTGCCTTATTAAAGCCAGGGTCGTCTGATCTGTCAATTTGGTTGTGTGTGCTCCAACGTTCGTTGCCCCTAACCCCTACCGCTATCATCCGCGTCCGTCGCACCCGTCGGAGCCGTCGGACGCGTCGCCTCCGTTGGACACTTGAGATAAGGCGGCCGGTGCCGGCAGTCCAGAACATGGGTGGCTCATGTGGGCCATTAGCAAACTCAATTCTAATCAGCTTTTCATATTGGCTGCTGCAGGTCAAATATTGTCTCATGGGCTAACAAGAGGTGGAATCCTAGCTGTGTTTGGTATGTTTTGGTTGATAAACCGCACAGTCAACAGTTTGTTTGCCCCCCCAAGATGTCTTTCGTGCACTCAACGGACCTGTGATCTTGCAGCAACCTCATGACTCGTCCTTGTCTGGACTGTTGCCCAGATAGCACGTGTCCACTCTCTCCTTATCCTGCATGGATCTGGGGAGACTCTGGGGTAAAATTACGGGGCGATCAGAACACTCGACCTACGAGGACCATCTTGTTATCTCTTTTACCTTTCGATTAGGAAAGGAAGCTAAGATACCCATTGAGGTTATCAAGACGGGCGCGGCCGGAGAGGTAAGTGTCATTAGGCACCTTGAGAGGAGTATAAAACAGTCGGCACCTCGCAACAGTCCTTTTTGTTTCTGCTCACCACCACAAAACCCTACAACTAACAAAATCAAGAGCTATATATCGACATCATGTTTGAATATCTGAAGACTACTACGGCTACCGGCCTGGGATGCATGTTCCTTGTCTCAATGGGAGCCTTTCTTTTTGTAAGCAGCCCTCTCATACATGGGGAGTGACCTTTCACAACCAATATACTCGGCCTTATCTATCAGAGGTATCTAATATGGAAATGAATGGTGTATAGGGCTTCGACAATGGATGGTGGGGGACCATACAAGGTGCAGAGGCTTTCCTTCGTGCTTTTGGATCTTGTACCCTGGTAGATGGGTTAGAAACTTGCAATATTAGCACACCTCAAAAAGCTGCTGGTAGCTCTGTTCAGTCTGGCGGTATCAGTACGTATCTTCTACAATCATTCTCACCAACCCTCTTTCCCATTGCATTCCATCATGCTCTACCCTAACTATAGCGCACTGACACTTGCTCGTCTGTTTAGTGGTCGGTAGCCTTGTAGCCATGGAGCTGAACAAAGCTATCGGCCGTAGGAAATCGCTCGTTGTTACCGGAATGATCTCCATTGTCGGCATCGTGTTGGAGATAACTAGCGCCATCGGTTCAGCTCGTTTCACTCAGTTCGTCGTCGGCAAGACTGTGGCCTCGGTGGCCATGGGCTTGTGTGCCAGCATTGTTCCAATCTACCTCTCCGAGACGTCCTCGAACGAGGCTCGGGGATTCGCGATCAATATGTACCAGAACGTCCAAATTATTGGGTACTGCCTCGCTGCGGGGATTGTCTACGCTAGCTCAAAGAGAGATGACGCTGCGTCCTATATGATTCCGATTGGTTTGCAGTTTTTGGCACCAGTGTGCATGGTTACACTCTCGCCACTTTTACCTGAGAGTCCGCGATGGCTTGTTTGGAACGGGTGAGGATACTAAACTGATGATGATTACGAAAAGATGCTTAAAGAGTCATGACTGACGATTTACAGCCGCCGCGATGATGCGATACGCTCCGCCTCACGTTTATTCGGGACCAAGACGAACGACTTCGACGCCGAGAAGTATATAAGAGAACTTGAGATTGCATTCGAGAAGGAGCAAGCGAACCCCGAGGTCTCCTCTTGGAGAGATCTATTCCACGGACCGGATTTTCGGCGACTCCTCATCGCGGTGGGCATCCAGTGCTGGCTGCAGGCCCAGGGCTCCGGGTACATTGTGAACTACATGGTCTCATTTCTGCAGGACAGCGGCACCTCCGACGTCTTCCCCTTCATCATGGGCCTCAACTTCGTCTACTACGGCGGAATCCTCACCGGGCACTTCCTACCAGACAACCAAGGCCGCCGACCCGTCATCATATACAGCACAGCCGCAAATGCCGTCTTCATGCTTGTCATTGCCAGCATCAACACCGCGGTATCGCCGTCGACCCACACGTCTGGGGCTGCTTCGGTAGCCTTCTTGTTTCTTTGGCAGCTGTCTTCTGGCGTCATGTCCCCTCTCATCTGGATTATCTGCACTGAGGCTGCTCCAACTCGTAACAGGGAACGGGTTCTGTCCATTGCCGTATTCATTAGCTTTGGTGTCTCCCTCATGATCACCTCTGTCTCGCCGTATCTTCAAGACAAAGGCTACGGAAATCTTGGGGCGCGGATCGTGAGTTAATATGTATCCCCATCTACAGAGTTGGATTGCTGACACGTTTGAAAACAGGGCTATATCTGGGGGGCTGCCTCAGTGTTAACTTCCGTCTGGTCCTATGTAATGGTGCCCGAGTCCAAAGGCCTGTCACTGGAGCAACTCGATTATCTGTATGAGCAAGGTGTCCCTGCTCGCCATTTCGGAAAATATCACTTTACCGATGCAATTCTTCCGGTTGAAAAGGCCGAGTCTGAGGTTCAAGTTCAAGATGAGGTCGTCTTCGAATCAAAGAAGCGCTGAAGGTGGATGGAATATTCTTCCGATTAGTAGGATGCTGTGTAGCTGGTGATCTAGAAAGGGTGGCGTAGGTAAGCAAGTGGGTGAAATAAAACATGGCACATCGAGATAGTTCGCTACTAAAACTCAATACAATATCACAGTAAATAGCCTAGTCCTGAATATAATATCAAGCTAAATATTATAGAATAGTTTATTATTCTTTTATTATTCTCTTCTTATTGTGTAGTTAAATAATGAGGTCCCTGTCTCACGCGGAAAGAGCTTTGGTGTGCCACGTTTTATTTCACCTACTTGGTAAGGTTGTGTAGTATTTAGCTCCTTTTATTTCTCTACAAGTTTCAAGGATGAAGATCGGCAAAGAAATCTAGAAAGTGATCTCTCTCCGTCATCTCCGTCCCTTCAATGTTGAAAGATAGGTGCATCGTATCTAGTTCGTCGTTCCCGGCCCATGACGATGGCAAAAACATGAATTCGTCCATATTTTCAGTGTCAAGGTCCACACCATCCTCACTATTGGAGTTCCCGGTAGCGTAAGCTGCGAAATCCTCAGCAGGTTGCTCAACTGGGGATGCGGCCTCGCCTGAATCCTCCTCAGCACCTGAGCGGCGGCAAGATTGAACTAGACGGACAATTTCTTGTTTGGTTATGCCGGCCAACGACGGCCGACGACCAGCTATGATATCATTCTCCATTGAGTAGAGGTGTCGGATCAACTTTGCTCCCCGAATGCCTATCCCTGACTGGTCTGCCACTGTTGACAAGAGTCTTACCAGTGTGATCAATCGACTGCGCCGAGCCAGAGCATCCTCAGGTGTGCGTCTATCACTACTTGCTTTGACAAGATCAAGCGCCATGATAAGCCCAGCGGCAACGAGCCAAATTGTCACGTTCCAAAGGCGGAAAAAGGTGCTCGGTATTCCCTCATCAAACAGGCTTAGAATCGTGCGAGCTGCGTCGACACAAGCGTTGTGGGTTTGCGCAAATGATTTATCACTCAGAGACTTGACAAAGTATGCACGATGCACTAAATATGATCTGTATGCCAAAGACATACCGATTATTCGTATGGCGAAGAGAGTAGTCGACGGGGACGAGTCCTCGACCCGGAGCTGAGAAAATGAAGCGTAAAGGTCATCTAGTTGACTTGATGCCTTGAGGACGGCATCATAGGATGGATTTTGGTATGGCTGCAGGGTCCCATATAGATCGTATAGTATTCTTGACGAGTGCGAGGTAAACAGAAGATATGTGAGCGAAGTAAAGTTGGTAGATGTCAGAGCGGTAGGTAAGCCATCATCAGTTATGCTAGGTAATGCCGTATCAAACTGATGTGGCGCGACATCTGGAATGGTAGACCGTTAGATGAGATTCTTGGGGATAGGAAGTAAGATCAGTGTCTTCTTACACGAGTATCTGTGGTACGGCGTGAAATACCACTCGGTCTCAACCAATGTCCACCAGGCTCTCCGGCCCATTTCGCGTAGAATAATCGCATCAGTCGATCCCGTTATTTGACTCCCAAGAAGATGAAGATTGAGAGCCCTTGCAGTTCCAATGTTGATCGCGAACATGGATCTGTGCGTCTTGGAATTGCCCGACAGGTGAAATGCATAATTTAGAGTAATCATGGCCTGCAGACTCACAATCGATGGCTCTGCCATTCCATCGCAGCGATGAAAACTGGCGAAGCTGCAATCAAACCATAAAGATGCGAAGTCGCGAATGCTGGCCATCTCAAGAGGTGCGCTTGCTAATCGCTCATCGCTCAGCAGAAAGGCGGAATTGCTGAGGATAGCAAACAGCACGCTTAAGAACATGTCATCCTGGATCTCCTTTCCATCCTTCCAGAACGCGCCATAGGTCAATGTGATCGATGGTTCGTGTAAGCACCCACAGAACCAGTTGAGGTCTTGGAAAAATGCTTCCACAATCCAATCGCAATCCGATTTCGAAGGAAGGGCGGCGATACATGCATTGAAAGGCATCGGACTGTACCATTTCTTGCTGCTCTCTTGGCTTACTGGTTGACTGCCCGCGTTGTTCTCATTGTTATCCTGCCACCGGCGAACTTGGCCAATGTTGAAGGCAGCGTCCTCCATGGCACCAGCCAACCCACTCTCCTGGAAGTCGACGTTCTTGTCTCCTTCAGGAGGAGGATCACTGCTTCCCATACCAACCTTTGCTTCCACTGCTGCCAAGCGACTGCGCATCATGGCTAACTCGGCCTCCAACGTGTCTATTCTGCTGTCATCTTGGGTACCCTGGTGTCTGCGAGAGGGTGGCAGAGGGCGTCGTTGGCACATAGCCTCCTCGCCTCTCTCCCTGCAGGCACGACAAGGAACTCTCCTGTCACATCGAATTTTGCGCCTGCGACACTCGCCACAGCTCTGGAGTTTCCGAGACCGGGATGTCGCTAGTTCACCCAAAGAAGACATTGAAATATCTGTGTATGTTTGGAGCTTCTTTGTCCAGGGAATAAAAAAGGGGTTCGCCGTGATGGGGTCGGAATCGGCACTAACGCGGCTGAGTAATGAACGTTAGTAGCGTATTGTTTCCCTCTCTTTTCATACAAGGGTACCGCATTCTATTATCTTCGTTGAGTTAGCGAACAAAGGTAATAGCAAGAAACTCTGTACAATTATAGTACAGGTCTGTGCAACATATTCTGAATAGTTTATCTGTATAAAGAAATCCTGTATTGGTGCTGGTATAACAAAGAGGAAGTTCTTTTTCTTAGTCAAGGCGTCTTACTTCTTTCTTTTTCTTACTTCTTAAACCCAATCCCTTGTTAAATACAGGTCTTCTTTATAATCGCATCATTATAAGAAGCGAGGATGTAGCTACTTACTTCACGGTTTTAAAAAACATCTTACGTTCTTTTTTGGATAAATTCTTCAACCCGACTAAATTCATACATTTACACGCCACCACGCAACTTTGTTTAACAAAATGAAGAAGACGGGATTTTCTGACTTACCACGAGAACTCCAAGATGCGATCTTGGAGCTCGTCTTAAATGACATTGAAATCCATCATGAACCAGAACAGCCCCTGGATTTAGGCAGAGCCTTGGCAATCGCGGCTGTGAATCGATCGACTCGGATATGCGTATTCCGCGTGGGAGTTCGCCGACTGGCAAATCGCGGACTTTGCGCCCGTGGTGAGACGCATTGGAATATCTTCCTTCCAGATCTAGACAGGGATACGCTTACCGTTTCGGCCGACGCGTTCTATCAATTTCCTGGGATCATGGAACCAAGCCGAAGAGCACCAGAGCGAATATGCCAGAGTTGCGGGCAGCGAAGTTATGTTGTTGGCGTTCTAAGGAACACCAGGCGTTTAGTCATACACGACGAGCGCAGCGACATCTTGTGTCAACGCATGTCCGCCCGTCTCGCGGAAGGCAGCGGTGGGCTTTTGAAGGCCAAAGATGGGCTGCCTCGTCGGCTTCGGAGTCCCATCGACATCATCACAAGAGAGCTCGGGGGTTTGTCTGGAGGCTTTGCAAGGTTAGAAAACATAACCTATGTCGGGAACCAGGCAGATTGGTCGTGGTGGATGGGGGATGAATACCGCGTTCATGGGCCTGAAGTTGTGAGTCGGCCGCCTGGATGGTTCTCTAGACAGCCTCATGGTACCCAATCACACGGCAAATATGAGAACATGGTTGGATACTTCGAGGAACGGGGTATTTCTGACGATACAGGAATCGAATGGGAAGGGTTTTCCGGATCTGTGAATGATCCTCGCGAGCATTGGGATTTCAGGCGTTGTTGGCAGGACATCCCTGGTCACTGGCGTGTCAACCCAAAGATTGGCCTTCGTGGATTCTCTTACAACAGCAGCTCATGCGGTGGGGTGTGGGCGGGCTTCAGACTGTATCTCGGAAAGTCTCCTCGATTGGAGTTTTCGCCTCTGCATTGGGAAGATGTCAAACAGTATATGTACTCATTTCGGACAACCTCAAGCGGCAAAACTCTACCAGCTATCGCTCAGGGGTATCATAGCGAGAGGACGGTAGCGCGTTTTCCCCAATGCATCGTTAAGGTGGACATCATTAGGCCAAATTCGATGCCCCCTCGGTCATCGCCACATCATTGTTGGGAACCAGTAGACGGCGCTTTTGACAGCATCGGCGACACTCATGGTGTTGACTGGCGTGCCCCGGTTGACTTTAGTGTCCCTCACCCCTCATGGAATCCTGAAGAATACATGAAAACTGGATTCAACAGGGCCCTGTCTGCAGAGCATCAGAAAGAGCTTAGGTACTTCAACAGACACAGGATTCTTACACTATTCAACCTAGTGGTAATGAGAAAACTCTATAACCTTGGGTTGCCTGCTACTTCTTTTTACGAAAAAGAATGAGTAGCGTCTATAGTTCAATTTTCCCTGTGGAAATTCAAGATGGCCAGCCTATCCAGTCCGACGGGTTCTTGAGGCTGATATATGGCGCTCGCTTCGTAAAGGGAAGTCTAGGGAGAAAAGAAGAAGCGTTATATGAAACGCAGATGAGATTGAAAAATTTGAGAGGGTGGTCTGCTTGAAACTTTTCGTGTTTTTTTTTTGTAATATACTTTGCGTGTTATACGAAATATAGATTAGATTGGCAATTTTAAGGGGGCTATCTGCTTGGAAATTCTTTCCTGTCTTTTCTTTTGTACCGAACTTTGTCTGAGTCGATTTCTCCCGTCATCTTTCATTTGCTTAATATAATTCATTGGCAGAAATGGTGCATTATCTCGGCTCTGAAACATGCCACACAGCTATCCTCACTATTTGGTACACATCCCCGAGGAGGACAACATGAAGCGTCGGTGTTAACGCTCGGAGAAGATGGTTGAGTGTACCGAGTAGTGTGTGACTCTCGGATGAATTACCAATTGCACTTCATTTTCCGCACATGTGCTACTAGAAAGGCTTATCCAAGTTAAAATCATTGGCCCGTAGCAGACGCAAACGAAAATGAGCATATTCCACAGCGTCCCTTCCGATATACGATAATAGATGTATCACCTTGCCACCACCCTGCACCATAATTCCCTGCTTTCGGTGTCACACGAGACTCCCGGCTAAGTGGCTATATATTTGAGGATGTGTCAGACCCCAGAGTGGAATATCCAGGTAGGACATGCTAACGCAAGTTTCTCCAGCTAAATCACATGCGGGTAAAACGACAGTGCAGATTCACATGAGCAAAAGCAGTGTGAAAGGGGTGCTGTTTAGTTTCTTCCCTCTCAATATCCCTCACAGTTGTCCATTCTTTCCATCACACGTATTATATTCATTGTTCGTAGCACTGTCCATCATCCTATTTCCCGATCTGATTTCCTTATCCATCTAGCTCACAAACCATGGCTCTCATGGCGAATGAGCAAGCTATGGAGGGTTTGAAACTTCAAGCCCGAAAATGCAAAGATTATGTCCAGTGCGTCTTTTCTTCTTCTATCACATGCTGCAGCCACTGATTTCATTGGCGTGGAATAGAAATATTCTCTTCGGGAGTCGCCAGAGATATGCGAATGAATTGACGTCCGACAACGGTATCAACGCGGCAAGAACCCGGGCTAGGGCTTACGCGGAACCAGTTGATGTCCAACTGTCGTACATCAATGACTCACACCTTATTTTGACAGCCGTCCATTGCTCTCGCCTTAATTCTTGCATGAACGATCTGGAGGGAGAACTTTCCGTCTTTTCGCACAGCATTCAGGACCGCAACTTCTACGAGAGTTTCTGCGAGGTTCTCGGTTCCTGGATTTTCCAATTTGACCGATACTGGGGTTTATATGCTCTTTATGAGGCTAGTGTGATGCCGGACCTGGCCAAAGTTGCCAAACTGATTCGGGATCTCATCGACCCGTCTAAAGTCATCGACCCGTATCAAGATGAAAATATCGAGACTTTGAGAGAGGACGAAGCAGCAGCACGTGCTGTATGTATTCCCAATACAACGGTCCGTTACATAGACCAACAAGACACAGAGATCCGTTGGATTTTGGACGGCCACTCAGTGCTCCATGTGTCGAGCGATCTTGGTAACAATAGCCCATTTTTTGATGATAGCATGTCAGCTATGGATCTCTTGATTAAGCTCAGATATGCGTCATTCTTTTCGACTTCTTTGATGGATTCTATTAGCATTTTGCAACTTCAAGACCAGAACCTGCCAGCGAACTGGACGCCACTGATCTTCCAGACACTCGTTTCAAATGAGCCCCCGACTACCCTTCGAAATCTTTTGGTACAGTCGGGTAGTCTTGATCAGGATTATCTCCGGCTTCCAGAGAACGCGTTGGATCTTGCAAAGGGGCTTGCCGAAGCTGTCCACGGTTTACAAATCTGTGGAGTTGACCATGGCCAGATTACACCGGACTGTATCCTTCTCACTCGGGGACCAAAGAACAAGTTCCAAGTGGCACTTCATGGCTTTGATATCACGCCCAGCGATGGCATCTACTGGACTGGAGTAGATGGCCCTTATACAGTTCCTGGTCTTTATCATATGGATTCTGATAACCAGGCGATGTGCGATTCTCTCAAGAATGATATCCGCAACGTCGGTGTGTGCCTACTTGAGATAGGCATGAGTGCCTCCTTTCTCAGATATCAGGAACATGATACCACCCCTGGAGCCCTTTGGACCGTTACTGGTACGACACTGTTTCCTGGAGCACCGGCAAACCAGTCACAGCAAGAAGTTTGCTCACGTCTGATTTCCATGGCCGATGCCCTCAACACAGGATTGGGTCCTCTCTATATCGAGGTGATCAAGGCATGCCTAACTGTAGGAGAGCGAGCATCTATTGCAGGCATCCCAGGAAAAATCGACTTGGCTATTTGGTTCGTTGAGGAAGTGCTGTTCAAACTTCATAACATTGATTTTAATTGAGAGCCGCAAGTAGCTGAGATTGAACAATCTACCAATGTTTTCCCGATGATCACTCTTCTCCTATTGCCTATATCATGGACAAGAATCCGTAGTTCAACTCAACAAATAGCTCATTGTCATCATTCATCTCACCACTGTGGGAAGCGTGCCTCTCGCCCTGCTCTGAATCGCCTCATCCTAACTAATAAGGTCACTAGTCGGGCTGCATAATCATACTTCTCGCCCTTAGGCTTAATCATTCTCTTTCCCATCAGACTGAAAGAAGCAATTGCTTTCCAATTGATCATACGATTGGCACATAGTACCCCATCTTATTCTCCGGATCCCACTCGGCCTTGAGCTCCCTTAGTTTCTTCAGCCTCCACTCCTCCCAGCCGTACACCTCGCGTAGGTCCTCATCTCCGTGGGCATAGTTGACGTAGGCACGTAGGCGGCCCGGGTCGTCGCTGGCCTCGAGCAGGATCTGGCGCAGGGTCCTCCCGTACCTGTCGGCGAGCGGGTCGATCCTCGGATCCGGCTTGTACTGGACGTACGACGTGACCAGGATATCGTCGCTGCGGTGGGGGAACGCCGTGCTCCGCTCGTCGACGGCCTGGACAGCCTGCGTCGGGTAGCCCTCGAGCAGGAAGAAGGAGCCCGCAATCTCGGGTATCTCCCGGAAGCTCTTGTCGATGAAGTCGTACACCTTGCGGACCGCTGGCACGTCGAATGTCTTGAGTCCGATCGGATACCGGAGAGAGGTCAGACCGTAGGCGCACGCAGGTCCGTCTGCGTCCATGAAGGTGAGGGCGGCCAGCTCATGGGTCGTTGCCACGCCCGCCTGGATCGACATGGCTTCGATTGCGTGCAGGGGCTTGGCGTATTCTCTTGCTTCAGCCTCAGGGCCGTCGTAAATGATGCCATACCAGATAATGGGCTACACGGGATCAGTCTAGGGCGTATGATATTTGGAGATGCCGCCGCGGCGTTCAGTCACTTACATGGTCGGGGTTGATTTCAGCGACTCTGATGATATAGCTCCAATGGATCGCATGCGCCGGCTGCGTCTTCTGCATTTTATTATGGAGATCGAATAGAGCCTCGAGCTTATCGCCCGAGAACACGAATATCTCATAAGACCATTTTGGAGCCCGAGGGTTGGCGTCGTAAATGCGGTACGTCCACTCGGCCACAAGGCCAAAGTTGTGGCCGGCACCCCTAATGGCCCAGAAGAGGTCTGGGTGGGAGTCTTCGGACACAGTCACGACATCACCACTTGGAACAATGACCCGAGCTGAAACGACCTGGTCGGCAGCGAGGCCATATTCGCCCTGCAGCCACCCGTGGCCGCCGCCGAGAACGGGCGCCGAGATTCCCACAGATTCGCAGATACCAGTGACTGACAGGAGTTAGTTCGAGGGTCTTGGTCTCAACGATTCGACACATGCTACTGTAGGGATGGCTGGGTACTGACCTGTGCGCTTCCCTGCCTTCTCGAGTGCGTCGACAACTTCCTTGATACTGGCACCGCCGCCAATCTTCGCCGTCTTGCCATCCTCGGCGATCTCGACGTGGTTCAGTTTGCGCAAGTCGACCTGGATCGCATCATGCACCTTGGCCAGCGCTTCGGTCGCGCCGTGACCTCCGGCTCTTCCGAAGAATGGGACGTTCTTCTCATTCGCATACCGAACCTGGTGAGTGGTGCCGACAGTTGGTTAGCAGACAGGACAGAGTAGATGGAGTAGACAATGCCGTGCGATGCTTGAGCGCTGAACCCAAGTTGGTTTGCTCACAGTCTCTTGGATGTCACTCTCAGTCGTCACCTGCACCACCGCGGCAACAGTAGGCGCATGGTACTCTCTCCACCGGCTGACAAGACCGGCGAATTCCTCATCGCCGGCAAGGACAACGCCGGCACCGGACGAAAGTCGGGGCTTGAGATCTGCCGCGATTAGAAGACTCATAGCTGGGACTCTATAAATGGATGCTATAAATCTGAAGTTGTTAAGACGGGAAGGCAAAGAGATCTTGGGGAGTTCGTTTTAGCCTTTGCTGACGGCCACATGCTGACTCAAGGCGGTCAAGGCGGTGTTGAAGTCTCTGGCCGCGTGAGGTCAGGGCCAAATCTGACTAATGATATAACACGTAACTTTAATTGATTGGCTAGCTGAGGGAGAGAGACTGTTGAAACAGGGATCATTACACTGATACGGCTGAGTTCCTTGTAAACGTTGCCAAACGGTTGAGAAGATGACGTACTGAACGTGGTGCTTATCGTTCCCGTAGTTTACATTTAAACATGTTCCTTACACACTATTCCTGCGGGTTCTCAACCTTTCTAATTTTAAACTAGGTACTTATTCTAGATCAATCAAAATCATGTCAATAGACGCCAAAAAAAGAGAGAATTATACCTCCTGCACTTCAAGCCCAAAGGCAAAACCTAAACTTTAGTCTCCAAAAGCACTGCTCTAGGACGCCTGCTGCATGTATCTCGATAGTGTATAGGTGTTAGAAGCGCCGGATATGGCTGACCCCAAAGTCTCTAAATTAATGGCTTTACAGTACAAGATGAAGAATGAATGTTGGTTTGCACACAAAGTCCAGCACTGGGTTGTCAGTTTTCTTGATAGGAACAGGTAGAATTGTTCAAACAGGACTTTCCTGGGAATTGGTCACATCTGCGTCAAAACTTCTTTTTGGTAAGCCTTGTAAATAAAGTCCATTGGCTCGCCAAGATATTCTGAGGGTGTCATAATGGATAGAGCTTGATAGAAGAGAAGGACGGACTTGGCATTAGTAATTTGAAGGAATGAACATTTGATATGAGTAAACTTTATTCTGAAGAATTAAATCTTTGTCTTTGGGATGTGAAATAGCCGAGTTCACCACGCTTGATGTAAATTGAACGAGCGTTATCGAATAGATAAAACTAGTAGCGGAGATAAATGCCAAGGTGGTAATAGAGCTCTGGTTTAACCGACTGGCTGCCGTGGCGCCTCATACACCCGTTTCATCGTTCCATTTACAAGCCTCATAACTCTTTTATATCCTTTCGCTTCCAAGATATATCTCATGCTATCAATAGTCTCGCTCGTGGCGTAGTCAACAGGGGTGCAGTTGTATCTATCTTTCCGGGCCAGGTCACCTTCGCCTCCAGCTCCCAGTAGCATCTTGAATACTGTGGGATATCCTGCCTGAGCAGCATAGTGCAGTGGTGTGCGGCCCTTCTTATCTGGTTTTGATACATCGATTTTTATTTCTCGTCGAAGGATGTTGGTCAGAAACCACCTGCCGAAATTCTCCTTCCCGACAGCATAGTGTAGGACTGTTTTACCATCATAGTCTACAGCGCTGATATTGGCACCGCCGTTAATTAGGGCAGCAGCAGCATCAATATGGTCGCAATTGGCGGCTAGATGAAGGGGTGTTTGCCCACTTGGAGTCCTGGCTTCTATGTTTGCCCCTGATGCAACAAGAAACTTGATCTGAAGGCCCGCGGTGATCCGTAAGTGTATGGGCGTCAGCCATCTTCTATTTCGAGCATTTATATTGGCGTTTCTGCGGAATAGTTCCTGTATCGGACTGATGTTCTGGCCTTCTGCGGCTATATGTATTGGCGCGTCACCCTGTGCATTGGGTAAGTTAGGATCAATGCTGGGCAAGCGAAGAATAGATGCCACAGTGGTGCCGTGGCCAGCTTGGCAGGCTAAGTAAAGAGGCATGGCTCCGTCGTCATTCATGACATTTGGTTCTGCACCAGCCTCTAGTAGAAACTGAACGATATCGTCGTACCCTCTTGATGCGGCTAGATGAAGAGATGTGCTTCCTGTCTTGTTTGTTGTGTTGAGCGCGGCACCTTGCGACAACAGGGCTTGAACAAGATTGGAATTACCCGAACTTGCAGCTTCATGAAGAGGGGTGTTTCCGCTAGCATTAACATCAGATAGGCATGAAGTGTCTTGGAAAATGGGCGCCAGTAAGATGTCCATTGTCCGCTTGCTTACTTTGCAAGACGCAGCTCGGTGAAGAGGAGTGTTTCCTTTTCTGTCCTTGGCATGTAAATCTACGTTTCTTTGAGTAAGAAATTCAACCGTCTTTATTGAGGCGTTCTCGATCGCATGATGTAGTGCCGTTTTCATGTAGGCATCTCGAGAATCTATGTTCCCGCCGTGACGAAGAAAGGATTCAGCGGAGAGAAAGAATCCCATTTGACATAGAAAATGAAAAGGTGGTGAGTCGAGAATATACGTAGGATCAACGGTCTTCGTCAGTTCTTTAAGTTGCTCGCTCGTTTTGAGAGCCTCCAGGCAATTTCTCCATTTGGCCCAGAAGCCAGATGGCCCTTCGGTAATAAGGCCATAAATCAGCTTCTCGGAGACAGAACCCCCTAGTTCAGCTTCAGAGATATGGTAAGGGAGGTTGTTGCCTGCATATGGAACAAGTGGAAACTGGCGCCATAACTTGGGAATATCATCACCTTTTCGCGACGAAGGTGAAAGGGAAATAACTCGCATACATACATCAATATACTTGAGATGTCGTTCGGCCAGACTGGGCGGGGTGTTGACCTTGTCTAAGGCTAGAAACCCTTTTGAGAGGAAGTACTCGCGCACAGATTCGTGTATGAATTGCACGGAACCCAGATTATCGCCATAAAGACCTTCTGTCGCTACCCCTACTTTTCGATTAGGCTGTCTTTGATTAAGGGAACGCCGAGGCTTGAACTCGTCAGGAAATTTTGTATCGTATGGAGATAACCGAGACTCTGAGGGCTTATGAAAACTGATTTCTTCTCTCTTTTCTTCCTCCTTTTCTTTTCCCTGTTCCTTTTCCTTTTCCTTTTCTTTTTCATTATTTTCATTATCTTCTTCTTCGATTGATGGATTGAGAAGATCTTCGATTTTTAAAGGTCTTAGGAGGGGGTGCCTTCCTTCATCAATTGATGATTTGGAAAGATCTCGAGTCCATTTTCTTTTAAAAGATAAACGTTTTGACGCGAAGCCTGTATCATGGGCGCCCCCACGAAATGACACCTCCGCCAGCCCTCTTGTGTAGAATCTCAATGATGTTAGAAAAGCTTCAGCCTCAAATGGTAGACAATAACTGGAGTCCTGCCACTGTTCAGCTTCACTTGGAGGTGCAGTGTCATTGGCGGAAAGGCTCAAGCCATGTCTGATTTCATGTTGATTTAGTGGCCTTGCGCTTGTGAGAATTAGGGAGAAGATCAAGGCTGCTTTTTGCATTTCGATCTTTGAGCGTTTTCCTATAAACAAGCTCCCAAATAGATCTTCAAGTTTTTGCGGTAAGGTGTTGAGGGTTTCTTCTATCTCTTCATCTGTTCGTTCATTATCCAAGTCAATATTGAGACTCTTGACGACAAGGATGACCCAGAGGAATACACCATCGGCTCTACTGGCAATAGCCTTAGCATAGCGCCTTGACCTATCTTGCTTGCTTTCAGGGCAGAGCTTCGTGTTGACAAAATGCAACACATCTTGGCTATTAAAAGCTTCCACGACAATTTGAGGGCAGTCGGGTATTTTTATGTGTGGATAGTGGCGGCTGCACAAGCAAACCTTGATCAATGGTCCTTCCGTGAGTGATCGAAAATAATGTACAAGGTCTCGTACTATATCCTGACCATCGACATTATCGCACTCATCAAGTGCATCGACGTATATTACTGCTTTCTGGATGGACTGAATTTGTCCAGAATATGCAGACCGAAGAAAATCCTCAAGCTCTACAACACGCCAGCTAACGGTACATCCTGGCGTCGCTCTTTTCTTGACAAACTCCAAAATGAAGGCGGAAAGGAGGGCCTTGTCTTGCTTAAGAAGGTCAAAAAGAATTGTACGGAACAGTCCAGCAGGCGTTTTTTGGAGCTGAATATTTCCTCTAGTGGTAAAGAAGAAGCCTGCAACTGAAACCGAATCTGAAAGTCCAAGCGCCTTACTATGATATAGCGCCTTCTTCATCAGCGTTGACTTCCCGGATCCAGGTTTTCCCTTAAGCCAAATGATATTGTTTGGCCTCTGGGCAGTGTCTTTCCATTTCGACCAATTAACGAAATCGGGGTTGTTGAATATCCAGTCGCCCGTCTTTTCTAGCGCTGGAGTAATGTCGCTTTCTCTGTTCTCAAGTTCCGGAAAGAACAAGGAAGCCAGACACTGGTCCCGCAGATAAAGCTGTTGGCCTTTGACACTCATCATGAAGGCTTGAAGAGCATTACTAACTTGCCGATATCCTGGATCATCAGGCGCTTCGAAACGGCATATTTCGGAGTGGCTTTTGTTGATCATCTCAGCACGCAGATCAAACGCTGTCACAGCTTTTGGAAGGATTGTGTCAACATTTTCCACGAAGTCCTTGATTTGGTAACCATTTTTCTTAAATTGTGAGATAAAAGTCCGCTGACAAGTGTCCAGAGAATTCTGTAGTTCAGCTGAAGGGTTGGCGAGACTGCTTTGCGTTTCCGGTTCAAGGTGTTGCAGCATCTTATTACTAACATCAGCTAGAGATGAGCCGTCCCCGTCGCCATGATGAGGGGTGCTGAAGAATATCACGGCGAAAGTGTAGCTCACTATATCCTTCATTTGTAAGGTGCTACCAATCTCTGCAAGGCGAAGTGTCTCTTTGACAAGAATACCACCAAGGCAATGGGTTATAAAAATGATGCTTCTTCCCAATGGCCTGCTCCTCACCAGAGCGGAGAGTAATTCCGGAGCTTTGGCAAGAAGATTTGAAATATCGTGAGTTTCCTGCACAAACCCAAAAGTCATGATTCGTGCGTTATCGCATTGGGTGGGTAAAAATTGCTTTGGCCAATATGCGGAACAGGTTGGAGTTCCCATAGGATCATCAGCCTCTGTGACCCCGTATGCCCACGTCCTCCATGGATGGCCACCTAGTCCTGAGACCAGTACAATATCAGCGATAGCATTATTTGGCTCATACAGAACTGTCAGTCCGGTTCTATCAATACTTGATTCGCTGACCTCGTCTCCAGTCGATTGTCTCGCAGTGGGCTGATGCGGCGGTACACTCTGCCCAAGTGTATGCTTCCCTTCGAGCTTTTGAGTAGCCACGCGTTCAAGTTGTCGGAGATAAAGTACTGCACTCCGATATGTCGGGTCATGCTTCGAGTCAAACTTGACGATAGATGAATGGTCAGCATCGACTCTGATCTTAATCTCATCATGATCTGGAAGATCAAGAAGCGCAGCCATTGGCTCAAGCACTGTGATGTAATCCCCTGACCGTGACCAAACCCCAGTTTCAGAATTTCTGACAAGGCTTTTCGTTTGCTGCATCTCAATGAAACTAATGATTTTCCGGCCTTGGATCAGATTCTTGAAATGATCGAGCTGGTCCTTCAGCTGTTGCGATCCGGATTGAATTTGGTCAACCAAAAGAGTTCGAGGATTAGCGCCCTGGTCCCCAACCATGGACCGGATGTCATCAATAAGAATTCCACGATGCGGTGTGGCGAAAAACATAATGCCGATAATCGCGTCGTACAGCGCTCGGATTGTAGGATTGGGATCCCTATCCAGCTGTTTCGCTTTCACGAGAGCCTGGGCGACTATAAGGCCTCCAAAGCTGTGTCCAATCAAGATCAGGGGTCTGGATATCTCTTCCCACGAAGAACGAATCTTCTCGAGTTCTTGTATGAACTCTGCACAATAGTCAAACATGGTATTGACTCCCCTACTTTGCAACCTGGAATTATATCCATATATCATTGTTCTGCAATCTGGGATGTCACCCTCGAGGAAGTCTTGAAGCCACATCCGGCGAAGTTTCCCTTTTCCTCGCCAGGAGCCAAAGGCGTGTCCATCTAGGCCGGACAGTGTTATTATACTATATAGGACTTGATATTAGCGAATGGAAGGATGTGATTTCGTGTGGCTCGAAACTCACTCTGCTTTGACCAAGCTATTAGGATTTGTGCGATAGAGTTGTGTGAATCCATGGAAATGACGATCGAAATTTATATCTAGTACTTCATCGCCGATCTCGACCTCCTCTTGCCAATCTTCTAGTGGCTCTTTATCGAGATCAGCCAGAAAGGAAGGGGTTGATTCGAGAGTAACGAATGCCGTGGATGTAGGATCATCGCGATAGCAGGATGGAACCAGACGTATCTTTGGACGAATAGATTGGAGTTCTTTATCGGACAACAGTGTCCTTAATACAGCGTCGGCTTCGGTATCGGAGACGTTGAGAGGCAGACCACGAAGCCGATAGACAACATTCCTCCTTCGCCCTGACATCGCGGTTTTGGCTGACCCGGTGCTGGCTGGCTTAGGCTGCGGCTGAACTAGATGTCGGAGGGGGCTTACTAGAACTCTCTCTTAATTTGTTTGATTGCCGTTGACGTTAGCAACGAGAGTGCTAGAGGACGACTTCATTCATGATTGCGGCTGACGGGCGGGGTTGAGAGGAGACGAATGAATTGGTGTGCACCCCTGTTAATGTAATAAACTCGATGGAACCCAATTATTGATAACGTAATCTACATGTATTGGATCTATTGGAACTCTTGGCGGGGTTTCCCAGCTGACGCGCGTTTTCTTTTATTTCTACGCGCTTGTGCTGGATTACAATTTAAAAGACGCCTTCTTTATATTGTAAACTAGAGACTATAGTAGTAGGTTAAATCTGAGAACCACTGTCTGTTAACGCAAACAGCATATGCTATGACGCTCTTCTCATTGAAACCAATATCAAAGCTCGGAAAGTGCGGGCGATAAGTAGCTGACGTTGCCAAATTAACATTAAGTCCACAGAAGATAGGAGTGAGAAGCCTAGGGGTTTTAGTCTTGTTAACCATAATCAGGAAATCCACATATGACGAGAAACTGAGCTTCGTTCAATTTTAGCCCCATGAACTGAAACAGGCTTAATTTAACATGTTGTCGGCACTGGATTCTTGAAAATATCATTCTAGAGCTTCAGCTATGTCTAAACCCGCCACCCAGTGAGCTTATTGGTGGCTGAGAGGCGTTTGGATCAGCTGAGGGAGATATTGGTCGAGTGCCCACCCATTGGGCCGACTCTCAACTACTATCCGCTATCACAGGCCTCAGTGACAAAAGACACAGAACAAGAAATGAAAGTAAAAGCCACATCATTTATCCTCACTGCCTTGCAGGCCCGTAAGACCAGATACGAGCCCTGCCGTCACCAGACCCTGTTGCGAAGAAGTTTCCCGTGGGGTGAGTCGCCACGGAGATGACCGTTTTATCGTGTCCCTTAACCTGAAGCTGGGCTTGCCCCGTGCCTGCGTCCCAAAATCGTGCGCTGCGGTCTTTTGACCCAGATATGACCCAAGCATTGTCACGGGTGAGTGCGGCGGACAAGACCAGATCCTAGAAACTGCTATTAGTAAACGATATAGCTATCGGTAGGAGAAACACTCACATCGTGACCCTTGAACGTCTTCAGGCATCTACCTTCCGGAGTAGGACCGTCAGCCACCCCTCCTTCGGTTGAGGAGAGCTCCCAAAGTTTAGCAGTCTTGTCCAAACTAGCAGAAACAAGTTTCTTGCCATCAGAAGTAAAAGCCACAGAGTAGACACTGTTCTTGTGCCCTTCTGTGCCCTTCAAATGATCGACTAGAGTGCCTTGCTGAATAGACCAAACGCGTATACTATGGTCTAGTGAGCCTGCTGCTACATAAGCCGAGTCAGGAGAGATGGAAACCGAGGTGACGCCTGCTTCGGCAGAAAAGGTGTGCGTGGAAGCACCAGTCTCGACGTCCCACAGCCGAACGGTCTTGTCACCGCCACCTGAGGCAATGGTTCGGCCATCGCGGGCAATCTCAAGACTATAGATGTCGTCCTTGTGGCCTGACAAGGTGTGTTTGATCGTTTGACTCTCGATGTCCCAGACGCGCACAAGCTTGTCCTCGCCGCTGGTGGCTAGAAACTTGCCATCCGGGCTGAAGGACACACCTCTTACGTACATGCCTATATCGTCATCGGCGGCCCCATGGTGGAACACGCACACGGTCTCGCCAGTAGCAACATCGTAAATTTGTGACTTTTTGTTGCAACCTGTGGCGAGGTATTTGCCATCGTGGCTAAACCTGACACAGCAGACAACACTTCCAAGGTTCAGAGTGTGAACTAGGTCGACATTCAACGAATGTTGGACCTGTTCATTGTGAGAGACGGACCAGTCAGCAGCCATCTTGTCGTGTTGTTGAAGTGGATGGGGTTGGATGGTCGTGAATTGAGATAAAGAACTCTGGCAATGAAGGCAAAGAGAAGATTGGAAAGAAGCTCTCTGGCTGTGAAGTGAAGGAAGAAGAGTGCTAAGTGTATGAGTGGATGGAGATTGCTCTGAAGAAGGCGAAAGGTGAGAATAGGGGAGGGGAACCCCTTATTTATACCATGGCGTGCTTACTGTGTTTTGAGGGAAGATCGCAACGAGATGAAAGCAGGGAGGAGAGGGCACCAAGAAATTGCATCTGGGGCCCCCGTGAATACCTGTTCTTTGGTCAGGCAAACTTTGCAAAGAGTGATTACCTGGGATGGGTTGGCTGACCCCCCTGTCTGTGCAACTCCCCTTACCCAGCATCAGCCCCCATTATACCCCGACACATTGCTAATTCCATAGTTTCTGTAAACCCTGTCCCCCCACCCACACCACATATATGCGTTCGGAAGCCGGTTGGGTGGAGTGTCATCTCATAAACCCCTGTGGACCACCCTTCATGTTTCCATCTTACCAGGCCATGATCCATCCCGTGCCAACAGAGGAGCTGCTGGAGCCTACATTGCGTAGCCCGGAGCTCAACTGGGCAACTAAGACCGGCAAGCTACCGAATACGAGCCCGACCCGCTAGAAGCCAAAGATGATGATGTGATGTGATCAACATCCTGGAGCTGAGGCGGGGAAGTACTGTCGACAAGGAACAACCGCCATGACTGAAACCTCTGACCATCATGTTTTTTAAATGCCGCATTTGCCACGATCAAATCGATGCGCTTTTCTACCCTGCCACACCTTGCGAGCGTTACATCCACCCTCCCACTTTTTGAAACTGTTCATCCGGAACTGAAGTTGATCCTGTGAATTGTCCAACATTGAATATCATCAAACTCGTGTACCCATGCATTAGATCACCGAGAATAAAAGGAAGGAACAGAAATATAAGCAATAAATAAGAACATCAGAGCATGAGAAAAGAGATGTATTTCAGCCCATTTAGTAAAGGGCGGCAGCTCCGGAATTTTAACCATCAGCTCAACGAAACGAATGAAGTACAAGCATGCAAGGCATTCTTTCGAATAGGTAATACAGAAAGCAGGAAACTCTCTCGTTAGATCAGATACATAGTGATGCTCTTCTCGCTCTATGCGTCTCTGTCGTGCTCGTCTTAATTCATATCTGGCATGAGTAACAATCTAAGGAGCTGCAATTTGCCCCTGTATTGGGTGTGCATGGACCTAATGAGACTGGGGGGCAAGTTTTGGTCGCCTCTCTGGCATATTACTCGTCGGTGCGGAGGGTTTGAGCTTCGCCTATTTTCTCATGCCCAAATTTGCAACTGATGTAGGTGTGGGCATTACGTGGCCGTTCCCCAGACGAGCATTCGCCTAACCATCTTACGTATCTGTTGGGCTTTTGAAGTTACATAGATTATTTTACAAGGGTCCTAACGTCCAAGGACGTTCGAGCAGCCGCTTAAACATGTTGGAGGGGTGGAATCCTTGCTTTTGTTGCGGAAACACACCCTCCCGTTCACTCTCCCCTTCCCCCACTCACAGAAGGACAAGGGTCTTTTGGCCCCCATGGCTCGCCAAGCTTTACATTGCGCATGGATATGCAATGAAACATGTAGATAGCAACATACCCACGTATCTTGAGCTCCGAAGAGCCCACCACTTTCCGCGCGTTGCGACGGTCTGGCGCAAGGTATATGATATGTTGTCCCACAGCTTTGTTAGTGCTTATGGGCCTTGCCGAACTCCTCCCTAAGAGTGGTATGTTGGAGCTGTAGACTCGGATCCGACAACTCGCTCACCCTTCGCCCCAACCGAGTGTCTTCATACCTACGGCGTATTGGACCCAGTTCTAGCATACCCCCCAGAATTTCCAGTATGAGGCCCAACTCTGGAGGTGTAAGCACCATGCCGGTTGAATATTCAGCTGTAGACAAGAATATCTCATAGGTCAAGGGGAGAAGTTAGGTACTCCCCAGTACAACTCGGGCAATAGACTAGACCAAAACATGGCATAGGATTCAGATCAATCATTCATCTTGTAATTATTTCACTATAAGCTTGGAAATAGCCGTCTCCCGGAACTATGCCTGCTACTACGTCTGTATCTACTCTGGTATCCCAATAAATGGCTTATCAAATGAGGTGATACTCATGCAACAACTGTCCGACCTCGGAACCTTCTAATTTTTCAACGAGAAGTTTCCGTATCCTGTCGGGTACCCAACTGGCCAGCTCCTTTCCATCTCGTAGGCTACAAGCAGCGTTGAGCAGGTGCCTAATGTCATATGTGGATGCAAAAACTTCCGGCACTCCTCGATCAACCCCTGCGAGTTGGTACACTGCCTCCATGCCAGTCCGTACGGAGTACTCAGTGGTGAAGATCGTATCCCTCGTCGTCTCGGCGAACTGCCCGATAAAGGCAAAATTGCGTGCCCCTTCTGGCACGACGCTTGGCCGATCGCCTTTCTTGCGTGGCATGAAGAAGGACGTGACGTAAGGCATCATGACCGGCACGCATCTCGCACCCGAAGCGGCCAGCGAGGGGATTTCTGTTTCAGGAACTCCCAGGTGATACAACCACTCTTGTGTGATTTCTTCTCCGGTACACTCTTGCATGGCCTTCTTGACGTAATTTCCGGGCTGTTCGACGAGAAGCCCGTATAGCCAGACAACAATCTGATCCTTGGGTTGCTTTTTGAAGTGTGGCTGACGGTTGACGGTCCAGCTCATCATCCAGTTTGAATCACGCGCGGTAACGATCCCCCCTGTCACCACTTTTCCACTGAAAGGATCCCGTCGACATATCTTCTGTATGTATTGTGGAATACGCGAATCAAGTGTCGTAACTGTCGCGGATTGCCACTTTGTTCGAGAAATATCTCCACAAAACACCTCTGGCCGCCCAAAATCCAAGTCTTTGGCGGCAATTCGTCGCCAAAGGTCCCAGGCGGGAGCCGGCCCATCCCCTAACACAGCCGGGGTTTGATGATCCCCGAGGTCGGAGTTCTCGGTGAGGGAGCCGATGGTCATGAAAAGGAGGTCGTCGAGCTTGAGGTCCTGCCCACCCTCCTTTCCCTTCTCCAACCAGTGAATTCTTGTCGCTTCTTTCTCGTTCACTGAAATTTTGAAGTCCACATCCAACACTTTGGTGTGGTACTGAAACTTCACCCCATGGGATTCAAGCCAACCTCGTAGCGGAAGCACGAGCGACTCATATTGGTTGAATTTGGTAAACTTGAGAGTTGAGAAGTCGGGCAGTCCTTGAATGTGGTTTATAAACCGGTGAAGATATAGTTTCATCTCCAATGCGGAGTGCCATGTCTGAAAGGCGAACATTGTCTGCCAGTATAGCCAGAAATTGCTCTTGAAAAAGTCTTCGCTGAAAACCTGGTCGATTCTTTTGTCTTCGACATCTTTCCGTGTGGTGAGGAATAACTTGATCATTTCTTTCTGCGGCTTGTCACTTAATGTGAAAAGAGTACCGGTGTCAGCGTCCTGACCTTGTCGTTCAGTCGCCCTTTGTAGTGATATGTTCGGGTCGCGCTTGTTCAGCCAATAGAACTCGTCGAGAACGCTCGCACCTTGTTCTTCAATAGATGGAACAGAACGAAAAAGGTCCCAAAGGCACTCGAAGTGGGATTCCATCTCCCGTCCACCGCGAATAACGAATCCCTTTTCGGGGATGTCAAGCCCGTCCAATGCACCGCCCGGGAGGTGTGATTCTTCCAGAATGGTGATGTTTTCTCCAGGCATCTGGGCATCCCGGAGCAAAAACGCTGCAGTTGAGAGGCCTGCCAACCCAGAGCCGACGATCCAGGCATGCTTAGTATCAATGCCATCCGGTTTGAGCGGTCTGGCGAACGCCTCGTAATTGCCACTGCTGTAGTACATATTCGAAGATTGGATTGAATACTGATTACTGCTTCGATATCAACAGACGGGCCTCAGAGCCTTTTTATAGAACCCTGCATATCCCCAGGCACAGCTGCTACCCTCGGCAGGAGAATACCGGGACAGTGGGACAGATGTGGGTAGTTGTCAAAATCATACGTTTGTGGCCAAGCTTTTTGCCGCAAGTTATAGCCTTTTGCCCATTTCAACAACCAACCTTAATTAGAATCACATGTGAAAGGCATAAAATCGTTTTTAGGGATGTAGATACTATAGTGGCATCTTTTGTAAGACGAAAATATCAATTTTTGGTTTATTAAGCTGTAAGGATAAGGGGATTGGTAAAATAGGAGATCAAAGCGCTATTTTGGTGCGCAATGTCAGATGTGAACTACTTGCGAGTGCTAAAATCACGCACCAAACACTTTTCATATGTCAACTGTTGAACCGAGGCATCACGGAGTTGAGGGAGTCTCTTTTCTCAAGAAGGAAGGGTCACATGATTATAACATCGAGATAGCACATGTCAGCGGCTGCAGCTAAATCTTGGGTCGCCCCACTGCAGATAGCCACCGGGCTCTATGTATTATGAGCTCTCGGCATCGAAAGATATATTTAGAAGATATATTTAGAACTAATGTTACGTACTGAACATCTTGTAGAGCCTCTCGATAACACCCGCCACGTCATTAAAAAGAAGAACAAAGCTGAAGGAGCGCACCTGATTATCGAGCCTGTCCGCTGGCGGGACAGTTGTCGAGAGTCAGGTACAAGAGAACCGGGGACTTCTGACACATTAATTAAGGTCAATGGAGACTGGCAATACCAGAAACTAAACTGATTACCCGTATTGAGCTCCCAAACCCTATACCATAGATCCCAAAACTTCTCTGGAAGTGTTGCTATCATTATTCGTGTCTCGTCTGTATGCTCGGTAAAGGATCATCGGGATGGTCGTCTTCATCACCATCCTCAGCCTCGTCACTATCACTATCATCTTGGTGGAGTAAACCCTGTCTCTCAGGATCCGTAGCCGTATCGGAGTGCCGAGGTTTGATTTCCGCGGTGACGTCTACTCTGAAGTCGGAGGTATCACCGTCGACAGGCAGGCCGAAGAAATACGTGAGGTTCAGCTGATCAACCGCTTTGTAGAATTGTTTGAGTGACTTCAGCTCCGGGTTTTTGATCTGCTTGAATATGTCTAGCAGCGTACTCCGGTATAGGAAGTGAAAACTGTTCTCTAGTGGTTCTGGCGCGAAGGGAAATACGTATTGTCTTTCGTGATAAAAGATTACACCGTAGACAAACATCCCTAATACGGAAGCGCAGAGGAGTATGATGCATAGGACAGAAACACTTCCGCGTATGCGCAGCCGTGCTGCTTGAACGATGGGAGTGATCTCGACTGTTCTTTCACTTGGCTCAACAAAAAGCTTGACCTCGCTAACCGAGGCGGCGAAGACTGTTGAGAAGACGACCGATGCAAAGTCCTTGAAGAAATCAACATCAAATCGTTCTCCACGTGAGAGGGCCCAGCGGTATGCCATATAGGAAAGAATATCTCCCCTAAAAGATTCCGTGCTCACGAGTTGTCCCAATCGAATAGCTCCCAAAACCTTCCGATCCTCGGAAATGGTGGCTTGGAGTAGTTGGCTGAAATTGCGCGCCAAGTCGCTTTCGAGAATGTATTCGTCTTCAACCTTGAATTTATAGACAAATGCGTCCGCAATATTCTGGTCTGGGGACCACGAAAGTAACTGTGCGGTCCCGTTTCCACCCCACAAGGTCGGGGCGCAGATCCACGCAGTGCTCGTGGATGCTGGCCCTGGTCCTGACTGTTGAGCTACTGTGCGTGTGTGTGTGCCTTGAGATGCCGCAATGATCCATCTCGGAACGACCTTATCATTCTTCAGATCGACTAATTCTCTATAGGTCCAAGTACTACACAATACAGCGTCGTCGACCTGGTCTCTAGGATTTTGAGATGAATCATCCCCACAAGGATTAAAGAATGAACTTGTGTTCCCGTGCACGTCGCGCAAACCATTGGGAAAGGACACGGACAAAACCCGGGGGTGTTGAGAACTGCCAGGGATCGCCTCGTGGACTGCAGCTTCACAGCTTAGCTGTGCTTGTACCATGCGGGTCGTTAATGACCAGGATCCGTTCTTTTCCTCGCTTAAAGCCTTTCCAGGTCCAACAAGGGATGGAAGTGGTACTGGTAGAAGAGCTTCATGGAATGATGACCATTTTGGGAGAGCGCTCGCATTCGTCATTCCTAGCACTGATTTTGCCAAGGCAGATTGCATACTATCCAGTGTCGTATCGTTGATTTGTATTCCTTTGTCATATGACCAATCGTAGTGTATATCCGTTGTTACTGAGTCGAGGCGTTGTGGGACGAGATCGAAGTAAAAGTAGTGGTTCACAAGCAAAGGGGCGAGGGCTATGATAGCTAACCCTACATGCAAATATGCAATTTTGTAGTGTCTATTTCGGAAAGCCTTGAGCATCGGAAACCAGCAATTGCAGTAGTCTAACGTTAAGTTAGACTTGCTCGGTCCTTCTTGGTATAGTCCCGCCCATGGCTGACGCATCGTATAATACCTCAGCACCGACTCCCAATACCATATGATAGCGAAGCCGATGCTGAGTGGTAACATTGCTAGCCAAAACAAGTCTCCATAGGGTGTTGGATGAAATGAAGAAAAGTGTAGCCGGTACGATGGGGCCAACTCCCTTAGACTTTGTTCTTCTGAATGGTTAAATGGAATGTCACTGCGACGATGCGCGTGTCGAAAGCTCAAGATAGCCGCAATGCATGAGCATGGAAAGAGAACGCCAAAGACTGTGAAGCCCAAGAACCATGGGGTCGAATCTGAATTGAATCTGTACCCTTCTGGAAGATCCAGGCCACGCCCTGAGGGAGCTAGTTTTGCTGAGGTCAGCCTGGCTCTATTTATTCTTAGGGGTAGGAGGGAACATACTGCGCGGTTGGTAGAGCTGAGTGTCAGCGCACCAATGCTGTTCTTGCTTTCCATTGTCTTTCCAATATCCAAACCGTAGTGGTCTGAGTGTGAATATCGAGCCCGGCTCAGCCGGTACGGGGTAAACTGATGGTAGACTGCTGTGACAAAGAAGTGCTATTCGAGCAGCGATCGAAGAGATATCCCAAGGTATCCCGCTAGGTGCACCGTCGCACACGATATGAGAGATTAAGATGCAGACAAAGATCACAACCCAAATGGGAAGAAGTTTAAAATCGAGGCCCGGGTGGTTCGGTGATGGAGTAAGCGTGCCTACCTGCGTTTCTTGCTGGACTACTAGAGTTTGTAGCTGAGTAGGGTTCATGGAGAATAACTGATCTAGGGCAGAGGCAGAAGCAGTCGCTACATGCCCAGCCACCATGGAGAGGTATAGGTTCGCCGCGTTCACGACCGCGAACTTGTTGTTGCTAGCAGCGAGAGATCCAGCTACGATGCGTGATCTCATAAGCTGGGTCGCGTACAACTCATCGACCAGATCTAACGCACCGATATCGTCCCGGAAGATCTTGTCGATTCTGCGGGCGACGGAATCCTCAAGGGGAGTGAGTTCAGGGGGCAGTATATCCCTCTCGGCTTCTGTGTCCAGACGTAATGCGTAGGAAGTGTAATGATGGATGTGACCAGGCACACGACGAAAGGATGAATCACTTGCCGAACCTATTATTTTGAGGGGGACAGGAACCGTGTCGTACTTGACAGAGCAAGAAGCAGCGAAAAGCGGCCACTCTTCGGTAGTCAAATCGCTTGGTACCATGGGGTCTGCAGTGCCGGCTACAAAATGGCGCCTAGAGCAAGAGACAGGGCCTTTGCCTTCAGGATTCGCTGGAACCCAGCTGGGGGCGAAGAAGTCGAGTGTCTCAGCAGACTCGTAGGTCTTGATATATTTCAGCAGCCGCTCTCTGCCGTTGTGGAAGCGTTTCTCATAATCGCCTTGATTAATATCAATGAGCCTTTCGAATCCATACTTTATATTGTTCAGAGTCCTTCCAAACTCTGCTCTGCGGACGTTAGTGACCTGGCTGCCTCGGAGTTGAATGGTCGCATTACAGCCATCAGCGTCAGAAAGCTTCACTGATAGCATGGGTCCCATTTCATCGTCTATGGCCTTAGAATAAAACTTGGGGTGAAGCTGTTCACATTCCATGCGAATGAACATCATGTCGTGAAGCAGAGTCCAGTTGGCTTGTGGTGCATCCATGTCCAATGGTGAAACTGGCCTTGTAGGTCGAACAATCCCGTAGCCTCTGGCACCTTCCCATACGACGTGGTCCGCCATATCACCCTCGTCCTTGAATTGTACAAAAGATGGATCCCCTTCAGCAGCAGGTTCCAACCATAACGTCCAAGGTGCGGAAGGTTGACCCCATGTTGTCCAGTCCTCTTCGCTCCATGGAGGCCGGTTCATAGAGGGCACATGGCCGGCAAGTTGGCCTACCATGTCAGCCCAGGATGGTAGTGCTGCGAATTCCATTGTGTCAGCCTGTCGCTGTGGTTCTATGTGTGTGCAGATAATGGGTGCCCCGAGAAGCGGACATATAAGTAGGTACATGACGATCTGGTAGCACCGAAGAGAAATCAGATGAGCCCTGCGCGCCCACTTTCCAGCATGAAGTTGATAGGATGCCCTCCGCACTTCTTGACCGAGGAGAAAGGATATCACGCGGTTCATGCATATGACAAATACAGCGGGCCACACGCCGAGGACACCGCGACTGCATGCTTGAGGAAGCGTATTGTACCACTTCCAGGCTATCATAGGAATGACAAACAACAAGAAACGCCCGAGTCCACCCGAGAGGAAAGGCTTCCAATTCAGCTTGCCTTCCGTATCAGGTTGGAGGCGAGAACTTCGGATTCTCGATATATTCCCGACATCGAACATTGCCGGTAGTCGCGCACCTGGGTCGATGGGCTCAGCAGCATAATCGCCCACTGCGTGTAGTCGCAAAGCGAGTCTGCGGTGACTTTCAGGCACGAGGCTCTCGACACGCCTGCCGCCATTGAGCTCGTCAAGGGAATAGGACGAAGAAGAGGCTTGATTGTTCCGCGTTCGCGTCCAGCGGCCACGGAAGCTCGGCCTCTGCGCCATGCTATGCAGCTGAAGTCAAGTTTATGGGCTCTTTGTTGCGAGGCCAACAAAAAATCGAGTGTTCATCTCACAGATGTGGTGATTGTGTTGTGAATCCCCTCAGTCACGTGAACTGTGCATAAGCGCCAGGATATTACGGTCATGGATGGGATCGCGTAAGCAGTCCGTCCAGAAACAACACAGTCTTGGCAATGTGTGAGGCATCATGATGGAAGCCACAGAGCAAGACGAGCCGTTTCGACTCCAAGACGATAGCGACTCTTATACCCGCTCGGCCGTTTATCCCTCTAGCGACCTCCCGCATAGCGCGGAACTCATCAGCGGTCACAATGCGCCAGCGGTTAGCTCTGTGTATGGTAACTCGGACCAACCGAGAAACGAGTTTCTCAACCTCGTGACGACTATCTCCCAAGCCTATCGGCGACGGCGGTACATCAAAATGCGAGGGGTCAACAATGTCCCCTTTGTCGCTCTTGCGGAAGGATCCGACTTTCAAGTCAGCCAGCCCATCGAGTTCGCGCTATCCCATAGTCAAGGCATTTCGCGCACGAAAGAAATCGTCGTCATCAAGCAATCGGTTCGGAATGCACCGGGCCGTCCGCTTAAACCTGCGGACATGTCTAAGATAGCCCTCGAGCTTCGTATCTTGGATCACTTTCACAATCATGAAAATATCGTCTCGTTACGCGGCGTCGGCTGGTTCTATGAAAATTCGTATGATAATGCCTTGACCCCGTGCGCGCAACCCGCCTTGTTACTCGAGCACGCACAGGGAACTCTAAGCACCCTCTTACGCTCGTGGGACGCTACTTCTGTCGAGGCACGTTTGTTTCTTTGTAGAGACGTTACCATGGGGCTCAAGGCCCTGCAAGAGGCTGGCGTTGGCCACGGGGATCTCAAACCAGCGAATATACTCATCTTCGCGCACGGTAGCAGTACAGACCATGCTCCCATGGCTAAATATTACGCCAAAATCTCCGACTTCAGCCAGGCTAGATTGGCTGACACGACCACGAAACGAAGGTTAGGGGGCACGTTTCCGTATCTTCCTCCTGAAAGAGATGAAGAACTATCTGCCACCGAAGTTCAAGCAGCAGATGTATGGTCCTTGGGAGTTTTGTTTGCAGCGACATTATTTGATCAAGAGCTGGATGCCAACCCCATGCGGCTCAGGCGCGAGTCCGACTTCGATGGCGAGTTACTCGGGGAGAGTATCAAGCAAGCCTCCCAGCAGCAATTTCATCAGTCCACTTTGGAATCGTTTTGGCATCAGCTCTGGACCCAAATGTTTGCTTATACCCTGCAAAAAGATGCTCAAGACCGCGCCTTTATCAAGCTTTGCGAATCCATGCACGCCACGTTCACAGACTATCTTCAGCGTATAAAACGGGTGCTTGTAGATCACCAAAACTCTCATGTTGCCCGATTGAAGACTAATGATGCACTTGAGCTTTTCATAAGTTATGAGGGCTTCAAACCCGTGAGCAATCAAGTCAAAGATATGGTTGAAAGCGAGCTACTAGCTATATGTGACGGCCCCGATAGCCCGCTTCGGGCGACTGCTTGCTTTGAACTTGCAGTCGTGCTTCTATCCGCATTCGCCAGACCATGCACCGACGAACGTACCAGAAGAGGCCTTTCGTACCTCTACCAAGCCGCTGAGCTAGGCGATCTAAGAGCCAAGGCACTGGGCCTTCGTCTGACTATTTCATTCAGGGTGGAGAGACTCCCAGACTATGACGATGAGCGCCTGCAAAAGTGGCAACGAGAAGCAGTAGCGAGCGGACATTCAATATTGATGCAAGACATTGATGATGGCGATACTTATCAGGCATCTGGATCACTCGACGGGATTGATGCAACATCCATCTTGACTGATCAGCTGGACCTCCATGAAGCGGCGGCTTCTGGCAACCTAGCAGCATTGGAAAATTCTATCAAAAACCATTCGCTGGATGAGAAGAATAGCAGCGGAGAGACGGCCTTGATCGTAGCGGCTCGGAGCGGCCAAGTCCCGGCGATACTTCGATTGCTACATGCCGGAGCGGATCCCTCTTTATGTGACAGCAACAATGCGAACATCCTGCACCATGCTTGGTGCTACCAGGGACCTTTCGAGGGCGTTAGGGACGTCCTTCAGTTCTGTAGAGATCGCAATTACTCGGACCTCTTCTTCCAATCTGCAGATGGCCTGCTTCAAACTGGTCACTTGAGCCTGTACCCAACACCGCCAGGCACGCCACTCGAGAGAGCTGTGGCGAAGTCCAAAATCCGCCTTGTTGATCTCTTCCTTACCATCATGCCTAGAAGGTCCCCCTTGAATGGCGTGATTCTACGTCGAGCGCTGCTGCTTGCCTTCAAGTTCTGTCACGTAGCTATCCAAGAACGGCTCATATCCTATGCGTGCCAGGAGTCAGCATCCGAACATAGGTTGGACAAGCCACTGTGGAATACCATGTGGGATTTCAGGGGAGCCGGCTACACATATATGGACGCTATTGTAGTTGGGACAATTTCCGGCGACGGTCAAGGCGTGGATCTTCCGATTGATTTCTGGCGCAGGTGTTGTCTCGGTAAAGAGGCTGTTGATCGTGTTCTAGAGTCATTGGTGCGTTTGATATATTGGGGTGTGGAATCCTCCCAGGGTGATAAAATACCTCGTGAAAAGGCAGAAGAGATGCTAGATAAAGCTATTAAGCTAGCCCTTGTTGAAAGATCTTACGACGCCGTCGAGATCCTACTGGCAGAGAAGGGAGAGATCACCCTAGGAGTCCACAATAGGTGCCTGAGCATTCGACACTTGGCTTGGAGATCGATCCTTGCTCCGTTCGGCCCTCTATCCGAATTACTACACGAAGACTGGATGAGAAGAAGGGACCTTTTTCTTCACGCAGAGTGAGTGATCTCCAGTGCATTACCTCCATGGCTTACTAACGCTAGATAGACCAGATTTGCAAGTCAACTATATTGACCAGATCTTTCATGATTCTGAAGGGAGAACTTTGGCCCAGCAAGCTATCTTGAATGGCGATCGAACTGTTTTTCAGATCCTCATCAGACACTTTGGTGCTGATCTACGTCTGCCTGCACCCCTGAGTTTGGACTTCCCAATCGACACTGTACCTCACGGCCAGATGAATCTGTACTCCTTGATCGCTCGCTCTGAGCAGTTCGACTGGTGGTTTGCGTAAGTACGCCTCCCAATATTCACGAACACCACCTAACTAGATGCAGAGAAGAAGCATGGAGTTTGAAGATACCCATATCATGGCCCCTGCTGTCACCAACGGCCACATCAGATCTACAGTTACCGCCACTCTACCATGCGCTTGGAAATCACTTCTGGGCAATGAGCTTCTGGCTTTTCCGGAATGGTGCAACAATGCTTGACGAAGTGACTAAGGGCATCGATCTTCTCGAGCTTCTGCTGTCACCACAATTCTTGGACGTGAAAATTATGGGGTTCCTATTTCCTCCTCTCCCAGATGCAAGTCACGACCTCCTGCCAGAATACTTTCAAAATGATCCGCAGTATTGGATGTTTCAATACCTACAAAAGGCGAAATTGTTCGCCGAACCGTACCGTGCCGGTGCCCATCGTGGAGATCGACCTAATACTTTCGGTCTTCATGCAAAAGACTCATACAAAGCAATAGGCGCACATTGGAAAATTCTGTTCGAGTCCCATCACCCTGGCTTGGATCGGGCGAATACCGTAGGGATATATTTTCCTAGTGGTGACTGGAGGCCTATCATTCGAAGACACTGTATTTTCCGCCAAGCCCTGTCACTTGGCTGGGAGACTCTAGAGGACACCATCAAAAGCTACCAGGAGAATGGTAACTTCCCCAGACAATCATGGAGTTCATTACTGATAGGCTCTCCCTTGGACGACATGTCTTTCACGGGGATGGGAAAGTCCGATCTGTGGCAAGACTACTGGTACCTCCCAAGCATCTGGCACCGGCTGTTCCAGCAATGCGTATCTATCGCTATATGCATACTCCTTGTGATATACACCAGCCGAACAGTAGAGTTTCGATGGCCTCGTCAGGAAACCGCCTTCGAAGATATCCTACTCGACTTCAAGTCAACTATCATCTTGATAGGAGTGGTCGTGCCCGCCGGCATCGGAGTTGTCGTTGCGGGCATTGGCATTAGAACCGCATCTTTCGGAGATTCTAGCGACGATAACGGGCGTAAGATCTCCAATCATCCAGTCCATGCGTTCATCAATGGTTGTGTGAAGATGTGGTTCGCCTTGTATCACAGGTACCTCAGCATCAGGTATCTAAGTTCAGTTGAAGACTGCGATGAATACGTTCTTGGGTCGCAATATCAGCTCTTGGCACGACAATCAGATTTTACGCGTCGCAAAATCTGAACTTAGCATTTAACTACTGAGGCCACATGAAACGCAACCCAGAACTAGTTTGATTAAGATATATCTTAGGTGCTCTTTATCCTCCTCGTAAGATACATCACACCCGGCAGGAGTTCAAATCTCGGAGAACTTGTGCCATGAATTGCTCCGGGTCTGACTTTCCAGACAGCCAATCCTTCAGCTCGAGGCATCTCACCACGACATCTCTGTATCTGGTCCCAGTTTTAAATCCGAGGTGATCCGCTGCAAAGAGGAGCGCAGCCTGGTTGAACTTCAACTTGCTGTCCTTCCTTTGGTACTCTTTCTTTAACGAACTCACAGTGCGCCAGTATCCGAGTTCAAGAAGAACGATACCCAAGGCGAATACGTCGAAGCCGGCATCGATCCTGCGTACTCTGTCGATTGGATTCACTGTTTGTCCTATTGCACCTTCTGCTGGCAGGGGGTCCTTAACATCCCACCAGCCAGTCATGTCAGGCGGTGGGCGATAGAGCATATGATCAGAATTCGTATCCTGAAGCGTCGATAGGTCGCCAATACCACTATCTGGCCGAGTGTAGCTGTGTCCAACGACATACAACTCTTTATATGCTTCAGGCTCAAACAAGAGCACGTTGTCCGAGCGAAAGGCCCGATGCAGCCACTTGATTGCTATCCAGTTGGCAATACTTCGCGACAGAGCCCGTGCCATGTCGAGACGCACGTTGAGATCCGGGAGGTTACGTTTCTGAGTTTGGTTGATACGGTCGTGGAGCGAGACAGGAACCTGGCCTAAACTTTTGGGGAAAGTGAAAACAAGCCCCGTGCGTTTGTGATTGAGATCGCTTGTGACCCAGCCCTCACAACGTAAGATGCGGAAGTTGACGGGGTTGCTGAGGTCTTGGACTGACGGATTTGCGGCTTCAGACATCTCCCGGAGAGTATATGTCAACTGGTTGAGCCGATTGGCGGGATTGATGGGGTCTTGGTCTCTTCGTTTGAACTCTGGTCGCCACTCAACGAGGAGACGTCGTGAGGCAAGGTCTTTCATTCCTTCCGGAAGGACCCCAAATGTCCTATCATGGCCATCGAGCTCGCTCAGCTGACAGTTATTGTTCCATGTTGGTTGGCTTTTGGACATGTCTGGCATCTGCAGCCAACGGATCTTATCCCTGTACCTGAAATGGTTGTCTCCTGCATTCATCCCCTGGCAATATTTATTAGTATTGAATCTCCCAGGTAATTGCAGGTTGGGCATGACTAACTTGAGATGTTTTGGCCATACTCATAGTCAGGTATCTGATTTGTGCTTCCACAACCAGGTCTCGGTTGTCTTTGTCCATGTCCACTCTGGAGAACTTAGACAAAGCTTCAAGATCTGCGGGTCCTAGCACATTATTTCTAATACGATATCTCACATGATCCTTTACTGTATCTGGAAGTAGGTCTTCGAGAATATTGGTATTGCCCGTGAGCCTTTCGGTCAATTTACTTATCTGTGGTTCATCAGCGGCAATATAAGAAATGGGCTTTTTTTTGTTCCCGAGTTTTTCATCATGTTTCTTTAATAATGCTTCAAGGCTGTTTAGATCCTTTTGAATGGAGTGAAGCAAGTCCTCTAGCAACGAGCTTCTCCCCCTATTTTGGAAACCCAGCATCAACTCTTCGTACACTTTCAAGCGCTCCTGATTGAAATGGAGCTTGATAAAATAGTTGTCGAGATCGGGTCTTCGTTGTTTCCATGTCTGGACGTGACCGTAGAGCTGGATGCAAGATGTGATGAGGCCAGGTACAGCAGCGACGGTACCGACGGCCAATGACCCTGCATCCATGCTTGTGGGGATGAGTGAGTTTCTGCGATTAAAGAAACGCAAAGGTCTTTGAGGTAAACCCAGTTGAGAGTCGATACAGGCCAAAAGAGATTGTATTGGGTACCGCTGAACTTCTGATGTCTAGGTCTCCAGAAGACTGAATGTAGCCCGAGCAAGTCGCAGTAGTTCAATTGTCTTCTGGAATTGAGGCACAAGTTCTATGATTTTTGCGGCTGAGTCGGAGGCGGAGCAAGGCAGACAGCGATACAGGGGGCAGTTGCACAATCCCCAATTATTTCCAATCAGGGGCTAGAATAATCTAAACGCTCATTTCACATCCTGGTTCTATGACCGAAAATACGGTCAGTATTAGGCCTTCTTAATGATGCCTTGCGGGAGCCTCGCGCACAATCGAAAGCGGCCACTTGTCCCGCCACCACGCACCCGGTTTAATTAATAGGCAAGCTGAGGGATAGAGTCAATGCCAGTGATTAGTCGGCGAGTGATAGAGAGATGGGAGCCTGTCAGCCAACCAAGCAGCTACAGGCAAGGCAATGGCGCTAAATAGTGCACTTGCAGAAGCAGTCTCGGTGGCTCCAGCACAAATTCATATCACCGTTTCTGAGGCTTGGCTTGCTGCCTCGCAGCGTAGATGACTGATCAATAAGGAACGTAGCCCCATTTCACTCAATGTCTCATCCCTAATCTACACTCCCAACTGACTAAATGATCTTTTGTTTGCTTATAATTGCCTAGTCGCTCACGCTCACCCTGATACCCCATCTCCCCATACACAATACACAATACAAAACCACGCCTTCCTCATCTGCAACCACACAATAGCCACTACTTACTGCTTTCTCCCCATCACAGAGCGGTGTAACACCGTCGCGATGTGCGTTGCAAATGAACACTCTCGCCTCGACCGTCGCTGCTCAATCAAGCCCCAGCTTCATCCCTACACATCCTCTCGTTTCGGTCGCCGATATGTCGCCGATGTCGACGCTCACCATCCAGCACACCGAAACGTGGTGCTGCCAGCGCCTTCATCGCAGAACCTTCCACTCGTTACGGTCGTTACCGACTTCATCCCTAGCACATGGTGGCGGCTCTCATGGATAATCCTTCAAGCCAGCAGACTCGCCGCTGCGATCTTTTAGATATATGAAACGGTCGTCGCCCTTAACGAGGGGAGGAAGGTCCTGGTTGTTGTCGAGCCTCTGAAAGGTCGACGACTTGCGGCCCCAGATGTCCTGCCCGTCGCGGACGGCGCTGGCGATGTGGTCCGGGTTCCGGTACTGGGGCCCGTTCATCCAACTGTGGGAGAAGGAGGCCATCTTGTTGAGGAACTGGTCGACCGAGTCGAAGCAGCTGCTGCAGTGCCAGCTCGAGTTGGCGTAGCTGCCCGACTCCTTCTTACGGGAGTAGTAGTTGCCGCCGCCGCTGCCGCGGAGGTCGTTTGGTTTGAGCGTCTTTTCTGCGTCGAAGTAGGTAGCCTGGGGGTGGTGCCACTCGGGGCCGACGCTCTGGAACTGAAAGGAGTAGTAGTAGAAGCGGGAGAAGAGGGTGAGCCTGCGGGGGAAGTTGCAGGCGCGCAGGGTGTGGATGGTGTCGGGGCGGGGAATCTCGTCGACGTCGGCGACGACGAGGACGTCGCCGAGGCGGGGGGCGCGGTCGCCGGTCAGCTTGGGAAAGACCTGCTCGTAGCTGGCGTCGCGCTGCAGCGACTCAATGTCCCAGGTGCGCTCGGGGCGGAAGCTGCCGGAGAACTCGAGCTCGTGGTAGAGCATCTTGTCGTGGTACTTGGCGAAGCGGTCCCAGCTGTCGCGCAGGTGCATGGGCTTGGCGTGGCCGTGGAAGTTGATGGGGGACTCGACAATGATGAAGACGTCAACGGCGTCGTAGAGGGCGTCGAGGCGGATCTCGAGCCAGTCGAGCTCGGTGTTGATCATGGTGAGATCGTAGACCTTGCGGCTGGGGGCGCCCGAGGCGGCGGCCGGGAAGGTGTCGAAGCCGTGGGCGGCGCAGAGGCCGTGGTGGGGGAAGTCCTCGAAGACGCGGGCGGGGAGGAGATCGTCATCGCGGAGGAAGAGGTAGGCGAGGGTAAAGAAGAGGGAGGCGAAGACGGCGAGGTAGAGCATGGCCCGACGGGGCTGCTGCTTTATAAGGGCGCGAATCATAGCGAGTGCTTGTTGATAGATGTGGATCGTCATTGATAGGATGGATGACAAGGGGGGAGAAGGGGGGGGATTGACGCGTTTCGGTGTAGGATAGTTTCACCCTTGCAGACGCAAAAACCTTGACAGTTTACACAGACGCTAAAACGTTGTCTGGTCTTTGGATAAAACAGGAATAGAATAGGGGAAAAATAGGGAGGGAAAGGGGGATGATAAGGCCAAGGTTTCAGGACGGCGAGGCAATAATCGATTTAATCTTACACACCCTGATTGATGCCTAGTCTTCAACAAGTTTGGCAATGGCCGAGATAGAAACCCACTCAAAAATACAGAGAGAGGCTGAAATATGGTACAGCCCCTTGGCATACGAGATCCGATCGACAGCGATGCCTCGAAAGGGCAATAAAAGATCATAAACAATGCACCGCTTTGGACAAAAGTAAAGCCCATCTCAGCGCCAGCGTCCACATTGGGACCGCGAGGTCCCGATCAAGATGGGCGAGCTTTCCTAGACCTGAGAAGACTTTGATCCGAGATCCGTGCCTAGTATTATAACTGGTATACACAAGGCTAATATGAAAAAGTGGTGGAAGGAGGATACCTTACGATTAGAGGAAAAGGCCGGGGTTCTGTTAGATCAGCTCGTTCAGCCGAGATCGAGCACGTTATCGAGTCCGAGACACCCATATTAAATTCGTCGTACTATCTCGTATCCAGAAGCCTCCGAAGCACGATAACGCTAAACTCGGATGATACTGTATCGAAAACTTGGGGAAACGCCCGGCTCAAACCTTAGAGGACGTCTATGTAACGGGAGACTATATGAACCAACTGGTGGGTTATAGTAGTTGTGGCGAGTGTTGCATCATTGTACCAACAGCAACGGATCATGCGCTTATTATAATTGCTGTTGACCCCTATATTCCATCTCTCGATATATGGTTTTAGAATAAACCGCCTTCTTAGAGCGACTTGGTATAAGTGAGTGTCTAAACAGTTGACCGGTATCGTATAACATATCATTAATATGAATATACCAAGCAGGGGCCACAGCAGCAGCCTAATCTCACCTAAGCGGCTATTAATTAATATAAATCTGACCTCGTGCCTTAGAGCTCCTCGTATTATTATACCTCCCGTGGGTTAGGCATTGCTCCATGCTCTGGGTTTCGCTGCTCACCTGGCCTTTTCATGCCATAATATTAAAATTCATTTTGGTGGCTGGACTTGGGTCTATGCAACCCTACCCGAGATGACACAGTGACATACCGTTAACCAGAGTGTCCCAATAAGACGTCAGCTTCTCATGGAAACTCACATTATGGTCACAATCTGTCACACTCAGCGATGATGCATTTCATCCTGGCCTGAACGATATGCAATGGAACCCAGGACACTTTAGAGGTCACTGCTGGGACTCCGAGGGGGCGACGAAATTGTAGACGAAGGCTCTGCGATGCCTACCAGCAACAACTGACGAACTCCTAATTATGGTAGTAAAGCTAATATTAATATGAGAGTACTTCTAGGGCGAGCTGTACTGGGTTAGGTGGTACCTGCCCGTCTGCTATTCAAGTGGTAAATAGTACCAAAGATCTCAAGTCCCATATACCTCGGCAATACTTGTTATGTAGTCGCAATGGTTGGGTATCAACTCTAATTTAACTGGCACAAATTGCGATGGGGGATTGATGGACACGAGTGAGGGCTTCGGCAGGTCTATTAAGCTGTATTTCGTGTAGAGCCCTTGAATGGTATACAGCACTCTGGCGATGAAAGACCCTGAGATAAATCTACACATATTGCAATGAGTGCAGATTAGTCGCTTCTTTACTTGAATTTAATGGGGTAAAAACCGCTTCCCTCTACTGTACGGCTTCTCCAGACATGGTTCCATCAGTAAAACTGCCACAAAGGAACCCGCAATGCCCTTTTTTCTTTAGTCTTGATTGACCTTGGGATGAAAGGAAGCATTGAATCTATGTCTAGATGAATAGTATATGGTTCTTTGTTGGTTAAAGCTAAGAGTCGAGAAATTCTAATTAGAGCATGGAAGGAACAACCAAATCTATATATTCAATCGAAAGAATGAATTAATTCGAACATGTCCCTTATGTCTTCTTTCCGATATTTTCTGCCTTCCACTGTGGCACGCTCTTAAAGCCAAACTCTTCAACAGTAACATAGTCTGCAGCTTGGGGCCCCAAGTGAAGAATTCTCCCAAAGAACTTGATGATGACGAAAAGAATTTTGGTGCATGATAGTGAAGAGACAAGAACATGCAGAATCCAGATGCCCCAAGCTGTCTCGGGGTTATAAAAATGTGGCTGGCCAGGTGCTAACTGCTGCGCATCATCGATTATTGGTCGCATCTGCTCATTGTACTCGGCAAGCGAAGATAACGGATCGTTGCTCTTTCCTTTGATATATGTCTGGAGATAGCCTGCTAGCTTGTAAGCCGCGCTGAAAGCTAGAGTTGTACCCATTCCTGAGATGGGAGAGGCACAGTAACTTTGCAACTGTTAGTAAGAGCTGTCAAATACCGGACGAGACTTCAGAACTTACCCTGCATCACCTAGAAGCACCACTCGTCCCTTGTTCCAACAGTCCATCTTGACCTGGGAGACGGTGTCATAGTAGAAATCATCTGTGGCCTTCATCTCTCGTATGATTCTCTCGCATTCCCAACCAGCATCTTTGAAGTATTCCTCTAAAAGTGCCTTCTGGGCCTCCGCGTTGCCATTGCCCTTGTTCGCAACCTCCATAAATCTTGGGTCCTTGTCATTCACCACATACATGAAGATAGTGGACCTCACTCCTGCGCCATCGGGACGGATCATGATCCCTCGCCCGCCAGGAGCATGGAACCATCTTCGCCAATTGCCGTCGTGATCCTCCCGCGGGATACTGAAGAAGCCAGCATACATTCCGATTGGATTCAGCCGTTCCTTTTCTCCTTCTTCGCCCCAGACCAACTTTCGAGTCCGGCTCTGCATCCCATCGGCCCCAACGAGGAGATCGAAGCTTCTTCTCTCTCCGCTCTTAGCGAAAAGCACGCGAACCTGACCGTCTTCTTGCTTTATCTCTTTAAGATACTCTCCGAAGATATACTCGATTCCTTGGGCGCCGTCCGCTTCCGCTATGGCGCTGACTCTCTGGCTATTCTTCCAGCACAGCTCTGACAGTTTGCCTCTGAGAATCTCGATGTCGGCTGTCCCGGATTGTATTGTGCCTGTTTTATCAACACCCCGCTGTGACCAGACTCTATTGTTCTCATCGACCAGCTGGACGCCTTCTTCTCTAGTGGTGGCAGCTCTGATTTGTGCTTCGAGCCCGAGCTTGCGGATGATTGTCACTCCTGCGCCGCGGATGTCAATGTTTTGGCCGCGCAGGTGAGCCCTCCCCTTTGCTTCACGTTCTAAGATGGTGATGTGAGGTTTCTGAGAGGGAGGGACATCGGACAGTAAGAGAAACGATGCTAAAGTTGGACCTGCGATACCGCAACCGACAATGAGAATTTTGGGGGGAGTCATGGTGGCTTGGCTGTCTTGGATGATTGCTTGTTCTTTGGGTGGCGGTGTGCTAGAAGGGGGTTTATATCTGAGGAACAACGGGTGCTACTGTTTGAATTATATATGAATCTGGGACCTACGAATTACAAGAAAGTCGGACTTTGAACTTGTCCGAATAATGTAGACGGACAGACCAAGAACCGGGATGGTCGTGGAGAACTGTGCGCTATCAATCGAGGCCAGCTGCCCGGAATGTCATCTGGATCGATCAACAATGGTTTTAGCGGCGTATGTGACGTGTACATGCCGAAAATCGCGTAATATTCAGTTCAATATAGTGACGCGTATGGGACAGAATGGTTGATAATTGGGCTGACTTGCTTGGAGGCCGATCGGCTTCGGGCCCGATGGAAATGCCGTCCTCCGATTGGCTGGCCGGTTTCGGTGGTGTCTGATATTCACATCACCGACTGCGTTAGTACCTGTAAAGTATATTTCTACGGGAGGCGGAGCGCGTTCTCAGTTCCTGTTTCGGCAACAAGATATCCGAAATACTGAACAAACTCGGATAATATCGTTCACGTTTTAAGCCTCAACTTTCTGGCGAAATCAGTCTAGCCGATATCTGTCTTTGCCTCCTAATGTTACGTAGGACACCTCTTAGTTCCATATATCTCGGTCATTTTTGCGGAATGTTTCAGTTTAATATGCCATATCGATCAATATGTTGACAGCAACAGATCAAATTGTGCTACGGTATTGATGGAAGACATCTGCGTTTCCATAGCATGTGTGTGGGGATGGGCGATTCGTTTCTAAATACTCCTAACTGACATGTTACTTTACAATAGGCTGCATCTTCTGATGGAGTTCCACATGAATGGGTCATAAGATAGAATGATGAATAGATAAGTGCTAACGTTCGAATGCTGGAAAACAAAGCAGTAATATATACAAGTAGACTCTTAAGCTAACTTCGTCTTCGGAGTGAGGTCCATAAGTAGAAACGCCTCTAGAATAACACTCAACTCAAAATCAATACCTCCTCCTCTCCGCATCTCCACCAAAGTCTCCCCATCGTCTTCGATACTTATTGTCGCAAAATTCAAGTCGTTTACTGTCGGATTGATCGAATTATGGAGTGGACGTTCCCAGCATAGTCTCCCACCTTTGCCCTCGTCGATTTTCCATAGAAAGGATTGAGATTTGGCAGCTCGGCCAGGTACTATAACAACCGGTATATGGGTTTCATAGTCTACAGCCAAGAAGCCTTTTTCTAGAGCAATAGGCCGCCAGACCGCATCAGGATCAGAGGGCGAAGATGTACATATAGTACCTATAGGCTGACTCTTACTTTTCTGATCAGTTGATACGCGTACTGCAGCAAGGAGTTTGCTACTAGATGTAGAAAAAATTTGGATATTGCCAAGTTTATTAGGCCCGAGGATGAGTTCAATGCGGTAAAGAGGCGTAGGATCAACCGTAAGAGACAGATAGTAGCTTGTCTCAGAAACACGGATAATAGAGAAGTAGTCAATCTGGCCATCCTTTATTGAGCATGTTTGGATAGTACCACCGAGACGGTTGATACCGTTGGTGGAAGATGGCTTCTCCTGGTAGGGAGGCAGAGTATTGATACTGGAAGACATTTTGAGAGGTGCGAAGATTAATAATTGCTGGTGCTGAAGAAGTGCGATTGTATTTAGAGAAGGGTAGGCAAGATACCGGCATAATTCCTCAAAACTTGGACCAAAGGAATCCGTTCTATATAAGATCTATAAATATAATTAGTGAAACTACCTAGTTAATCCATATTAAAGCCTCAGTATAACTAGTTATCTACGTCATCCTTTTGCTATTGCCGGGATATCGCTCCTTCAAAAAGAAGGGTAAGGGGGAGGCGAACTATTCAGGCACCCTCTGTACTAGTTTCTACCTATTTATATAGACGTTGGTGTAGAGCTAAGAAATGCCCACCACAAGTGATTCTTTGCCGGGTATTCTGATGTAAAAATAAATCAATTCCCAGGTCCTGGCAAGGGCACTTAAGAACAACTCGTCATGTGACCTCATTGTCATCATTGACGAACGAGGCGCGTTTGTGTTGCGAATTGCAGAGGCCAAATTCTATGAACAGCTGAATCGGGAGCTCGAGGGGAAATTTGCACGGATAATTTACATGATAAGAGTTCGTCAGTATTTAGGGCTCTAGTAAAAATGAGGAAATCCATCGCCTGTCTTCCGATGCACTGAGCAGATAAGGATTCTTTGACAGTCCACACTAATCAGGCAACTATATTAATGCTTAGTTTTATACGCGACCCTTGTTTGTTTCAACCAAACTAACAAATGCCAACTGTTTTAATGCCCAGTTTTATACCGCGACCCTCGTCAGTGCTCTAGCCAAGCGTCTACTGGTACTCACGTGCTTGGATTGGTGTGTTGAAGTGCTTGGATTGAAGACAAGTGTGAAGCCAGGTGAAAGACGGCTCTTTGATAGTCATTCGACGAACCGCTGTCCTGACGGCGAGTGAGTTATCCGTACGAAGGGTCATGGAATTTTCCTATCGTATGACTACATCTTAGGCGGACAGGAAATGCTATATTTTCATTGAGTTATCAGGCCCTGGCAGCTTCATTGCTGTTAATCTTTATTCTCTTTCTCTTCTGTATACCGCGACCCTTGTTTGTTTCAACCAGACTAACAAATACCCTACTAGTATCCCTCCGGTAGCTTGAGCTCTTTGAGGATTTCGTGGCTAATTTGGGGTGATCAGCTAAGATACTGGCCGAGAGGAGAGCCGAAATGCATACTTCAAGATGATCGTAATTCGAACACCGATTAGGCAAATATATAAATAAGATAGTATCTGCTAATGTTATTCAGAGTTCATAAATTAATCAGTAAAATATATCCTACTCTACCAATCTCTTTCCTACACTCCGTCTTCAAACAAACAAACACGAACAACACCTTTTCACCTGCCATCATGCGGTTCAACATTGCCTACGCCTGCGCCTTCTTGTCCATCACCACCCCATTTGTGGCTGCTGTAAAATGGAATGACCAGAAAAACGACAAAGTGTATGTACTTGTATCTCAAGCTTCACTTGAAACTCTTGACCCTAAATGAACTTTTACACAGGTACGCATATGCTGCATCAGCCTGCTTCGTTGGATCCACGATTTGCAGTGCTGTTGGCCAAGTTGCTGTTGGTCGAACGCTTACGGCCGCCTCAATTTGCTGCACTGTTGTCGGTACTACAGCAACTGCCGACCGAAATAAAGAATTTGAAGAGACAAAGAAAAGGGTTGGTGCGGCTGCTACACTTGTCAAAACAAAAGCCGGGGAGTATACAGATAAGACGGGAAAGTTCATTGTCGATTGCAAGGACAAGGTTTGCAAGCTGGTTGCCAAGGGGAAAGGGCCCATCCTCCCCAGGAGGACAAATGACAGCATCCGCAAGCGCAGGGACTCTCGACGCAACGAGAGACGCAGCGGATACAGCAAGATGAAGCGTTCCGCAGACATGCAGGTTCGGAGCCCCAAGCCAATGACCATGGATTATTAGTACTAGGTTATTTAAATAACACGTTGAAGTGAATAAACCTACCGAACCTATTTGATCCCGCACTTAGCATCCACGGAGGAAACGCCCAGTACAGAGGGGCAAATGTGCGCACTTGATATCCTGATGCTGTGATCATGCGAGGCGGATGGGATCTGTCGATGTACCTTGTGCTCACGCCTCACAGCCTAGAAGAGCTCCGTCCCATGGCCGCTAGGGTCAAAATATGCCATTGCGCCCACCAACCACTAGCAAGTTGTTTGAGCAAAGATGGCTGTCAAACAGTTGTCCTAGTTTAGTCGGACACAGCACTAAAATCCTTCATCATGCAACTGGCAACTGGTTAAACGCTATCCAGAAGCAGGGAAATTAACCTCGGTTAAGCAAATAACGGTTTATTCATATAGGGAGAATAGCTTCTTTTTAGACAACCAGGATGTTGACGTGCCAGGGGCAAGGCAGTGACTCAGAGAGTGGGAATCCGGTGGCTGAAGCTTTTATCGCCACCAACTACCGGTCCGTTAAGGCGACTAAAGCAAGATCATGCTGATAGAGGGATTTGAGATGCTGCAAGGCCCTTGAGTAGTCCTCTGCTGTCTCACCGGAGAGAGGCCCGAAGGCGATGCAGAAATAGGGTTGGCAGGAGTTGGCTTGGATCCCATTCTTGGGATCAGCAACCATCTGCGGAGCTTCAGCCCTTCACTGAAACCCGCTATCCGAGCATGGTCAATCAAATGGCAATATGCGCACGGAATAAAGTAGTAGTAGTCAGTGGTAATATATTTATCCTGATAACACCCTATTGGGAAGTAATCAACTAGGGGTATAAATAACTTTGCTGGCTAAACTGACCTACCCTATACCCTAGGATTTCCGAACAACCTGCCCGCAACTATACAGATCCTTTCATTTCAACCTTGAAAAAACACCTGTACATTGTATTAATTCATTTACGAAGTAAAGAGTTCAGATATATCAGTTAAATTCTCTGTCCGTTTCTAGCCAAGCCTCCGTTGTGTCCACATCCTGTTCAGTATAGAGAGTCTAGAAAAAGAGAAAGACAAAACATCAAAACACAGAGTCTATAAGTGCACTTGCAGCCTTGAATGGCACTCTCCTAGGTGGCCTTTGTGATTTTCATGCTTAGCTCCCTCCTCGCTTGAGCTAATCCTATCGAACTAAGTTTACTCAAAATGTGCGCCCATGCTGCTGGACGGCATTCTGGTGCTCCACGACAATGTAGTCTACACCAATTATCATCCTAGCAGACTCCAAGTCCATGAAATTCGCTTCATCAGGTTGGATCTTGGTGATGTACTCGTTGTCGTTGGCCATGGCCTGCAATGTCTCCAGATTGTGCACCCAAAATTCCGCAGCTCCATCGAATTCAAGAATTGGAGCCGCACCCTCAACGCGCCCAAGATCGCGGAGTTCTGGAGTAGAATGATACTACGCAGAAGATTCAAATTAGTATAATAGCTAAACAAATCAACACCTACGAGGGGCGCCTACCTGGGAGTACTTCACAACTCCGAGTCGCAGGTGAAAAGGAGTGGCAAGGGCTGCATGGTTGTAGGCCCAGTATTTGTTGAACTCCTCGGGTGTGATGCCTTGCTTGCGGTTGTAGAAAAGTTTGACATGGTAGACTCGCTCCATGTTCATCGTGCAGGCGGCCTTGTAAGTCATGCAGCAGCAATCTTCAGGAACCAAAGGGATGGTGGCGTTCTGATTCTTATTGGGACAAGTATGAGAGCCCCGGGCAGCGACTAGAGGGAATAGAGCGAGAAGGTTAATGAATTTCATGTTGGCTCGTAGGAGAGTGGGATCCAAGTCTTTTGTTGTTGCTGGTTGCTAGTTGTGGAAGAAGATTGGTGAGGGACAATCTAACCGACCTGTTGTAGGCTTTTATAGTAAATTGTAATTCATACTGTAAAATAAAGCTGCGACTGTTTAATTCTAGGCCTTCTTCATCTTTCTCATGACCTAGTCTATACCAAAGTCTGACATGGTCATGTACATCTCTGCACTCGATAATTAGGCCGTCTATCTCGTTCAAATCGCGCCTGGCGCAAAATCATCCGTTTCTAGCTAGTTAATTATCCGTCCCTCTCTAATGGGAAGTTTCCATTTAATCATAACATTACCTCAGCCTCAACGTGCCGTTGAAAAATTACCCGTTTGGGTAGTGGATGGACGGTTACTCCACCCCGTCGGCGCAACCAACTGGAATCAACCAGACTTAATCGCTTCATCAACCAAATTCCAAGTGTTATTCGCCACTGCGTTCATTTGTTCCTCGTCCCAGACCGCCTTGTCCTTAATTAAACGCCCTTTGTTGTCGATATTACTCCAGTATTTGCCCCCGCCCTCGGCATCAGCTGCTGCTGCTGCGCGTTCAGAAACCCCATTGAGTAGATACTGAGCGCATGTGTCTGGTGTCACGGTAATCAAAGGAGCTAGAGTACGTGCCAGAGCCTGCAGATACCACGGGAGATTCCTTAGAAGGCCAGTATCAACGCCGCCAGGGTAAGCATGGACAAAATGTCGCCTTTTCCCTTCCTTTGTATCCTGCTGTTGAGACGAAGCATAATGCTGAATCATGATGTCATTCATCACCATACAGTTATTCGCCGCAGTGCTGAGGCCGTAATGCCGCTTTAGGTCCAGATCATCCCATAATAGCTTGTTGGGGTTGCCAGTTTTGCCATCATACACAATAATGACCTTGCCGTCTGGCTTGAGTGTTGGAAGAAGCTCACGGATGAGCAGTTGCTTTCCGTAGTAGTGCAGGGCCATCTTTCGGTCGATTCCCTCTACTTCCGTTCTTCCAGCCATGGACATGATGCCCTGGGACATGATGAGAAGGTCTAGCTCTCGGCCAGGAACGGATTTGAATGTATCGGTGTACTTCTTGATCTGGGACATGGACGTTGCATCGAGAGGCCGGAATTCCATATTGGGATATGGTATCTTTTCTGGTTTTGTGCGGCCGCTGATGATGACTTTGGCTGAGCCTGCTTCTGCAGCGACTCGGCAGGCCATTGCGTAGCCTATGCCACTCGTTCCGCCCACTACTATTGCCCGAGTAGCCATGCTGTCCGCTGTTCCAGTTGTCGAGAAGATGGAGAATAATCTGTTTGTCGTAAAAGTTGGCTGAGATATCAACCCCCCTTTGATTTAGAGACTGGTCTTCACTGCCCTTTTTCTTTGTGGATTGGGACGGATTTGGTTAAAGGAGGCGGAGATGGCGGAGATCCGATATCCGGCCGAGTCTCGAAAATCTCGCTTCTCATTGGTGTGATTCTCCACCAGGCTGATCATCTTGCGAGCTCCGTTTCATCTCCATTCCATCTCCGCCAGCCATAAACATCACCACCTCCGACCGCATCATTCCATTTGGCGGGATACAGACCCTATGCGCCATACCAGAGGTATAATTAAATAGCTACGAAAGAATGGCAGACTTCCCTACGCCCGATGTGCTGGCCAAGTCCAAACAGAAGAACTGCAATGGCTGTGTCCAGGCCAAGCGACGCTGTGACAGGCGCACTCCAACATGCTCCCGGTGCATAGAGAAGAGAATACCTTGTACTTGGGGGAAGAGGAAATTGACGACGGGCCATCCGTCAATCAGGCGACGGCTCGAGTGCGCCCCAGCCGAAGAGGCGCTTCCGTTCGGAGACTTTACGCCTTCGTCCTTTGTGTCAAGCCTCGACTACCTTGATAGCCTACACACACCCTCACATATCAACGCCGGGGCCGAGATATCTGCTACTCCAGAAGACCATATGCATAGCTACGTATTGGATCCCGAGCTCGATCCTGATCTTCCCATGGACTCCTTTCTGGACTTGATGAATGATACTGCGCCAGCTCGCAGCCAGTCACTCGTACAAACCGAGAAACGGACTTTGTCTAATAGACCTGGCACGCCGGCGGGAGACGAAGTTATGCAGTCTTATATGAAAATGACTGGTCTCTGTGTAGGTCCTTTATTCCAAACCAGTGCTTGCTGCCGTTGCCAGTGATACTGATTTGAAATGCAGACTCAAATTGAGCCCTGGTCATTATATGATCCTAAATCCCTACTCAGTTGTGTTGTTAGAGCTGTCAAGAGTTTTGTCACCGACGCAGGATCGCGGAATGCCACCCCGTTCCTTCACCGTTATCTATATAAAACACACGCACCAAAGTCGATCCTCGATTGTCTCGCAACGAGCCTCCTGTACTCCAATAGAACAGAAGAAAACTCGGTCATGGTGATGCGATCCCTGCATAAGAATATAAAAGAACTTATAGAGGGCGAGGGTTTTCAAGGTGCTGGCATGCCATTAGAACGGCTGGCGCGTACGCAGGCTCTGTTTCTATACCAAGTCATCCGGCTAATGGATGGTGATATTATACTCCGCTCGATGGGCGAAAATGATATACCTCTTCTGCATGACTGGATAGAGGATCTTTGCGGCTTGCGTGAAAATCTTGGTGAACAAGCGCATCTTGCCGTTACCGGGATGCGCAGCCAACCCCCGAAAGAATGGGAAGTAAGTTGGCATTGATTTCATGTCCAAAAAGGCCTTTACTGATCTTTCCTTTTCTTTTTCTTAGAGATGGATATTTGCAGAATCCGTTCGAAGAACCATCATAATGGCGCATTCATTCTTGGTGATGTATTCCCTGATGAATAGCTCCAAAGATACCCGTACATCTATCTACCGTTTCTCCGCCGCAAGAGTAATGATAACTAACTCTAGAGACAGGCGGTCGAGATTTCTGGATCTATTGCCATCGATGGACCATATCACGCCATCTCTGGGAAGCGGACTCCTCAGCTGAATTCGTGCGAGCTTGGAAAGAAAAACCCCAATTTATCATCACAAACTATTCCTTCGAGGGCTTCCTTGAGTATGGGAGAGGTGACGATGTCGATGATTTCAGCAGGATTCTCCTCAGCCTGTAAGTCGCCGAGATGATCACAAGCAGATACTTTCTCTTTCACTACTAATAATCTTGAGATAGATTTTTGGGGGAGGACGAGACAAAAGAGTTTATGAACGGTTCGAAACCGCCGGTGACTTCAGCGTAGTAATTCTTCTAGAAATGTAACTAGGTCATTTTTTCTTGGTCAAATCAAGCTATTTTATCTTACTAATATGGATATAAACCTGGTTTATTCATCCGGAGTATTCTTGTTGAAGAAGTGAAGTATTACTCATTAGAGCCTTTCTTGAACCCAAGATATGTGGTCACATGCTGAAGATGTTTGATATGGCTTCAATATGACCCTTAATTAATGAATTCGCCTCCAGGAAAGTCGCCAATGGTTTCCACGTCCTTCAACGCTTGTACTATGATCCCAACTGCTTTGACCAGGTCTTCTTCAGTTATGGTAATTGGAGGACTAAATCGTAGCCTGTTGAATCCATTTCCAACTAACACACCGCGCAGAGTTGCGAGAACGGCGGCTCGTCTAGCTGTCACTCCTGGTTTCGATTCATCAATGACAAGGGTGTGGTACATGCCACCTCCGCGGTGCTCGATGAGATGGGGGGGATTGAGGGTCTTAATTGTCTTTGTTAACAACGCGGACAGACGCTCAGCTCGCTCCGAGATTTTCTCTTCCTCCAAGACATCAAGCGCCGCCAGGGCAGCTGCGCATGCTGGGGGGCTTGCACCATAGGTTGAGAGGACTTCACCTCTGCCTATTACATCCATAACCTCCTTCTTACCCATTATGACAGACATCGGATAAAAGCCTGATCAGTTAGTGTGATTCAGTCAGGCTGGAGATAGGAATAGATAACTTGCCTCCAGTAACGGCCTTGCCAAGCGCTACGATGTCAGGTTGGACACCTTCCTCGTGCTGATAGGAAAGGTCTTTGCCAGTTCGCCCATAGCCCGACTGTACTTCATCACAAATCATCAAGATATTATGCTTCTTGCACAAGTCATACACAGCTTTCAGATATCCCTTTGGTGGGAAGATGGTTCTGCCAATTCATTTGTTAGCGAAGTGTTTCGGTCCATTTTCATTATCGCATAGGATTATTACCCTGCCCAGCCCTGGATAGGCTCCAGCATGAATGCTGCAATGCGGTGTCCATCTTCCTCAAACGTCTCACGGAGAGTCTCGATGTCGCCAAATGGAATTAGCTTCCTACTAGATGGCCCAAAAGGCCCGACGTTAGGCACGTGTCGGCCAAAATCTATTCACCAACTGTCAGCAAAAGTTTCAAACCGTCGGATCAGTTTACGGAAATGTCTTAGACAGAAGCCTGAAACAGGAACCTACCCTTAGAAACCACAGTAGCCAGAGGCATCGTTGCAAGAGTGGACCCGTGATAGCATTGATCACATGTGACGATCCAGGCTTCGTTCTCAGGAATACCTTTGACTGTGTATGCCCACTTCCGAGCGATCTTGAGAGCTGCGTCAATTGCTTCTGAACCACTCATCATAGTCGCAACGCGATCGAACCCGAATTTCTGCAATGCTTAGCTTCTATATCCAGCCCACGGGGGAAAATCATTCAAGCTCGTACCTTGTTGATTCGTTCCGCGAACTTAACGTATAAGGGACTAATGTAAGCGGTGCCGCTCAAAGGCATCTTCTGAAGCTGGTCAACTGTCGCTTGGAGAATCTTGGGATGCGAATAGCCAAAGCTCATCACTGCAAACTGCGAGATAAAATCGATGTATTCTTTCCCGTCGACATCAGTGATAATATGGCCTTTGGCGCTTTCGATAGCCACCTATGAAAGTTAGTGCTATTGTAGGTTCCTTGACATACCCCTCATCTTACCGGGAATGTGGCGAAGCCGCCACGAATGTTCTGTCTCCATCTGTCGATAACATCTGCCGTTTTCTCGGACAAGGCTAGGCCATTGTCGTGATTGACTTCAGGGTTTGCCGAAGGCGCCATTGAGATATATCACTATTTTCTGAGCGTTGAATGGGGGTTTTTCGTGAAGGCTGAGGAGAGGGGAAGAAAGATAAGACTCAGATGTACTCGGAAGGGCGCCTTATAAATCAAGACTGAACTACCTAAAGGAGCAACGCTTAATGGGGTGTTAGACTCTTGAATTTGATTAATAATATTTACTCCAATTACCCTCTTTGAACTAACGAATGTTTTAGCTTCTCCAACGACGAGAATTACCATCTGTTGGAATTTGGTATTTGATTGAAATCACCACCATCCACGATCACATGGTAAATTGCCATGTTTACATCCTGCTCATAGGAGAGAAGGATCAACTCGCTATATCAAGCGCGATGGAATAATGCGCCCTATACTTCCCCGCTAGACAGTGTCCATAATACTCAAGTTCTCAGACCTTTTTGTAATCGAGAACTGGCACCTCCATAGCAAAAGATATTTCATTCTTGTTCTGTACTCACGGATGTCGCGGGAATAACATGGTTGTGTCAAGTCCCCAATGAGCCTTACACTTAGCTCCGCTTGACGGGCTTGAGCTTAACCATCAAAGGCCCCTTCTGCCATATCATATAGATCTTCTGATCCATCCAGTCCCCCTCATGACAATTCTCCAGATCAAAGTGCCAGACCAGATTGGCTATGATGAGCTTCAGCTCGAGATATGCCAAGTTTCTCCCTGCGCAATTCCGCGGCCCATACGAAAAAGGCTGCGATCCCTGTTTCTTGTCCCCGTCGAACCTCGGGTCTTCGCCCGTCCAGCGCTCGGGGATGAATTTGTCGCCATCCACGAAGCTGCCCTCGTCAAGGCATGCTGCGAGAATGGTCACACCCACGGCCATGTTTCCAGGAACGAAGTTATCGTCGATTGTGATACCCTCGGGAGGCGTGTAGCGAGGATGCGTAGCGGGGGAAGGGGGATAGATGCGGAGCCCCTCCTCGATGACACCGAGAAGGTATTTGCATTTGTTAACTCCTACAGCGGTAATTTCCTCAGCTGAAGAGAATTCCTCGCGAAGCTCTCTAGTCAACTTGTTGAGGACGTGGGGATGGGTCATTAAGAGAAATGTTAGACCTAGAGATAAGGAGTGTTAGTCAGTGCACTCCAGAGAGAGAGAGATAAAATAAAGTCTCCGTACCTGAGAGTGCAGTCGCGGTGGTCTCACTTCCAGCACCGAGTAGGACATCGGAATTCCCGACCAGCTGGTTGAAGGTCATCTTACCTACTCGGTGAGCTTCGACCAGTTTAGCCATAAAGTCTGGTATCGGAGGAGGATTCTCCATGCGATAATTGACTTTGGCCTGTTACGTACCAAGTTAGCCAAAGATAGAGGTTAAGGCGCTTCCTAAACTGGAGGAGTACTTACATTGCTGAGAGCTTTCATCTCCGCAACGTTGGCTTTGACATTTTTGGGTACTGCCCACATTGCATACGGGTATTTCATAATAGTTGGTAGCCGTTGCATTACTTGCATGGTGCTTGCGAGTTTGATGAAATGGAACATAAGCTCGACATATGGATGGATGCTGGAGCTGGCTAAGCATCCAAACGATTGACCATAGGCTACGTTGATAGGCGGGTAAGCATGAGGCCAGTGCAGAACATCTTCGAATCCTTGTAATTGTACTTACTAAGGTAGCCGATGATATCAAACGTAAATGACTACTTCTTGGTCAGCGATACATCCCGCTAAGATTCATGAGGTCTATGATATTCACACACGTTGTACCAGCGCAGCACGTCGACGGCGACCTGACCTTCGTGACCATGCTCACGCAAGCGTTGCATCAACATAGAAACGTGCTCTTGGATGACAGCCTCTTGGGCTCTCAGTGCGCTTTCAGAAAATCCGTGCGACAAAAGCTTTCGGAGGGTACCGTGATACTCCCGATCAGCGTTGATGAGAATTGGCTCAGGGACGAACTTGTGATATTTCTTGTCTTTGACCAGTTCTGGGCGGCCGGCCTTCTGGTGGCCATAGATTTCTTTGAAAGCGACCGCACTAGAGAATGACAGTTCGTCAGGGGCTACCCGAATCACAGGTCCGTACCTCTTGTGAAGGTTGCTCATTTTGATGGGAGCGACCCCTCGGTGAATCACATATGCATACCATAGATTTGAGACAGCTGCGATTTTGGGCCCGGGAAACTTGGATAGAGGATGGAAATAAAGGTTCCTGATTAATGTGCCACAGCAGAATATCACAGCCTGTGGATGAGTTAGGGGGTTATTGAATTTGCAAGCCCGGTGCTTTGGATAAAACTCACCGACAGCACCACAACACCAATGAGCACAACCGGGTTCAATAGCCCAGCGGTCAAAACTGAGGATTCCATGGCTTAGTCAGTTGCAATATGGCAGAAAAGCCTGAACTAGATGGTCTATCCATGGGCGGGCAAAAGTAAGGGACTAGCAAACCCCTCTTATACTTCCCGACACTGGGACGTGGTTGGTAAATGACGACCAAGTTGCATAAATTCCAGGTTCATGTAACGCACATTTGCAGCTAGCGCGTGTTTTATTAACCATGTATGGTAGGTGCTAATGCACTCGGAGAATGCCAAATATGTCCATGGAGAAAGTGCTTCACTGCAACTCTGATCCCAACCCTTATCGCCACATTTACTCGTCTATGAAACCCTAGATTCTATCTTTGCGCGTTCTCAAATCAGTCGTATTACTCCATATATAACCAAAACACTTTCAGTTGAAATATAAGAGTCCAAATTGTCAGCCATATGCCGAGCCAGTCCATGGAGGGCCGATAGAACTACAGAGTGCATGGTAATGTTCTACGTTTATATGGAGATTTCGACCTGTAAAATCTTGACCTATCCGGTCTACTCTAAATATTCCCGGTCGCTCTGTCCAATACAAGACCCCTGATTACGGAGCGTTCAAGTGGCCCCAGTAAGTGGTATCTCCATGGGGTCCATGGACTCCGTGGACTTTGCGTATGATCGCATATATTATTGGTCTACGCCGCCTGTGTAGTACTTAGGGGCGAATTATTAGACAGGCGAATGGGACAAGTTGAGCAACAAGTCTGGTAGAATACAAGGTGAAGAAGGTAGAGATTCCGATTTTAAATACCACATATATTCCATACTTGCTGTAATTTTAACCAATAAATTACACGACAAGATCCTCATACATTCTAGACTTGATATGTCTATCCTAGTAATGATGAACGCGGCTGAAGAACTATTCCGAATAATCGAGCGCAGCGACGAGAGGCGAAGATGACGATTGGAGAACTTCCTTCTTGGAATCATCTTTCTTCAGATACATATCAAAAAAGGCCGAAGAATAAGTCATGTATACGTCTGCCTTTGCTGAAAAGTTGCTCTTGAGATAGGCTGGCACGTTCGCTGTGAGCTCATCATTATATTGGTAGGTGTCGGCGATCAACATGTGGTTGGTCGCGTTGATTTCAACCTTGTATTTGGGCCCTGCGGCGCCATCGTAGAGCTGTCTTTGTGGTTTGAGCGTCGATTCGAAGTAAGGATCGTTGCCCGTCAAAATCATTAATGGTGTTTTGATGCTGTTAGCTCCTCGGGTTATTTCCGACGGTTTGATGAATACCGGTGGCGCAAGAGAGATTGCGGCTTTGATCCGAGAATCGTGCAGATCCGTAGGGGAGCTGAAGTTCCTTGACTCAGGCCAGGCGCAGAAGTTGACTTCAGTGAGAATAGGGTTCAGCAGATTCTGCTCCTTAAGAGTCATGGGATAGTCGCAGTTGACGGCCATGCCAGCTCCCACAAGAAGCGTGTAGAATCCTCCTAGTGAATGCCCCGCCATCCCAATATTCTCGGCGTCGATATTGCCATGAAAAGGGGATAATTTGTCTGAAGCTGCTTGGATAGCCTTATCAATCACAAAGCCAATCTCCTGTGGGCGATACTTGAGCCCTTCATGTGTGGTCCGGAACCACCAAGAATACGTCAGCCATACAGCGTAGCTCCCGTTTTGCTCTTCTTGATATTTCTTTGCTTGGGCAAGCGCGAGAGGGTTGGCCTTTGCTTCGGCTTTGGTCGCATCGAGGTGCTTGATACTAACAACGACATATCCATGACTGGCGAGGTTCTGCAAGAAGAAGTAATACGAATCGTCCCAAGAGGCTACTCCCGGAGAGAAAATGATGAGTGGATATGGGCCGTTTGATGAATCGAGCGGCGCATCGAGGACGGCTTCTCCGACAAGACCACCAGCATTGGTGAACGGTACTGCGTTATCCTCACTAGTAGCAGGATACCACCAGCTCACATTGAGTTGGCGATCCTCGAATGCGAAACTCTCCCTTCGGATGCCGACATGTTGGCTACCGGTGGTATTGGCCGTCTCGATTCCAGTGGAGATAGGGTCAAGCAAGCGAGCACCGAAGCTGAATGCTGGATCTGGTTCTGCAACAACCAAAGACAAAAAGAGGGACAGAAATGGAGCAATTAGCCGAGTCATTGGGCCGGAGATATTAAGGGTTGAATACTCTAGGTGGCACTGCTGGGGACTTGAAGATCTGAATTGACCTGGAGTGTCACGTCGCTTTATAGTACTTTCTCATAACCCCTCGCTTCGTATCAGACCCTACCGAGCCAAGCGTATGTCATAAGCCGGTCTATAATTTGATCTTTAATCAAGGCTGTTTTGCCTAATGCTCATTCACCAGAAGAACTGCGGCCAGTCTCCACATTCTAATGCCTTTCACCAGGCTGATGTCGATGAATCCCTCCAAATCGATGGCACACGAGGGTCGGAAAGCAGGGATTACAACAGAAGATGGTGGGGACGGTAAACGAAAGGTCCGACCACCGATGAGTGAGCACCAAATGATCAAAACCCATGTCGTTGAGCATTGTAGTAATTGGAGGAGGCGAGGGAGCCCGATCGTTTGAAACGAAGAGTTCTGCGTCTTGAAAATGACACCCTTTATTATCTCACATAGTAAATAATCTCCCAACCATGTACTCCGTAGCACTTATGTGGGGAACAGAAGAAATGAAACACTTGACGGAAGGGTGGTTATTAATCGACTGCTTTCTGCCATGATCTCGAGAAATTCAGTAGTTTTCTAGAGAAATAAAGTGATAGTACATACAGTATTATCTTTGATGTGTTATTGGGACTCAATAATCCAATAATATCGGTTGCTGACTTGACGATAAGCAGCTTAATGTTTGTGTGTCTCAATTTCAATGTCACCCACTTGGCACTTCATCGATTCCAAAGGAGCGGAGTCTCCAACCTCCGTCTCGCCGGCTTATGTTCTTGGGCTCCCAGGTTCTTAACAGGATTTCATGGGGCAAGCGAACGAAAGCCCCATTGAGGCTGCTGGGCTTCAATACGAATCAGATTGCGAAGATTTCGTTACATGCTACCCCTTGCTTTTTTCGTGGCATACTACATAAACTAAAATGTACAATAATTATAAGAGGCCAACCAATTGAGCTTTATATCACTACATCAATCTATGGCCATCATGATATTCAAAAAGTACTTTAATGTAAATGATAATTCAAATGATCGAATAAATAATTAATAACTCAAAGCTTAGATATGCTCTTCCTCAAGTACCGTACTTCGAGCCACAGCAAACCAGGGTCAGCAACCGCTTTAACCACTCCCGCAGATTAAATCCCGGAATCTTCTTGGTGGTACGGGGCGTTTGGCACATATTCTTCCCACTTCTTGCACCTTTCATCCAGATTGTCATAGTCCACCGAAATCACGTCCGCTATCTCCGATTCGCGTTCAACAAACTGCAGTGCCAAATTTTGACTCGCATGCCAGGCGATGTGGCAGTGGAACAGCCAGGTTCTTTGATCATGGTTAGTGAGCAACTTGAGAAAAAGAGACAGAACAATTTACTAACCCTGGATTGTCTGTCTTGAAAGCAATTACAAGGTACCCATTCCCTGGCATGCTGGCAGTATCACGGCGTGGCGGGTTTTTCAGGTTCAACTTGACAGTAAGAGGGTTATATATGCCTTCCCCCTGCGCAAGAACGTGGAAATCGTGACCATGTAGATGGAAAGGATGGTACACGTTAAATAGTAGGACGGTTTCTTGTATGACCCAATATGTCCACTGAATTACAGTAAGCCAATGCAAACCAGGTTTCTCGTTGAGGATGGTTCTCACCTTATCCTTGTACGGGACGTCATATACATTATACTCAACGGGGTAGATCGCCTCGGTATCATTCTCTTGAATATACTTGTTGGTTGGCTTTTGCCAGTCGATGGTCAATGGGCGTGTATTCAATGTCCAATGAAAGACGGTGGAGAGTTCGTAGAAAAAACCAAGAAGGAGAGATTGCTCTTTCTCGCTGGCCCCTACGTCCATTGGCACTTGTGGGACTAAGCTTTCTGCGGGCTCGTCGTCACACCTTGTGACAACATTGGGGAGGTTTGTGGTGGTGGGATCGGCCTCTTCTGCTCCCTCATAGCGAACAATTCCGCGGATGTTGTTCTTGTTCTTGTTATCCTGTCCGGCACAAGTTTGATAAATTGCTCGCATCCAGTAATTACCAATGTTCTGGTCAGCTTCAACGATGATATCATATCGCTGGCCAGAGCCTATGGCAACACTATCTGTAATGTAGGGCTTGATTGGGACGTAATCCATCGCGATCACCTTGAGTTTGTGCCCATCAATGGAAAAGCTGAAACCCGAATCTATCTGAGAATCGATCAATCGTATGAGATACTTTTTGCCAGGCTCAAAGGTAACCAGGTTTCTCTTCCCGTCCCCTTTACATTTTGAGTCGCTTGAACCGGAGCAATCATACGTGTTTGTTCCGTTTATCAACCCATTCTCGGCGATTGAGTTGGTTCTCAAAGGGAAACCGCCAAACTTGCCGCTTCGCTCAAACTCTGCAAAGGTGCCTCCATGGAACCAGTCGGTCAAGAAGACAGGACCGAGATCCACATCGTAGTCTGCAGTATGCGGTCCACGGATAACCAACGCGCCATACAATCCATCGCCCATCTGTGGACCAAGATGTGAGTGATACCATCCTGTGCCATACTGGGTAAGACGGAGCCTGTACGTCATGCTGTCTCCTGGAGCAATCGGGCATTGCGTGACCCCAGGAACTCCTATTGATCACACTTGTAAGAATCCTGACAATGCTAGAATGATGCCATAGATAACCTACCGTCATGCTGATTGTTATTTAATTGGCGGATCCCATGCCAATGGATCGCCGTCCTGAGCCATGTCAGCTTTTCTACACCTCAACCAACACAAAACCCTCGGCCGGAACAATAGTTTAATGCCTTATAAATCTTACCCGTTATGTTGCATGTCATTCTTGACGTGAATGACGAGAGTGTCCCCCCAATCAGCTTCAATGGTCGGGCCAGGAAATGTGCCATTGAATACTAGCATCGGCCTTTCATAACCGTTCGGAGCCAGGGTGACATTCTGCGCTGTCAACCAGTACTTTGATTTGTTAGCATACTACATCACTTGAGGGTTTTAATGCAATACGGACCTCTCTAATAACTCCAGTATCGGGAAAGACTTCCGAATAGTCTGTATCAACATCATACTCGCCCCAGCAATTTCTCGAAGTTGCGGTATGTTCGCAATACCTGCTGCTTGGGTTCTGAGGAAATGCCTCTCCTACTGATAGGAGAAGGCAAGCAATTGAAATTAGCAAAATCATCATTCAAATGCCGAGATCCAGTAGCTAATTGGAATTAGACGTCCTCTTTATCCTCGTGTTGGTGAAAAGTACAACCCCGACCGCAGTACATGACAAAGGGAATGAGAGGCATCATCATTATGATATTAAGTCTATACGGTAGTCATGCGAACGTCAAAGGGGCTTGACATGGGTTTAATTCTACCCCAGATGTTGCCAATGTGACGCTGCAGTTGAGAACTGAGGGGCCGAGGTTGTCGGGTTGCCTGCCATCCTCCCTGCTATTTGTGATTGGCTGGCCTCAATTTGAGTCTGATCAATCCCGTTGCATTCCCATTGAAAATGCTACATAGAGATGCTTGATCTGGCCGCCTCCGGTGCAGCAAACAGGGAACGCGGAAGCGGGACAAACAAGGCGAATTGTTTACTCAAGAGAGCCAGGCCGCTCATGCACATGATCACACTTGGCTATTCATACGGAAATTGGATTAAGCTCAGCTGAATGTTACCAAATCATGTTAATGTGACATTAGCATGTGCTGGGTAGGCTTCATTAGACGCCCATTTGCCCTGCCATTATCATGTCGATATCTTCAGCGGATCATTTCCCCGGCACATGATTGAAGTGACCCTCCACTTCACTACAGATCAGTTCATATCTTTCCCATTTCTACTGTTGCTGCATCCTTTTGTAACTTGCGGCACAATCTGTAATCTACGCCATGGTGTAATGAACTATGGGGGTGAGCATACAAACGCGAAATGATAGCATCAAAAATACATGAGTGCAATTGTTTAATTTTGCATGTACAGTAGGCGGTAAGGGGCCCAACAATGTAAGCTGACCTCTTCAGAGAGAAACGTTCGTGCCGAGTAACCTGTCCACCTTTTGCGGGGTCTTGACATATTTGCTTATTCGCGCTTACTCCATCCTTTCATCATCTCAGACCGCCCAACTCAGACAAGCAAGATGGGCAATTCAAAGATATGCCGTTCCTGCCTGGAACACTTTACGTTCGCACGACCAGATGTGATAGAAGTTATCAAGGACCTGAAAAAGGAAAGTGTGCAACTTGCTGTGGAAGCTGGATACGGCGATGATGACCTCAAAAGTCTCCAAGAAGACGTAAAGGATTATGAAGCAGACACCACTTCGCTCCCCGCAGGATCTTACGCACCGTATCCATGGGCTTCTGGTCTGAGCGTGCCACAACTTTGGATGTATCCGCAGATATGGATCGACGAGCATTCGCGCTTTTTAGGGCAATTACGCGAATCCGTCAAGTCGTCAGGTTGTCACATTTGCCGGTCCTTGTGCAAACTGATAGCATACGCTGCGGGGGATGATGTCTCTGATTCGGCAAAAATCACGACCTCGTTATGTTGTGACAGCGCGGGTAAAGAACCTCTTCGTCTTCAATTCGCTGTTCAAACAGATCAATCGAGTCAAGATGGCAGTTATGTCGCGATGGGCAGCCTTGAGTGCAGGAGAATAGGTTTCTTCAATTGTAAGAGGCTCTTTTTGCACTTCATGTGCTTTTTGGAGTGCTAACACGCAAAGCAATGGCGGATCTAAGCATACAGGATGAGGAGCCTTTTGACTCTCTACCGAGCACGGATAGCTCTGTTGAATTCCTGTCTCGCAACCTTGACTCATGCCTCAAGAATCACCCTGAGTGCTCTTCCAGACAAACCACTGGCTGGGTACCAACGCGGCTCTTAGAAGTTCGATCGGCTGATGATGACAATGACTGCGTTTTCCTCGTTGAGAGAGATAACATCCAAGCCCCGGGGGGTGGTAAACCACGATATCTTACACTTAGTCATATTTGGGGGTCATCGAAGCCATTATGCCTTACCCGGGATAACTACGACTCACTCAAGAGTGGGATGAAGACCCAGGAACTGCCCCAATGTTACAGAGATGCAGTCTTTCTCGCGCGGAAACTCGGCATCTCTCACGTTTGGATTGACTCCTTATGGTGAGCTTTGACCATTGCTTAGTCGATTTCTTGCACCTATGAATACTGTAAGCTTACACAGACAGTATTATCCAAGACTCTTCTGAGGACTGGGAGCGTGAGGCGATGACCATGGACAAAGTCTTTACCAACGGGATATGCAATATCGCGGCATGCGATGGTACTGGCTCTTCAGACAGTCTGTTTTCGGATCCTAATTCTATACCCCACCCCAAAACCTCGTTCAAGGTAAAGTACACCAATGGCGTTGTTGAATTCGAAGTCGTTCCAATCTGGATGGACCTCATGCGGAAGTATTCTCCATTATCTAAACGGGCATGGTATGTCCAGGAGAAGTTTCTCAGCACGCGCATAATGCACCTCACCAAAATCCCTCTCTGGGAATGTCGAAAGAGCGTCATTGCAGAAGGGTGTAGCGAGCCAGTGACATACCCTCTGACGAAATCCTCAGCATCTGAAAGAGACTTGATGTGGTCTGATGAGCAAGACATAAATTTCAACTTGGCTCGATGGAGGAAGATTGTTGAGTTTTACTGCCAGTGCAAGCTTACCTTTCCTATGGATAAGTTGGTAGCAATAGGTGGGCTAGCGAAGGCATTTTCCAGCCTACTCAAGGAGGATTACTGTGCGGGCGTATGGGGTGGTGAGCTACTTGTTCCTTGCCTCCTTTGGAGAACTTTCCACCCGTCAATGCCCTCTACGGAGTACCTAGGTAAGTCTATTCTTCCACTGGTTTTTGGTTTCATCTCTGATTCAAGACAGCACCTTCATGGTCTTGGGCTTGTCGTAACGGACCTATGGTTCAATCACGTGGTGTGGTTTCAAAGGTCTTCGTCCGTGACGCATCATTTCAGGCTGTGCCAAAGAGCAGTGATATCTTTGGCCAACTCATATTGGCGGAACTACGACTAACAGGGAGGCCTCTTGAAATCTCAGACTTCACCACCTGGCGCCAACGGACCAGGTACAAGATACAGTCTACTTTCGATCGCGAACCTCACGTGGAGTCAGATAAGCAAGTCTACTTCCTACCGCTTGCAAAGCTCTCTTTCGTTTACAGTCAAGGGGAAAAAGCTGCGTCAATTGAGGGTCTATTCGTCCAAGTTGCCTCTCAACGCCCTGGAAAAGGTGCAACCGTCTTTAAGCGTGTCGGATTTGGTCAAACGAGGGAAGGGGAGGACGGCGGCACGAATAGATACCCTCGGTATGATGAAAATTGGGATTACGTATTTGATACGCCCCTTTCGGAACTAGAGAAAGATCTAGAAACAATCATCCTTGTATAGAGAGAAAGCGACGGGCTCATTTTAAGTGTCAGGCGGATCCTAGACATCACCGACTAAGACTCATCCGCAACTAGGACTTCGCACTACCATTATCACGGATAGGTAGAGATAATACATTTCATGTGCTCTAAATGATGGAGAGAATGTGCGGTGTGACAATCATAAAGTTCAAAATATAGTCATCTCTGCTGGTTTGCATTTAGGCAAACGTGCGCTGCTGCTACATTCCTTTGAAAACCATTTCCCATCCACTGAATCGTCAAACCTAGAAAAGCTGAAGCTATTACGAAGATTCCTCCTTGAATCCCCATCCCTTTTCGTCCTTGACAAGAGCAACCCGCATGTGTTCCGCCCGCTGGCGAATATCCTCGACAGAGTTGACTCCAGGCGCAGATGGTTTCTGGACCTCACCTTCCATGCCATGGAAAAGGAAGAGAAGAGGCATCACTGACGTCTTGAAATCGTTGCAGATGCGCTCATCACCCGTCCGTCCCACCATCCAGAGCGTCGTGGCAAAGAATCCGGCCGCCAGCGCCAGCACAGCAGCCTGCAGGGCCATCCACCGCCACCTGACATCGACGCACGAATCCATCTTCATGACCTGGCCATCAAGTGGAAGACTAAAATTTGAGTAATCAGCGACCTGATTGGCCGCTCTTCTGTTGCGTGCATAAACAGTTAGGGCAGTGGCAACAGAGTCGAATTTATCGTCGATGAATGAGAAGTTAGTCTCTCCCATGTTGAATAGGGCCTTTCCAGCAGTACTGGTCCCCTCTCCGGCGCCTTGGAAACCGTCCATGATGTAGCCTACAAAGAAGCTGAGGAAGTAACTGTTCAGGGTATTGGAATCAGTCCTGTCTCCCTGGTATATGCACTCGTCTCGCACATTCTTGGAGAGAGTGTCGTTGTATTGGGATGAGAAGATGCCCAGAGAGAGATTATAGGGAAGCCACTCGGTCGAGTCGTCAAACACGTAGTTCTGGCTACGCAGATAGTCTTTCTCAGCAGAGTTGGCACATTTCATGTCAACAGTGCTGAAGCGGATACCGCCATCCTGTTTATACCCAAACTCGGTTGTTGACGACAAAATGTCCTCCTTAAACTCGCCTTTGTCGACATTACCATGGTACCGGCGGACACAGGGGGCGAGAACGCACTCAGCAGCTCCGTAGCCAAGACAGGTCCAATTCGAGGCTTGGACTCCGCCTTCACACTTATCAGCTGCCTCTTTTCTTGTAGTGTCGTTGCCAGTGCCGAAGACGATGCGCACACCACCCCCAAGGGTAGGTTTTTCTGTGCCGTTGGACGGACCGATGACAAAGCCATATTGAAAGCCGTTGCTTTCGACCTTCCAACCAGGAACGCTGATGTTCTGGGCTTTGGTAGTATTGTCAACTTTTCTTGACTCAACCTGGCTTGTGAAGTCGGTGCATTGCCGGCAGTAGCCTGCCGAGGCATAGTCGTCGTCGAAGGTGCAGTTCCCTGATGAGCATGTGGGAGCGACTTGGGCACGCTTCTCGTTGAACATGCCGACGTACATGGCTGCTTGTGCAGGCAGGTCCATGTTGGACATCATAGCCCCCGTGTGTATGCCGCCTGTCGAGCTAACGAGGTTCGTTCGGCTGATTTGGGCCGTGGAAGTCGTATCGATCTCTGAACAGGAATAGTACCTTACGATTTGTTGGCTAATACTGCAGTCAGCTCAATCCTTCAACGTAACCATACAGGGGTGGATATTACCTGAAGGGTGCCACGAACATGGCCATGATGATAACTAGTGCTCCGATGGAGGCCGCGATATGCCTAACATTATATCAGAAAATGTCTGTCCAAATAATGGGTGGTTTTTATGCTTACCGTCCGCGAAGAACCCAGAGGAAAACAATAGCGCCCCAAGGGCCCTTTGCACCCTCGTCAAATGCCTGAAGATCAGACAGCTGCCTTGCCTTCTGGAACCAGAGGAACTTCAGCTGCCCCAAAGCCGAGGAGATGATTAGCATCAACGCCATATCAAAGATGATGACATAGATCGAAATCAACGTGTTGATGGACAGTCCATACGGCCATCGAGGCAGCGGCTGGCCCTGGAAAGGGTAGACCGTGCCGATGAGTGCGCAAAAGGACCCGACCACGAGAAAGCAAGCAACGAACTCGGGCCACCATATCGCAAATATTCCCTTGTTTGCCGCCGTAGGTCTCGGTTTCTCCGCAGGTTGATGGAACTGCTCAGAGACGTTCTCGTGAGGGTGTTTGTGCAGAAATGTGTCGTTTTCGGGCGCTCGAAATTGCCGGTCCGAGTTGTCGAAGCTGTTCATTGGTGACACTTGGTCTCGGTCCAGCGAATGCCGCCCCGAGGAATCGAATCTGTCCGCCATTCTTCTTAGCACCCGCTTGCCCAGCCTTCCAAGCGTTAGTAGGCGGTCAGTTGAGAATTGGACAAAAGGACAAGAGAACGACGATCGGCTGGGGCGAAGCGACCTATTATCAATGCAATATCCAGAGTGGCGACGGCACTAGGCAGGCTTCGGCAAATCTCCCACTGGGACAGGGGAGATCGGTCACTGCTGACTGAGGCTGAGGGCCAATCTCGCGTTTCAAACCCCATCCTGCCCGGCTTCTGCCCAATTGCAACCTGGCGCGTGTAGCCCTACAAGCCCTGTGAGCGGGTACGCGCGCGCAGAAAAGCCATTAACAATAGTCAGCTTAGGCGGTTGGACCGGCACGTAGCTCGTCAGATCTTGACGCATGTCAGATTTTAACCTCCTCCTCCTCAGATGAAGACATAATTGTGGTAGAAGATGGGCGAATACGCGTGCCAGCTTAGATTCTCCTCCCCGGGGCTCTGTCTCCGCGTCCACAGACCGCGGACAGACGAGCCAAACTTTTCCCACATGAGCAACGTGGAGCGCTTGGAGAAGAAGTCAATGCAGGTGAGCATGCGAGGCCGCAGCTCCGGGCTATGCGTTTCAAATGCAATGTTGGCGATGGGCCACAGAGACGGTGTTGAGTGCCCGGCCTCGAGGGTTCTGAGTGCTTCGATGTGAGGGAGGGCTTTCTTGACCAGGCCCTGCACCTCGCGTATTGGGACCCTCTTCAAGGTGCGTTTCAGATAAAGCAGAGAGGCGTAATAATATGTATATCCGTAATGGTAGATCAGTTGCTTGCCCTGTAGGATACTGATCGGCGACTCCCACGGAGACGGCATCATGAGAAGAAGCTCGAATTCAAGCGCATCTATCTCTTTCAAGAGCTCAGCACTGAAAGTGTGATCTGCTGGGCTATTTTCGGGGTGATGCTGCTCCTGCGCCCGCTTCTGGATGTCATTCATTCTATGAATAACTTCCAGGATTGGCTTGGGCAACCCAAAAATCGACTCTATTAGGTATGGCCCGGGGTGAGATTCAAGGTTGAAGCGCAAATCCCATCCATAGCCACTGCGGTCCCCCGGGAGAATCTGGGATTGAACTAAGGTTCCCATACATAGAAACATCTGATAGATCATGGACGCTGACTCCGTCTGATACCAGTACTCGACGCCAACATGATTCACCCACTCAACTGCACCTCGTATGTGAATACGCCAAAAAGACTCATTGACAGTTATGTCTTCGGTCAGTAAGCAGATTATCAAAGCGGCAAGAATCGGAGCATATTGGCTCTCGTCATCAGTTCGGATATTCTCTCTGAGGTAGCAAATGCCCATTTCATGATGCTCAAGTGCGAAACGCTCAAACTTGCGTCTTTCATCCTCGGTTTCAGACGTGTTAGATAGATGAAAGCTTGAGGCCGAACATATCATATGAAACAAAGCAACGGCTCCTGTCGATTGTAAAGCATCTTCCTGCGCGCCCTCGAGGGCTAAAGGTGTAAAAACGGTTCGTATCGGGTTCAAGATGCCCGGTAACGGATTCAACGCATCACACAATCGGAGGATCCAGTTCTCCAAAATCGTGCATCTACTAGCATGGTCCGACAAGCCGTCGAGGTGTCGAAACTTTTGCTGTGCAGTCCCAGCACCGGCAAAATCTGGAGGGGCTAGAAATGGTTGCTTTGGCGGCAGTTGCTGGTAATTGGGAAGCCATGACATATCACCATATGCTTCCGTCCTTTCGTTTACGCCTGCTTGGCCGGTAGTGTTGACATGATGCGCTACCGAACCTTCTCGAGGACCATCGATACTCATACTTGGCTCCCGTGCCACCGAGTTCGGCTCGAAGTTCTGCGTTGTCCAAGCCGGCGAATGAAACTCTCGGCGATCATCCAGGTGGTTTGGAAAGGTTTGGGAAGAGCTGTAGCTGTGTGGAGAGGGTGTAGCCAAGGAGGGCTGTGGGGGAGATGTGACACGAGTTGCTGTGCCTCTGCCCAGAGATTCTTGATTTTCCGCCGGAGCAATAGGCAATTGAGCGCGTTCACATTGTGCCTGACCAGAGGGAATGCTTTGTTCCTGGAGTCTCGCGTTGCTGGCCAATGACCCAGCAGGTGGAGCTGGATTATGTGAAGGGGAGGCCATTGGCCTTTCGATGAGCAACTGTCAAGAAAATTATAAGGCATGAATACCTTATCTAACATGCCGGTTCCCAGTCAGATTTAAATCAACGAAAATGGCAGCTGTGGTAGAGTCACAGGCAACATAACAAATTAAATACTGCTGAATGGGACAGATTCCAGTCAATTGAATGGGATTAGTAATCCACAAGATAAGAGCGAGCCGAAAACGCTAAACTGCTTGAGGAACAGCAAGATGACTCAGCAGTCACACAACCTACCCTACACAATACAGTTCCTTTCTACAACACGATCCGAAAATATACATCCCTTTTTTTTCCCCCTGACTAGACGGACTGTGAAAATGTCTAACATATTTACTACTGCAAAAAGATGTGGCATAAGGTTTGATGGAGGCTCACGGATAAAGCATTGAGGAAAGTGTCTCTATTTGTGAGAACTGACTAAAGTCACCTAATTTGTCCATACTCAAATGTAGGCCTTAGACGCTAAGGGGATGTGGATTCTTTAATGTCTAATGGAGAGTGCAATCTCTGATGTTTAATATAATTGACGCAGCCCTTGCGTATACCCCACCCTCACGCATTATTAACATCATTATTAATTTCCACCCTTCTATATTCAAACTATTATAACTTTATTAATTTTATATATTTTTTAACCCGGATTTTAATATAAGATACAGAAGACCGATCATAAGAGGCTTATTAAAGAGGTAATTAAAAAGCAATCAGATTTTACCTTAATTTATATAGTTACTAAGGTATATAATCTCCCTAAGTTAATATTATAAGAATAAATATCAGGAAGGTATATACTCTACGAAGTAAAGGAAATTAAATAGAAGCTATCTCTAGAGTAAGAGAAAGAGATTAAAAATTAGATTCTAAGTAAAGAGGCTATTAGCTGGGCCCCTATAAAGGTTAATATCCATAGCTTTATATAATATATTATAGCTATAGGTAAAGATAATATAACTATCAGTATATATTAGATTAACTACTTCCTTAGCTACTACCCAGAGCTTATATTAAAGCTATTACAGGTTATAGAGGCTTATAAAGTTAAAGAGATCTTAAAAGAAGAGATTTAGAAGACCTATATACTTATAGATAACTATATAAGGAAGTATAATATTAGAAGTAACTATATCTTTAATATTAACTAAATAGGTATTACAGAAGGCCGAACCCAGTACAGTAAGGTTATAGGTATAAGCCTTATATATTATTTAACTATAATATAAAGTAATTTCTTAACTTAGGTCTCTATAACTAAGTATATTAGTACTACTAACTAAGTTATTAAGCCTCTTATTACCTTTACGGGTATAGATATATAAGAGTAGTAGTTTCTAAGGGATTATCCTAACTAACTATATAGCTATAGTAAGAGCAGCTAGATTAATAAGAATATTATATTAGATTAGCTAGAGTATATCTTTCTACTGGAAACTATACCTTAAGATCGCTTACTATAATATATCTTAATCCTTAATAACTTAAGTTCTTATCTTATAGCTAAGTTTATATATATAGCTTAGATAAACTAAATTCAGCTTATTTATCTACTAGCTAATTTAATATATCTTATATAGCCTTTTAATATAGATATCTTTAGCCTGTTAAAGATATATTTCTATTAGATAACCTATAGCTTTATAACCTTTAATATAACTGTACCTATATAAAAGCAATACTTTATTAAAGTATATATAAAGGCCCGGGAGAAAGCTTTTACCTATAAGAATATATAATTAGCTTTCTATAGTATTAGAATTTACCCTATAAATATTAAGAGGGTTCTAAAGAGCTTAATTAAATATAAAGCTAAGAAGGCTTCCTTAAAGCCCTTAATACTGCTATAGTCTATTATAAATTAAGTTAATAGCTATTTCTATATACTTTAAACCGGTAAGAAAGCCTGGGCCTAGTTAAAGCTGCTTATTAATAACCTTAATAGCTTATTACGAGTAATCCGGAACTTAACCTCTAAGGCTACTAAAGAGTTAGATTATAAGAATACTATTATAGCCTTATTAGAGATAACTATTATTAAGTTATAGGAAGAACTGGATTTATAATACCCTTATAAGTACCGTAAGATTTATAATAACCCTAACCAGTATTATATAATAATACTAATAGTTACTAAAGTACAGTAAAAGGTACAGGTAGCTTTTATACAGCTTAAGGAGGAATACAGACTATCTATATAAGAAGAAGCTATAGAAATTACTATATTAGATAAGGAAGAGATAGATTAACCTCTGGTATAAATTTCATATTAATTAAATTTAAATTAGTAGTATTATAAATTAATTCGTATATAATACCAATTATATAAAATTGCGCGAGGGTGGGGTATATGCAAGGGCTGCGTCAATTATGTTAGGGGTGCTACTAAATGGATATTATATGGTGAAGATGTATACCGATGTGCGGATTATCCTCTGCTACTTTGCTAGTTTGAACATTGAGTCATCCTCTTGAGCACCTCCCCATTGGGCTTCTCATTTGTGTTAATGGGAAGCTTTACTGAATGAATGGTAGTATATATAATACATCGGAAGTTGCCTCGGATATCTAGATTTAAACCGCTTTGAAATAAATGCATGCTGCCTTGCTAATCATGGATAATCAACGAATCTCATCGAACGATCTTGTTGTCGTTGTCACTGTCCTAGTTACCGTAATGCCCATCAAGTTCCCTATCGCCTTCGTCCTCGCAGAATCACTATCTCGGCTAGTCCTGTCCTTGGTCACATGGGTTTCAACTCCTACTGCCGGATGCATCCTGCCGCCCAACTCTATCCCCAGTTCCTCCTGGCTTTCTGTATGATCCTTGGTGTGGGATCTCAAATAGCGACTCTGGAGGGGCGACTTGCGGGAGGAATGGAATGTCAAGAATCCGGGGATCAGTCGTTTGACAAGGACTGCGACTGCGGGTAGACAGCAAACAATCATAGCGATGGCCAGCTCGATTCCAGTCCAGTTGAGGACATCCGTATAATCCCATGTCGGGTTCGCGGATCTTCCAAACATGGTCAAAAATCGCAGACGAATGCTGGATGTGATGACCACTAAGACACCCAGATTAAACATGACGAAGATTCCCCATTTCGCCCGCGTGTCCACCTTTAGTTTGAAAATGGACGGTAGGGGTAGCGCGATGATGACGACATCTTGGAAGATGCTGAGGCCAGCAGCGATATAGACAAGAGTGTGGATGTCCATACATTTGTCTCTGTAGAACTGTAGACGCCAGCCCAGCCAGACCAACTCCAGAGGTCTACACTGAAAGATCTGAACGAAAACCATGACGAGGGATGGGAATACGACCACGGCCAAGGTGGCATATGATGCAATCCTGAATGTTTTGTCGTTGAATATTCGAAGGTAAAACACAACGATGGATACTTTGCATAATCCAAGTGCCACGAGGTATAATATTTCGGAAACATAGAAAAACTAGGATTCGGTTCGTTAGTATCATCTTCTTCCATATTGGTGATAGCGAATCGAGGAGGGAGTGCCCTCACCTTGAGAGCGGTTATAATCTGATCGTAGTTTTGGTTCCACATGTCGACCCCAAATGCTAATTGCCCAGCTGGATTGCATATCAGTTTTTGAAGTTCAAACCCGATGAGCCGTCGAAGTCCTAGGAAGTCGACTTACTGTATTTGGCACAAGCAAGATACGCCGTGTAAATTGCCTAGAAAGCGATTCCTGTTAGTCCTACAGCCTTTCCTCTTCAATACCCAATATTACGGCTTGGGATAAGAATCGTGACTAACCCCAACAACAAGCATGATGTAGTCATCAGTCTCCCACTGGCCAATTGTGAGCCATCTAGAATATAAACGGATCCATGGCGAGACCCAAGCTGGTCCCTCGACAATGAACGGGAGGAGCATCGTGTGCCGACGATTACGGTAGGGTCGATCGCATGCCTTGGCCTCGATTTTAGCGACCTCTGTTCCAAACACTATTAGCCCCTTGTCCTTGTTGGTATTCGATTCATTCGTGTCGCATACCGAGTGCGTCGGTCGAGTTACACTTGTTAACGATGCAGGCCTGGGCGGTGGTGTAGAAGTTGTTGTCGCTGCAGATGCATGTCGCGTTGTAGCCGCACGATGACGACGTCTTAATGACGTCCACGAAGCAATTTAGCTGTCAAAAGGAAGCAGTCAGTTAACTTGGTGTTCTTGCTGTCATGCATGGTGAATGCGATTGGGACATGGCCAGAGCACATCGAGAATGAAGCGCAGGAAAGTCGTACCCCACATGACGGCAGCTTGGCCAGTTCTTCGATGATGTTAAATTCTGCCTGGACGCTCCCGATCCATGCCAGAAGAAGAGTGAGTCGAACAAACAACTGCTTCGTTGATATGGCCATGGCGCCGGCGCGCACTTTCCCGTGGCTATCAGCTCTTAGCAGGATGCTGACATTTGGGTTGATGATGCGATTGAGAAATTGGAAAATCGAAGCAGCAATAAGTGAATGCACGAAGTGATGCCTCGACTAGGTTAGGGGGAGAGAAAGACAGGGGATGATGGAGATGATGCCGTTTACGTCCATGTCTCCGTCCGTTCCAAGATCTCTGGGTTCTGAAAACGAGGAAGCCTTCCAGCCATGGAAGGATGTACTGCTCTGTAGTCAGCTAAGAGCAGGGGATTGATAACTCGATACGCTGAGGCGGCAACTTCCGGTGAGCCAAACGGGAGCCAGCGGGGTGTCCGCAACTCCAACTCAGCTCGGTCTAACGGTCTGTCAGTTCGCTTCTGCCGAACTTTTGTCTTGACTGCCATGCACAATTGCGTCGGCGGAGAATTTGATCTTCGTCGATGAGAACCAATTGTCCTTGCCAACGGTCGATGGGGGCCGCCCACATGGTTGACAAGGACCTGGTTCCATGTTGGATTCTGGCTGGGATTGGTTGATTTCCTGCAGCTCGGAAACACCGTTTTGCCCAATGAGGGAAGTTACATTATCGACAAGGGAACAAGGTGTTTGGGAGGGCTTATTAGCTGCCCCCTTACAGGCTTGCTCTCCCTCCATTCAGGATGCATTGGCTGGGAAAGAGACCACTTGGCAGGGGGAGCAAGCTAATAAAGCAGGTGATTCGGACCATGGAACCGCACCACACATCCAACTGCCGGCACGCTGAAAACGGTGAGTGGGCCAATCCTTCGACTACCTTGTTTCCTCACCAGAGAGGAGTCTATCTTTGGGGCCAGAGCGAGGAGGAATCGAATTGAAGGGGTCGCGTTCGAAAGATATAGGCCATCTATGTAATATGTGCGCCATTAGCTGCTTCACGATGCCGGTCGTGGTTGGCATCGAGTACGGCAATTCCGAACCGAAGAGGAGAAAACCATGCAGACAACACGACGAAAGAACGAAAGCAGTACTGTAGCCTTGGTGGCTGATAACATCCACCTTCCACAAATATCTTCAATGCTACGACGGCTGCAATATGGAAGGTGAAGCGCACAGGACTGAGCATCTGCCAACTCTTGGTATTTGCGGAACTAAGGTGTATTTGACTGCCTGTCTCCTAATACCTACTCTGCGTCTACGCAGTCTACAAGAAAAAAATTGTCAACGAGATTTCCTGACTATGACTTCATCTACGTTATCGGTGGTGTTCTTCGACTTTCTCCTTAGATGGCAACAGGGCCGGGGTCTCGTGAGACAAGTCCGAGGATAAGTGCCAAGCTTTGCGTATGCGGGGAATCGGCGTAGTCCACTTCGATTGGCGTTCCCTTCCTCTCGGGGGTGGCTTCTTCGAAAGATAAATATCCCTTGCTAGTTCTGTATTATTAGATGGCTGTTTGGATTCCAAGATGATCTGTGGCACTTTAACAAGCCCAAGCCAAAGGCTCATTTATTGTATCTAATAATTCTATTTCAAAAATTCGTTTATTCATGGAATACCTAGCGAATCCGTTTCCTATTTTAGTACCTACGCCCTCCCTATAGCACACCAAGAAGAATATCAAATCATGACCGAGATCTGTTGGCAAGCGCAGGCTCGGTTGGATGCTTGAAGTCTTGGCGAAGACTGGAGTCGATAAAAGCAGGGAGAGTCGAATGATTCGACTGACGGCGAAGGTGGTGTATGCAGTAACGAAGGTGGCGACGGTACTTGGCTTGTTTGCGATTGAGCGATGAAGGCAGCGATATTACTTGGATTATTTGAGATAACGAAGGTAGTGATTTGCGAAGATTATCGATTGCAGATAGACTTAAGCTATACAGTTTATTCAGGCTAGTAATAGCAGCCTTTAAATAGATAAAAATCAGTATCTTAAGGTTTATAAAAGGAGTTATACTAATAAAAGAGTTACTACTAGGTATAACCTTTAGTATTAATAAACCTTATATATAATATAAGTATAGCTATTTTAGTATTAAACCTTAGATATAGCTAGGTATAAGATTTATAGCTATAAGACTGAAGTTTATTATATTATAATATCTGGGTATAGTATTAAGTTATTAAATTACTAGTATCTGGGAATTTCCTTCTTTTTTTTTCAGCAGCTGTACAGCTCCCTCACTTACTACTATCGAATCATGATGATACATAGAGTCAATGGGTGAGAATTGTCCAGCAATGAGTTGACATGAAATGTGCCCCATTTTAGATTATGCTTTCGTTACGTCCTGCCTGAGAAAATCAGGGCTATTTGAAAGGGAGCGCATGCTATCGACTAATGGGAAAGAGAAGAAATGGATCCTACTGTAGTGTTAAGATAACAGACCGCAGTCAGGCCAAACACTCAGTGAGTAGCTTCGGGCTAGCACTCTTCCTAACAGCCTTCAAGATTTTAGCACTTCGATAACAATGACATCTCATCTTGGTACAACTAGGGTTAAACGCTACAATTTGGCTGAACGAGTGAGACACATATCTCATCCTATCGTTAAACCACAGAAACTTATGGAACCTCCATCTAGAGACCGAGCTCTTTGATAATAATATCAGCGGCCTTCTCACCAACTACCATAGCAGTGTAGTTGGTGTTGGCCGCAACGTTGCTAGGGACCACACTCAAATCTGCTAGCTTCAGCCCCTCCACGCCGTACACGCTCAAGTTGTGGTCGACAACACCGTTCTTCTCGATCGGTCCCATCTTGCAGGTCCCGAGCGAGTGCCACGCGGAACCGACTTTGTCACGCACCCACTCATCGATCAAGGCGTCGTCCTCGGCAGTGTACTCAATATTGCGGATTTCAGCAGACGGCTCGCTCGAGAGATCTACGGAGGCAGCCTTGGAGTCCGCGGCGAAGGCGGGGTGGCCAGGGGCGAACTCGCCACGGAACACGGGCATGCGGCGAGCGATCTCACGCTGCTTCTTGTAAGCCCAACGATGCTTCTTAACATCGATACCCTTGGTGTCGGAGAAGAAGCCGGTGTTGAAGTCTGCCGGGTCGTTGAGTCCAGGGCCAGTTATGTGGAGATGGCCGCGAGATAGAGGGTAGACAGTGAAGACAGAGATGGCAAAATACTCTCCAGGAGGAATACCGGCAGGCTCACCGGGGAATCTGTACCGCTGTCAGTAACTTATTCTCGGTTGATTCAGTAGATCAACTCACGTGCAGACCAGCGCCATCATCATCAGAGGCTTGTTTGCGTCATCCTTGTACTCCTCATCCCACAGCTCCTTGAGCTCAGGGGCAAATGATGCCACGTCCTTGTCATTGGGTCGAAGCTTGGCAGTGGCTTCCTGTGCGTTCCAGCCCAAGATGCCATGATTTTCCTGGATCAATTTGCCGACGTCCATTCGACCAGCAAGAACAGCGTCCATGGTCTCACCAGGCTCGAGGTCTGCCTTGAATGGGTAGAGCATAAGGTTGTGGTCCTCATACTCGTTCCCAACGCCCGGGACGTCGGCAACCTGCTCGATGCCCGCGCGCTTCAGCACATCGGCGTGTCCAATACCGGAGCGCTCGAGAATGGCGGGCGTGCCAAATGCACCCGCCGACACAATGACCTGCCTATTCGCCTTGACGGTACGCTCCGCGGCACCACCCTCGGCGCCATCCTCGGTTTTGGGCTTGAAAACAACGCCGACGGCCTTCTTGTTTTTAGTCAAGACCTTGACAACCGGCGCGTTGCAGACGACGTGCAAGTTGGGGTGCTTGCCATCCTGTAGACGGGGTGCGAGGTACCTGGAAGCGGTATCCTGGCGTTTGCCGTCACGCGAGACAAAACGAACGGAGCGCTGGACGCCGTTGCACGCGTCCATGCTTGAGAGGTCGTCGATTTCTGGCCAGCCGAGCTCGCCCAGCGCAGAAACGAACTGATCCTGCAACCGGGGTGAGCTGTATGTTCCAGTGGAGATCTCAATTGGACCGTCTGTGCCGTGACGGTCCATTAAGCCAGGACCATGGTATGACTCGAGCTTTGAGATATATATGGTCAGTCGAATTCCTGTTGGTGCTGTTACTTGGCAGTAGGGGAGCGTACCTTCTTAATGAACGGCATCATCTCGTCGGCAGACCAACCTGGGATCTTCCACGAGTCCCAGTCGGAGCGCTGGGCACGACTATACTGCATCATGTTGATAGCAGAACCTCCACCGAGGACCTTACCCGTGGGGACGATGATTTCACGGTCACCAACGCTGCTAGACTTGTTACTCTTGAAGAACGCAGCAGTCGTGGTCGTTGGCGCCATGTTGGCCAGGAAGAGGGCCGGATAGTCGACCGTGGGGTTTCCAGCGCCATTGGGACCAGCCTCGAGCACGAGAATGGACAGACTGGGGTCCTTCTCAGCGAGGCGGGCGGCGACAATACATCCGGCGGTACCTCCTCCAGCGATGATGACATCGACGGAGTTGATATCGGCAGGAAGCTCAGCGTACAAGCCCATAGTGGATAGATACAGATAGTAATTATTCAGCTGATAGGGGAGGGGACTTTGGGTACGGGGCTGTAAAGAGAGATGTCGACGGAGATGGGAGAGTGCTTAAATAGGGGGAGAGGAGGTGAGGAGGGATCATCGCTCGCCGACCAACAGCCAGCAGGCGACATTGAGGTAGACTAGAGCATCCATTTGTGCAGTATGTTCACATTGGGTAAGATGATGCGACGGTCAATAGCTGGATTTGTCACAGCTGCAGCTCGGCCCCCAGCCAAACCAACCAACGAGCATATCAAAGGTACATTTTCTAAACAATGTCTCTGCGTAACACCAACAAGTCCCATAAGAGGGAGTTGTGTGGAAGTGCCTGTCATTCATTAGTCTTAAGTCTCTTCTATCCTACTATTGTTTTTTTTTGGGGGGGGCTCAACAATCCATCTATTATATCCCTATATCTGTACCATCTACTCTTAGAGTTTTAGATGCTTAGATGGTTAGCACTGCATCACATCCAAAAGGAACGAGCTGCTACTCCTTCTCTGCCAAGGAAAAGCTTTGCCCGGTGATTCCGTAGTTCCTAGTCAGTCGCCTCCCGTACCGTCTAGCTGTCCAAAATGACAGCTTTCCGCTAGGGTGTGGCTCGTGGAAGTTGATTGCACTCTCTCCGAGTACCTTCCCATCCTTGGGAGTAAATCTCCATACCGAACCATAGAGCTTCTCAGAATTAAATCCCACAGCACGTATAGCATGTACGAAATCTGTCCAAGCCAATTCGCCCGGTGGTGCATCTAATGAGGGCACGTGGAACACCACTTCGAAGGTGCGATATGCACGATTTCTCACTGTGAACCGGGGAAGATAAGCATCGAGATCTTGGGCCTGGTCTGGAGGTGTTTATGAACTCTCCTCGCCGTAACCCGAGCCTGGCTGCCCGGTTGTCTTGGGCTTCACCCTTATCTCCAGCTTGCTCTTGTTGAAAGACTCGTCGGTCCACCCGTCGAACTTGACATTGGCCGGTTGTTGGTCCTCGGTCGTTTGTTGGGCGGGTTTGGGCTCAGGTTCAACCCAATCCGGGGTTCTTCGCAGCTCCTCCTTTTTAGGTACCCCGGTCTGAAGCTTCTCGATTGTTTCTGCAGACAAGTGCTTTTCGAGATGTGCATCGTACTTGTCCCATATCTCATCAAGGTGACGCTCCGCTGCCTGTAGAATTTGTGCGTTCTCCTTGGTGCGGCTCCTGTTGATCGGATATCTCAGCTTCCCATTCGACAGATCGACTTCTGCACCGAGATTCAAGTACTTGTCTCCCGAGTGTGTAACCGAAACAATCATTTTAAGATCATATAGTGGCTTCAGGACATCCATAAGTTCAGAGTCCTTCAACACTTGCTCCGACTCTTCAGGATCGAAGGTGAACTTGGCGCCCATTCTTGCGAAATACTTTGGGCTGAGCATGCGAACCTGTTTATGAAGCTCGCATGCCAGCCCTAAATCTGCGATGCAACGGGCCGAGAGAGCCGTGATATTTTGTCGCTGCTGTTTGTCCGTGTGGATGAGATGGGCGAGTTCTATGGCGGCCACATTGAGTGGGACGTGCGACTCGCGATCACCGAGCTTGGCCGTCAGCCAAAGCACCTCGTGCTTGTCCATGCTGGCCGGGTTCTTTAAGTGGAGGGCCCTCTCGCTCTTGACAAAAAGATCCCGCCAAGGAGGTGCGGATGGCAAGATGAACATGAGCTCGCGTGCTCCTTTTTCGATGACACGGAACTCTAGGAGAGAGATGATGCGCTCTAAGATGTCACGATAACCAGGAACATCTTCCTCATCTTCACATCCATACTCGCCATTGGCAAACTTTTCATGGAGAGAGGCAAGCTTGCCGAACTGCTTGGCTAAAACCCCCACACTGCTATTCCCTCGTACGGCTCGTTAATGGCACTGGTGGCGTTGCTGGACCACTCCGCCAGTTGTCCGTTTATGGTTTGGGTATCAGGGTCCAGTCTCCCGTTGGAAAGTTTTACGTTTGCACTCGAGTGCTCGTGCCAGTCTCCGACAACTTCCGCAAAAAAGCCAGGGTCCTCTCGCATAGCCCAGCCGTAGTCTACCCATTCTGCCGTGCGGGTGCGGGTGAGCGAGGACAGCCGAGCGACGTCCACCTTCTCGGGAACGAGGTAGGGACGCGCAAGTGCCAGATCTGTCACCGAGGGGGTATCCTCTCCGGGGTGGAGGGACAAAGGAGGGAGTTCTGGGACGACAAGACCCGTCTCAGCGTACACCTCCAACGGCTTGTCCTGCAGAATAAGAGCCACGATATCCCGTAGAGCTTGAAGCAACGTTGCTTGAACTTCAAAAACGAGAAGACCAGTGGGCACCTTTTACAAGGTTAGGACGTTGCATGGTATCTCAGGGGCACGATAAATATGACTCACGTTTGGGATCCTGCCAGCAGCCGCTTCCGTGGCGCTTTCTTCATACTTCTCAATCTGCCCGTACTTCTCCGGATCCTCCGTCCACAAGTCCACACGATACGCCGCGTTTGGTAGGTAAAACGGTGGAGGTGTCAATGCCTCGGCTCAGATGCCGAAGCTGAGACTTTGCTCATCCAGGACCGCAAACTGAGACGGAGGATGCCTCACTCTGGAATTGAGGAGGACAGGAAAAGCATTCCCGCGCGCCAAGTCCTCCAAGTTCATGTACGGAAGCGCATAATTCTTGTCCAGGCCTTTGTCTCTACCAGATGTACTCCGAGCTTTGGATTTGCGCTTATAGGCTGCAAGGTCGGGTGCGTGGGTAGTAGCTATGTCTGGCCATGCCCTGCGCAGGAGATCCTGGCGCTGCCGGGTGCTCTTCTTTGCCCAACGCTTGCGGATAGTAGCCTCGTGGCGATCAAGCACATTGGTCAAGAGCGTTACTACCTCCAAGATCGCCTTGGACGAGCGAGATGCTCTGTCTCTGGCCTCGGTAATGGATAGAGACCCTTTCTCGCCGATGAAGCCTCGGTCGAGAACAGAGATACCACCATCATCTAGAGATACCGAAAAGCTACGGAACTCACCCGGAGCAAGGTCGCCGCCGACGAAAATGTTTTGATCCGGCATCTTGCGATACGGACTCGTGAGGGAATGTGAGACGGGCTGTGTTGATGCAGGGTTGATGAATATGACAGCTTCGCCCTACTACCTAGGGCAACTCTCAAGATAAAGCTGAGGGTTTTACTCTCAGCAAGAGCATGTGTCTTCTCCAGGTTTTCTAACGAAGCACCGTACCCAGGCCCCTCAAGGTTCTTTGAGCTGGAAAAAAGAGTCAGTTGATCGAACTAGCAAAGGAGAAGACAGTCATCTCTACTTAGCAGGGTGTTAGACAAAGCAGTCGTCAATCACGGGGAGTTGCAGCTTTGCAATAATGGATGGATGTCGTGAGTGCCAGATGGATACGTGACAAGCGAACAATATAGCTACACCGCTTCTCTCCTATTTATAACGTGCCAAATGCCCAACTCTTGCTTTGATATACTAGCCTCCTAACCAATTGAAAATCATAGATAATACCAGTAGTGGGTAGCGTCTACAAGAAAGAGAAACGCTTCCTCCTGCTAGGGGAATGATTGGCCGCTACCCTAACACTTTTTAAGTGTTTTACCTGCCAAGCTCAACCTGCGGTGTGTGCTCAAGTCGTGCTTTACCGGGACATAAAAAATGAGACATCAAAATGGAGGACGATAACTTTCAAGAAGGCTTCGGCAATATTAAGCGAAATGAAATAAGCATCTTCCGTGTACTGCCTCTTATATATTCCCTATCAGTACTTGATGATCTGAAAATACTAATCACAGATTTGAAGTGCTGCATTGACTCAACGAGACCGAGCATTTTTGTTGATCTTTGGAAAAAATTCGCCCCTTTCGATTAAACCTGATAACAACCTACTGGTAGTCTTCCAATTCTCTCTCGGGGAGAGAATGACGAGAAGTAAAGGCTTCGCCTAGACCACGGAAGGAGGTACTTCAAATGAAATATCGGATGGGTCAAGCTGAAGCAGCCGCGCAGCTGCATCAGATGTCATACAACGAGGCAGACTGCCAAAGCCCAATGAAACCGAACATCCAAAGCAGGCGGGTTTGCCACTCCTCACCATCAAGCCCTCCAGGTCTGGAAGAGCCTCGATATTAGCCTTCGTGAAATAGTCATCACACCCTATTTGGAATGCCTCTTACCGCGTGGGTGTACCACCTAAGCGAGGGAAGTAGCCTTCTCCTGGTCGAAACAGGAGTTCGATTCATCAATGATGGCACTGAGAGTGCGATTTCCTTATTTCAGCATCCTTTCTTCAGATTAAACCAGTCTTATTTTATTCATGCGGGTGGCGGCTTCTTTTACCTAAACGAGGTTTGGATTCTTGTTACTATTCCACCGTCGGATGAATATCTGGATTGAGCCCGCGCAAAACCATACCAAAAAGGTTTAGAAACAACCGCAGCTCACGTCAGACCCCATCACCAAATCCAAAAGGGGTAGTGAATCCAGAGACAACGGCCTCATACACATTTAGTAGATCTAATGACGATCTCAGATCTATAGCGGCTATCTGGACCTAGCGAGGCATTCTGGGGAAGTGGCATTTCTGAAAACGGAGCAAAGCGCGCGCTTGGGGGCAACAAAGTGTGTGCAGCTGGCGGTGCTCATGTATAAAAGAATGAGATATCTCTTTGGAAGAAGGGCTCAATGACCTTTTTATATTTGAAAGACAAAAGCGACCTGTCCTAGTACACTTCAATTGCGATCTTCCACCTCTACCAGTTTTCAGGGTCCCTCGATCCCAATGCCTTTTTATTATCAACATCACGGGAAGGCAGCCCCCAACAAGTGGGTTGCCTTTTGGCGAAAGATTTACAATCCTCTTGGATTCCAGAAAGGATACAACTTTCCCTTATGGTTTATCTTCTGTGGCGCTGCCCTTGGCTTTTGCGCCTCGCGAAGTATCTACCTGAACTACGACACTACGTTCAAGATGGACCACCTAATCAGCGGAGATTGGCTTCACATGTCCAAAGGTGTCATTCGAATTGGCACCCTTATGCACTTAAGTGCTGTTGTTCCAATCGGGTTCTTGATCCCCCTACAATTCCTCCCTATTGTTCGATACAAGGCCATGCTCTTTCACCGCATCACGGGATATCTTCTCATTTCCCTTCTCTTAGTCGGTAATGCAGGCGCTATCATCATGTGCCCCCGTGCCTTAGGTGGCTCTGTCGATGTTCAGACTTTGACCGGCATGCTTGCTCTGATGACCACCGGTTCCGCTCTTCTCGCATACATTAACATCAAGAGACTCCAGATCGACCAGCACCGTGCTTGGATGATGCGGTGCTGGTCATATGCATTCATCATCATTACTCTTCGCCTTATCCAGGCTCCGATGATGCAGCTCGTCGGCTTGAGAGTGGCGATACATGTCCCAATGGACTGCGAAACCATCGACTTCTCGAATTCCAAGAACGGCGACAATCTGGCTGCTAAATTCTATCCTGCATGCGAGATTGACCATGACTCCGTTATTGGTGTCCTGGCGGATTTCTCTCCCCAACCAACTGCCGACGGACTTGTCCCGCTACATCAGATCGGTGCTGCAATCAGGGCGTCGTTCGGGCCAGCTGCATTCCTAGCCATCGCGATACACGCAATCTTAGTTGAGCTCTATCTTCATCTCACCCAGGCTGAGTCTGCCCGCTTGAAGCGGGTAAGCTACGAGCGGCAGAAGGCAAGAGGTTGGAAACGCCCAGGAGATGCAAGCTGGCTGACGCGAGAGACTTGGGGAGACATGGAACCTTTCGACTATTCCAAGCAGCCCGAGAATAAGGACACCACACCGAAGAATGTCAATAAAGATGGAGACGAGTCAGAGCTGAATGACACGGGCGAAGCACATGCTCTTCGCCCCTTAGTCAATCAATCAGATGCAGGGCAAACGACCGCCAAATTGGAAAATCAGCCATACGATCCGCACGCTTGGCACAGACAGGGCTAGTCAGTTCCCCTAGGTTCATTGGCCTCTTCCTCGAATGTCTTTCTCAGCTATGGTCATGCTCAGCAGGCACGGTACAAAGTAGCTATCCAAGTATTCATCTGTTGTAATCAATATCTAAGACCTCTATAAATCAATCAGACAATTAAGTATATAAGCTAATCCTAAGATTATAAGATTACTTCTTTAAAAATAGTTATAAATAGCGGCAACTTTAGTGTTTATATTCTGTAACATGGAGAAACAGGTAAACTATCTACGTACTATAACAAGTCTCTCCAGATAGGTACACAGAGACCCTGAAACTACTTGAAGCTGCTCCCCTGTTGCGATTAAACTCACCCAACATACAGCAAAGCTGCCTGTTCCAAACAAGTCAGTTAGCGGGCTTCTAACCATATGGACAGGATTTAGTCAGCTTGTCTTACATCCGATGCCTAGGACATTACAGTACCCTCATGCAAGTCCATCCAATCAAGCAGCGTGCCAAGGATCATTTTTCAGTGTCTAGTCTAGAGCTTAGTAAGGATCAATAGGATTATAAAAGGATTGCTTCAACCAAGCTGAAAAGGCTCCTGCAGTTCCTCTCTTGATATTACTTTTTAAAAGAATTATCCGGTGCGCTACTCAGTTACGTGACGTCCTAACCATAGACCAAGCCTTACTTTCTTCTCTTACGGTTGGATCTCTCCTTTCTGGATAGATAACCTCTCTAGCTAGGGCCTATATCTATTAGCAGTAACCATCAGTAAATCCTACCGCTCCTCACTACCCCCAACCACATCGCCAAGATTTGAACTGCAGAGCATCGAGACGAAAATCAAAATGCCACTAGTTAAACCCATCATTGATAAGGATATTGAGGCGTTACGACGTGCGGTTGAGGTGTCTCCTCATCAACAGGACCGGCACATACACCTGCGTCGACTTGTGTCTCGATTGCTAAGAAAGTACTCACAGTCCCATTGGCTACCTGATCTTGACGAGGCCATTCAGCTCACACAGCAGGCTTTGGACGAGCTTCCACTTGATAAGCCCTGTCGCGCGAGATATCTTTTGGAGGTGGCGGACTGTTGGGACTCCGAGTTTTATCAAAAGGGAAACCCCGTGATACTGGTATACTCATGCCGGTTTGCTCGTCAAGCCATTAACGAGGCGGAACAACATCACCCAGATTATGCCCATTCCCTCATCGCGTTCTCAAGGGGTCTATTTGAGAGACACAAAATATGGAATGCGATAAGCGACATCGAGGAAGCGATCAAAATCTTGCGCATAGCGCTAGCAATGGTCACAAATGAGCTTTCTTTGAGATTGCAGGCCCTGCAGCTACTACAGCTGAGCTTCTTTTACAAATATCAGCGAACGAGAACAGCGCAAGATCTTGGCGAAGCTGCGAAGTATGGTCGTGAGATTATAGTAATCATTTCGACGAATGAAGGATTTCGAAAACAAGGATCGCTTATCTGGGCGTATTCACAATGCATTTTGCACATAAGACACAAAAAAAGGCTTGAGAGTGATCTAGATCTTACCTTTCGCCTTGCGCGAGAGGCGACCGATTGGACTCTAAAGGCAGATGTCAGATTAGCAACTGAATTAGTCCTTGCTATTCAAGAACTAGGACGAATCCAGGGCAGTTCAAAGAACCATCAAGATCTTGAGAAATCATTCGAGGTCAGCCGAGAATGGCTAGATGTCTTTCCGGATGACGTACCAATCAAGGCATACCTGTGGTCTGGTCTCGGAGACATCTATTTCCACCAAATAATACTTCTTTATAAAGAAGAAGAAGAGGGGGGAGAAGGAGAAGAAGAAGAAGAAGAAGAGTATGACACTAGTAAAGCCTATGAGTGCTTTGAAACAGTCTTATATTCAGAGACTGCGCCTACTTTACTCCGAGTGCAGTGCGGGACGAAGATATCCCAAGGCATTGCACCAGAAGACCGGCACTGTTGGGGTGCAATCGTAGAATCCATCGACTTAATCCCAAAACTCTCAATCCGATTGCTTCGGAGATCTGACAAGCAGTATATAGCGAGGCTTTTTTCAGATCTAGCCACCCGTGCTGTTTGCTTCGGACTTAAATACCACGAAGAAAACCGTCAGAAGGTGCTCGAGGGTGATGACGGATTATGGTTGGTCATCCATCTCATGGAGCGAAGTCGTGGTATCATTGCCACCTCTCTTGATGACATACGGGCCAACATTGATATCCTTGACGACAGATTACCTGGTTTGGTGGGTGATATCACTCGGCTTCGGCAGGAGCTCGAGCAACTTGAGTTGGACGATAGACTAGGGGCCAATTCAGACGGTTTGAACCTGCAGTTTCAACGCCGGTATGAAATCGGTCTCGATTTGGAGATGCTGTATTTGAAGATGAAAAAAGAACCAGAGTTCGACATGGATATCTTCACTTCTGTGCCTGACATGGTGGAAATAGCCGGGGATCGTGGTCCGATAATCATCATCAACGTGATGGTATTCCGTTCCGACGCCCTAATTATTACAGAGAAGGACAGAGGATGTAAGCCAGTTCATGTACCCCTCCTGGGACTTCAGCATGCGGAAATAATATCAAAATTGAAGACGGGGAATTTGGGATTGCCCAGTGTCCTGGAATGGCTGTGGGACACTGTTGCAGCACCAGTTCTATCAGCACTGGGCTTTAACGGACCACCCTTGAACAATGACTGGCCTCACATTTGGTGGATTCCCACGGGGCCTCTGACAGCTTTCCCTTTACATGCTGCAGGATACCATATGTCAAACACGGGTGAGACAGTGATAGATCGAGTTGTGTCATCATACAGCTCATCAGTCAAGGCTATCACCGAGGGCCGGCGGCGATCAACTAAGCCAGTTTCCCGTCATAAACGAGCACTTCTAGTGGGAATGTCAGACACTCCAGGGTATACTCCGCTTCCTTACGCCGCCGATGAGATCGAGGCAGTGCATGGTTGCTGCAAGTCGATAGGAATCAGTACCGTTGAGCTTACACAAGAAAACGAAACCGTCCTTGGATCGATCAAAAGTTGCGACATTTTTCATTTTGCCGGACATGGATACACCGACTACAATGATCCGAGTCAAAGTTATCTGGCATTGAAGGATCCAATGACTGTCGACGCCCTCCTAAAGTTGAATCTTTATGAAACACAACCCTTTCTCGCCTATCTATCTGCATGTGGGACCGGCCGTACGAAAGACTCGAAATTATTCGACGAAGGTATTCACCTGATCAACTCATTCAAACTGGCAGGCTTTCGCAATGTTATTGGTACCCTGTGGGAGGTCAGTGACAAGGCATGCGTCGACGTGGCGAGGATCACGTATGAGGTACTCAATCGGAACGGTTTAACAGACGACGCGGCTTGCCGGGGCCTACATGAAGCAACCCGGCGGATGCGGGACCAATGGGTGCAAAATATCTCAAATGAAAATCCGGAATGGAGAATGAGATCACGTCGAGATATGCTCCTTTTGGAGGAAGTGAGCCTGAGTGCGATGGAATGGGTCCCGTATGTGCATTTTGGTATGTAATTAGAGCTTAAATAGAGAAGATAGTTTAAATAATTTTTTCAGACTTTCTAGAAACCAAATTTCTAAATATACCTTCTCAGTGGCCCTAGATATCAACCTGACTCCCCTGTCCACTTGGAGGCGGAATCTCTGTCTCATTAGAGAGAGGCTCCCCGAAGATTGGGTTGTTCTGTGCATCAAATGTGACCTTCTGTGCCATAGTGTATCGGTCTGGCTGACAACTTCCCCCAGGGTTGGAAGTGGCGTGGAAAAGGTTCTGAATTCTCAGTTAGATGGCAACTCCGAAATTGTTTCTCGTTCAGCGAATAGAACACTTACCCAGATCTCGGTCCCATCTGGGGAGCTGAAAAAGGAGTTGTGTCCAGTTCCATAATGGCCATTGGCCGAGGACAAGACCGGCCCTGTCTTGTCCCATGAAGATGCCTTCAAAGGGTCTCCTCCATTATAATGAAGCAGCCCAAGAGCATACTGAGGAGCGGAACAGTCTGATCCGGAATAAGACAGCCAAATGTCATCACCGTGATATAGTGCCTATCAAAATTATTTAGAAATCTGGTTCCAAAGGGGGTATCTTTCTGGGGTAGTACTCACGTATGGTCCTTCAACTAACCCCTTTCCAGTACGCAGAGCTTTACTCCCAGCGCCACCACCCTCGAATTGCTCCCAGGGTTGGTCAGGTCGGCAGATGACGTTCCATCCGCCAACCTTCCACTTGCTCGTGTCTAGCGTAGCAATTCCGATAGACTCCAGTCCTTTTTCGTCGATCATGCTAAGAACATGATATTCACCTTTCCCTGGAATTTTCAAATATGATCCGTCAATGCTGTGAGCATCATTCTTCGAGGGGCCACCCCTCTGACCCTCTGGAGCGACCAGATCACCGCCGAAGGTGTAGGTGCAATCAGAGGGGTTTGGGCCATTACATCCGCGTAGAAATCGAGTGCGGAAACCTTCATTTTCCTTTGCACCTCGGCTTGAATAGAACATAATCCATACCCCATTTATTCGGTGCATCTCCGGGGCCCAGATATGGAGGTTCCGAGTAGTATCAGAATCAGTCCAGACGGTCTTAGTCTCCCCTTTGTTCAGCCCTCCGATTGTGGGAGACTTCGTGATTTGAATGTGAGAATCGGAGGTATAAGTACTATCTTTGTTACTATGGCGTTGATGTTTTTGAGGTTCGAGATAGCTTACAGGTGGTAATTGCCATCCGCCCATACCATTGCTGGGTCTGCAGCTCCCTTGCGGATGGGATTATAGAAGCCCAGGGAACAATTGACCTGCGCAAGCAGTCCAATGACCGAGAGGACTTTGAATGAACGCATTGTTTAAAAGTTGGGAGAATCCCTGAAGATGAAGATCAAAGACGGCTAGGCGGCAATGCTTTAAACGGTCTACTTAGGTTGGTTTATTCACTCCCTAGAAGAAGGGAGGCGGTTTGGCCATGTCTTTATACTACGTTCAATATGAGAAGAATACGAATATAAGGGCTGGATCAAAAGTCTTTCGGCCGTATACTCAGCTATCATTTTTGAAATCAAGTATGTATCCTTGTTGTCATCAGGACCTTCAGTACCAATACGGCCCTCGCCGCATTACTGCTCCGCCCTCATCAAGTCTTGGCTCCAAGCCTCACACTAAATTTTCCGCTCCAAAGGGGTACTTCAGCCGATGATCATACATCATTTATGGTACGTCAGAGAGAATATGAGTGAGCTGAGGCTGACTGTGACTACAAAAGCCGTACTAGGTATACCATCAACTTGTGTAGTCCGGGCTATAGTTCCAAGCTTAATGCGAGATATTCCAATTAGTCCAATGTCTGAAATGCCATATGGACTCAATCGACCAATGGTTATATGGAGTCACATAAATGTCGAACTTCAGGGTCAGGTCCAACATATATTCTAGGCATGCATGCGAGGAACAACAGCGTAAATCTGACAGTTCACTTTCCAGGTAAGGTCTACGAAAGTGGAACGGAATTAATAGCCAGCCTGATGCAATTTGCGTCATACTGCCACTCAGACGATTTCTCCCCAACCAAAAGTTTGACGCATTCATCCAGATTCAGTCCGTCTGGACGACTAATGCGCACATTTACGAACATTAACTAATGCTTCAATCCATGTGCCGATCAAAAAACGATCCAAAATAGGATATTTCCAATGCATACTTTCCAATTTCGCTGTGTCGTCTGACCAGTAAGCTCAGGGACTTTCGTTGCCTATTATATCGCCCAAAGAGGCTCAGCAATCCTTCCCGCCCGTGCGGCCAGTCATAGAAAGCATGTGCGTTGTTATGCCAAGAAAGCAATACGGGCAATCTCTTCGCCTAAGCTTTGCTGTGATTTTGATTTTATGACGTTTAGCTTATTTTGCCCCCGAACAGTAAACATATCAAGCTCATCCTACAGTCTGGCTCTTTAGGTATAATGCAGGACCGAAGAAATCGCTTCGTGCAGAAGCCTTGAATTGCATGGGTTTTCGAATAAAGAATTAAACTCGTTGTTAGATTTACTGAGAAACAATTAGTCAATACTTTGAATCATCTTTTTGTTTGTCACGGACTTTAGGAGAAACCTCCCTTTGTCGAGACCAGGTTCGCAAATCGGATCTATCAGTTCATTGCAGGAAGACACTGAAAAATTTAATTAACCAGCAAGAAACCTCAAAGTCAAGCATTTTTCACAAAGCAACATAGCAAGGTGAGGAAATCTCAGCCTTAGGTAATTGGCTTAGACCAAGGCCTTAATAATACAAAAGACACTCCTACAGCCTTCAGTGTAATCATTGTGAGGGGACTTCTTCGTCTTTGCGTATTGACAAGCAGTATATGCGTTTGATAGTGTGCGTATGACCAGAATCCTATCATTTTATTGACCGTGCTTCATCTAGTTGAAAGAGTTCGTAGACCCATAAAGAAACCGAATAGATTTGCAGTAAAATAATTGAACTTTGATGGCGAGTTGCTGATTTTCCCTCTAATCTCTCTAGTTGAGCATCAGTCCATCAATATTATATTCGATTGTTTTTCAACGTAGCTAAGCGAGGATTTCTTTTCACAGTACCAACAGACACAGATGGTAAGTTATCTTCTAAAATGGGCCTAAGATAGCCGGCCCCCCTACCCCCAAGTATTTTCTGGAGAGGCGCTCATTGCTAGATTAGCATTGGAATGGTATCGCTTCGAGAAATGCCAATCCAAGACACTCACGCATCAAAGGTCGAATGTCATCAGCGCGTAAAAACAGGGATCTTGTCAGTGGGTCAACGAAACTCTGTATGCTTACGAATCCACACAGTCAGGATAGCAGCAGGCAGTCCATTTTATCAAGAAAATGGCCATCCAAGAGCATCATCTCGGGACGCCATACTGACTTCAATGCATTTAGGTTTGAACCTTTGCCATTAGAAATATGGCGGCTGGGCTGGGCTTTATCTAGGGGAGGAAACCAGAACGGTCGCAAGGTTACTTATATAGAAATATAGTAGCCTAAACCTGGTATTTAGCGCAATCCTACAGGAGCAGAGAATAAGCACCCAGGGGACTTTTGTCTGACCACCTATATTTGCAACATAACCATACCATCATCGTACTAGCCGATGACAGTTGATGTGACTTGGCCACTATGTCACCTCGCTAAGAAAAAACAAGCCATAGGGCTGACACGTGGAAACAGAAGCCTTGGCGCCTGGGCTTCGGCTTTCTCATCGTGAATCACAAAATTACAGCTCACGATCTTCCCTAATCAAAAAGAAAAAACACGACTCTGAGACCAGTACAAATCTCCTCCCCCGTCCGTTTCCTACTACAGAGTCCCTTCGTCAACGACTTGGCTAATTAGCCAACGGAGTCATCCCGCAGAGTCCAAAATGTACGAATCGTGGTTTACATATCCGCTCACCAGACCCTATCCTTTTCGGTGGTTTACTCCGGTCGTAATACTGGGAGGTGTTACTCTCGCTATACTGTTCTCATTTGTCAATATAGCTTCGAATGGACACTTTCTCAAACCCGAATACACCGAAAATCCGAACGCCACGCTGGCCTCAAGTGTGCGGTAAGATTACTTCTCCTACAATCTAGTAGCTTAGCTAACGAATTGATAGGTGGTATATGAAACCTCCATTTAACTGGGATACAACATTCAAGGCACAGTGCCAGCCAAGCCTCATTTCTGTTGGTGATAGGTTCTTTACCTCTTCGCTGGGGCTTCAGTATGAAGTCCAATCGGTTGTCAGGGAAAACGACCAACTCACGTTGCCATCTGTTGCGTACCTGAATAATCCACTTGAAGATTGCTTTCTCCAGAGCTCGGCGCTCGAGCTTCAGAAAGTTGACAGGGCGAAGCAGCCTTCTTGGTGGATGTCTTGGACAGAATCAAAAGCATCAGCAGTGGCGTCTTGTAGGATCACAACAGATCAAGGAGCTGTCAACCTCACGCTTGCATTACAGCTTACTGGCGGCGAAGTCTCTGCCATTAATAACAATTACACCACGCATGCCAGCACTTGGTGGGGCCAAACGCTGGTTAGGAATTACTTTTGGGGTGTTGTACTCCTAATGTCTCAGGTAGACATTCCTGAGGAAGTTGGAGATTACATCTCGATTGGGCGAATCAATTATATAAGGAATCAATCTGAAACGGAGTAAGTGTAGTCCTCGGTTTTCAACAGCCCTGATATCAACGTTACTCACACACCCAAGCATCAAATCCCGGAGCTTTTTTAGCGACAATCATTGGTTTGTTTCAGATGCTTCTTTTATTATCAACACCGAAGAGGATGTCCGTATATATTCTTAAAATCCTACTCTAAGATGCGAGGACAAACAAGCTAACTAATCCTCTGGGCTGCAGATTTTCATACCAGTGAAGGACGAAGGGCGCCATTATACTAGGCTTCTCCAGTCCCTAACATCATTAGATATGGGGAACTGCCAGTCTACCAATCTTCTGCTAGATCAAGAGAATCTAAAATATGCAATTATCGATCTGAACAGTACGAGTCGGAGACCAGGCGGGCTTCTGTACGGCAAGGCGGAAGATATGCTTAATCCCACTCGAGCGGTGCAAATTGGTTATCCCGACAACCCGGACGAACTAGTATTTCTCAGCGAGGCACACGACAAGATATCTCCCAAAATGGGAGGCCTTGGGTGCAGCAATGCAACCATTGTGAAGCAATACCTGTGCTCCGTCCCCCATCAAAAAGCCACTGGCACGATGCTGGTATCCATCCTGTTGACAAACTTGGTCTTCCTGCAAGCGGCCTGGAAGCTTCTAAACCTCATCTCTGAAGGCATCATGTGGCAAACAGGATCTCGTGTGGATATTTGTCAAGGCTGTATAGACAGGGGCTATCAGAATGTTCGGCCAGATGGCCTAGAACTACGCGACATGCCAATGGCTAGTGAAAGAAGTACAACGTTACATGGGGACGAAAGCTCTCAGAATCTGTTGCAAGATCGAGAGGGGGAGAATACCAAGCCTGCCTCTGTAGTATCTGTCGTCTAGATATAGAATTGTGTTGTAGACCTAGTTTGAGTTACTAATGCTTAATTTAACCGAACGGATTCTTGTTGTGATTTTTAGAACTCGAAGGCTTGATTCTCAACATGACTAATCGATTGATTCATCGCGCCTGTTGAGATGATCAAGTGTTAGAATAGTGCATGATACTACACCCAAATAATGCGGATAGATCAGAGTCTCATGGAACGAGTGCGGTTCAACTAGATTTCCATTCCCATATGCGATCCAGACATGGAGACTTGTCTTCGTCTCTGTTGTGATCTTGTGATGCATCATGCTTACTTTAGGTCTCAACAAATACCCCTCACGAAAATCCTATTTGAGACAAGGAAGGATGAGCAATCGCCAGGGATCTCTCCTATAGTATAGCCGAGTTGAGCGGTATATTGTTCTCAAGCGTCAGCATTACAGCATACAATGCGGCCATATCTCGGTCCTTTTTACAGCCCGCCTGTCCTGCTTTTCTTCAGCATTTAAAGATCGACAAACATGGTGTATAGTCACCATGCGCTATCTTCTTCAATTATTGTCCAGTGATGATATCGAGAGTTTACCGTCTAGAGACTCTAACTATCTGTTTCTCGCCTTTCAACCACTCAGACGATGGGAAGTCTCACGAAAACGTCTATGTGCTTGGGCAGCACGCTTGCCCATTGGGCTCTCACGGACGCAGTGGCCGTACCGTCTAATATACGCTCCTACCCAGGAGAAAGCATCACATGGACACTTTGCGGCCAGGCCGCAAACCACACCCTAGAATGCAGTTCCATTGATGTGCCCATGGATCAATTCAGTGTCCAAAACCCGGGCAATCAAACCTTCAACATACCCCTAATTCGTCTCCGAGGGCACGATGCGCCTGAAGGGAGAAATCTCATCGTCAATCCTGGAGGCCAGGCGGAAGCGGGCTTCAGTACATCTATTTCAAGGGCGCTGATATCAACGCCATTGTTGGAGAAGGTTATCATTTGGTTTCATTCGACCCACGCGGCGTCAACACATCAAGTCCACTGGCTAGTTGTTACCCCGACAGTCAATCTAGGCAAAGGCTATCACGGGTGAGGAATGTTGACCCGGTATTGGACAGTGGAGAGATTTTTGCCTGGGCCGATAACTACGTGCAGGCTTGCGCCGATGTCATGGGAGAACATGGCATCTATATAAATACGCCTCAGACTGCGGCCGATATGAACAGCATCCTAGATGCTCTCGGCCAAGAGAGCATGGCCTATTGGGGTTTCAGTTACGGGTCCCTTCTTGGTCAGACATACGCTGCTCTATTCCCAGAGCGATCGGAACGCATCATCGTGGATGGAATCATCAATATCTTCAACTGGTACAATGGGACTGTGGACCATGAGATGTGGACCGACACAGATACTGTTTTTGATGGCTTCTTTGACGAGTGTATCAAGGCTGGCGACAACTGTCCCCTTTCTGAATTCGGCATGGGTTCGAAGGAGGTTCTCAAGAAGCGCGTGATGGACTTGGGTGATCAACTCAAGGACCAGCCAGTATCCGCGTATATCAATTCTGCAAGATATGGCCTCATCAACTATCAGACATTGTTTTTCAATGCCATTTTCCCGGTACTACTCAACCCAGCATCCTGGTATAGCTTTTCGCTCATTCTTTCATCGTTCATGAACGGAAATGCCACAACCATGTTCTCTGTTTTCGGCTCTGACAGCGCGTACACGGCAACGGATGATGCCAATAGCATCGTGCACCTTAACGATGCACAAACTGGTCCTGAGTACTGGCCACAAGATCGCAGCTCATTGTTGGACATCATTCTCCCTCTAATGAATGGTTCAAGATGGGCAATGATAGAGAATGTAGAATATTACAAGAGACAAAAGTGGCAACTACCCAAAACGCACACGTTTTTACCAGCACGAGAGATGGAAACAGCTCATCCGATCCTCATTTTGTCGACAACTTACGACCCTGTCTGCCCCCTCAAATCTGCCAGAATCGCAAGGGATGCCTTCAAGAATTCCCGACTTATTGAGGTTGAGGGTTACGGCCACTGCTCCAGCTCGCTCCCGTCTTCATGCTTGACAGCACATGTAAGAAATTTTCTATACAACGGAACGCTACCAGAGAGAGATGTTTGGTGTGAGAGCGACATGGATTACTTCAGGCCGCCAAAAAAAACGGAACTCATCCCTACGGACTTTTGCGGAGGATAGTCTGATAGATGATTTGCACATGGCGTACCTCAAGAGAAGATGGAGAGTGTTATGATCGCTAAGGCCTTAGTTCTCGATTGGTTAGCGGAATGGCGGCCCAACCCCGCCTACATCTTTCTTTCTTTCCATTATCAAAAGAGATCAAGAATGAGTTAAGAGCAATAATTCGGGTCCGGACCTCGAGCCAACAGCACCTATTGAATGAAACCAGATGCTCTCACATTGGCACTGGGAAGTACCTAGCGGCAAGTCCAAGCTAATTAAATGGAGTTTCTCCTCGACCTCCTCCGTGATTCAATGCAAGGTTTGTAGCTAGGTAGGTACGGACAAATGAAAAAGTACTATCCATCGCGGGATCTTCGACTTCCACAAAAAGTTCCCTTAGGTACAGTACGTACATATGTTACCTACCGTATATTTATGTACCGAAATCGACGACTGGCGCAAAAAATGGACGAACAGGGAATCGAACCCTGGACCACTCCCAGTGGCTTTATGTGTATATCACATGATGCTAAGGGAGTATTATACCACTAAACCATTCGCCCAGTGCCGCCTTTCTCTTGACCAGCACGTGAGCAGGCACTATGAAGTCTTACAACAAGGAGGTTGCAAAGAACAGTGAAGCCAAGCCTGGAAATGCTACACGACAAATCAATTCTTGTCAGAAGTGACCTTTTCGTAAATTCATAGACCTTGGATGATAAAAAAGGAATAACTCAGATCAGGATTGAGCTATAGGAGCAAGTCAATATGCTCAGGTATGTGAGCAACACCTCAGAAACAGACAACAAACATATCGCAGGCTTGATTTAGCCCTTCACGAGCTATAGACAATTATTTCATCACAATTTGAGGCACTCGCTGGGTCATATTGAAGATGAATATGGGTGGTCTTAGGATAGTCGAGAACCACCAACAATCCATGAATGGGAATGGTAAGCTATGCTTGGCCCAACCAAAACAAGAGTGGCCAATATTGGATTACGAACAGGGGCTTTACAAAACTCTCACGTAATTGTAAGCAGGGTTAGGCAGCCATGTGGGTTGCAATCCCATTTGTCATAAAGTGTATTTGTGTGCCTCAGCCTACTTCCTCAGCTGAGGCAGATTCCTTCGAACTTCACCCAGCACCAGCACTTATCTCTACACGCCAAGATACTCCTTTACACCGAATGCATTCTGTCGATATTTGAGACCAATTTCCAACCGTTTAGCAATTTCCGTGGTCGCATAGCTACAGCTCAGTTGTTGAGAGCCACGTTAACATCAAGCCCCCAACCAAACCTCCGCTTGTCCTCCAAAGCAAGAGAATCCTCCACTCATCTTGCGATAGCTCCTCTTGCGAGAACTCCAAGCCCGCCAGTCGACAGTCTGCAATTTCACGGAACCAACAAATCTCGTCATACAACCGGTTCTTGTTTGCGATGTCATCCTTCCATGCTCTGACTTCGATGGCGGAGGCTGCGCCATCGTGGAATGCGGTCGTAGGAACACTTCTTTGTGCGCTTCTCGGGGCTTTTACGTATGCACTGTTGCAAAATCATACACGACCTACTTTTTATCAGCGAAACGGTCAGTTAATGGAGGCCGATAACACGGCCCGCGATGACCTTGCCTCCGGAAGCGAACGCGGCCGTGTACTAGTGGACGTACCAGCATCTCTTGATATCGACAGGATTGACCGCCAAGGGACTGTACCGAACCGAGAGGCAAATGCTGAGCACTCCCCCCCTCTCAGAAAGCCCGTCAAGCTTAGCCGAGAAGAATATACGGTGGGCTGGATCTGTGCCATCACGGTCGAGCTTGTTGCCGCAGAGGCATTTCTTGACGAGACGCATGCGAACCTAGAATATAGAGATAAGAATGACGATAATATTTATCTCCTAGGCAAATTCGGAGAGCACAATACTGTCATCGCTACATTGCCGGAGGGGGAGTACGGCACAAACTCTGCAGCACGGGTCGCTAGTGACATGGTTCGCAGCTTTCCCAATATAAGATTTGGACTTATGGTTGGGGTGGGAGGCGGTGCACCGAGTAAACAACATGATATACGACTTGGTGATATTGTGGTCAGTTCTCCTCGTGATGGCTATCCTGGAGTGTTCCAATATGACTTTGGTAAATCAGTCCAAGACGAGGTTTTCCATGCAACCGGGTTTCTAAATGCGCCCCCAAGATTGTTGCGCGCCGCGGTGACCGCCCTTAAGGCGCAATACGACAAAGATGATTCTCAACTACGGAATATAATTGATACCGTCCTTCGAACTCACCCAGAATTATGGAAAGGGGGACATAAAAGGCCAGAAACAACCAGTGATATACTTTACCGTCCAGATTTTGTGCATCGTTCAAATGACGGTGGCGACTGCAAAGACTGCTGTGGACTTGAGTCCAAAGTTCTTATGCCAAGACAGACGAGGCCTTTCAACGACAGACCGGTTATCCACTATGGCATGATTGCCTCTGGAAATAGTCTGATAAAGGACGCCAAACTTCGGGACAAACTCGGAACAGAGAAGAAAATTCTGTGTTTCGAGATGGAAGCCGCTGGATTGATGAATGGATTCAATTGCTTGGTCATCCGGGGTATCTGTGATTACTCGGACAGTCACAAAAATAATATATGGCAACCCTATGCGGCTGTGGCGGCTGCTGCGTACAGTAAAGATCTGTTGCTTCGAATACCTCCAGAGGAAATCCGAACTGTGCAAAAGGCCAATGAACTTTTTTCGGGTACTTCTTCCAAACCCTAGCTAGGATTCTTCTTGCATTAATGATAGTCTAGAAATCCAAAATTGCCACCAAATCTTCCGCTTGAAAACGCGTGATAAGGATTCCACCTACGAGTGGTACAAAGGCAGAATAGAAAAACGAGTCGAAGGAACTTGTTCTTGGTTTCTTCACCATACCAGCTTCAAGAACTGGCAGCAGGAGGAATCCGGCCCTCTCCTAGTGTCTGCAGACCCTGGCTGTGGGAAATCTGTGCTGACGAAGTATCTTGTTGACGAGGTCTTACCAGGATCAGCAACTATCTGCTATTTTTTCTTCAAGGACCAAGACCAAAATACCATCCGACAAGCGCTTTGTGCTCTCCTCCACCAACTCTTTACGTGGAACCCGGCTTTGATTGAACATGCCCTAGAGCTCTTCCGACGTAACGGCGAGGGCCTAGTAAACAACAAGGCATCGTTGTGGCATATCTTGCAAGCTGCTGTCGAAGATCCCAGAGCAGGGCCAATCGTACTTGTTTTTGATGCTCTTGACGAGTGCATTGAGTCAGAATTTGCAGAGCTAATGGAAATGATAATAAAGCAATTATGTGGCGTGAAAAAACCCCAAAGCAAGTTGAAATATCTGCTCACAAGCCGCCCTTATGAGCAGATAGTGGCTGAATTCCGCCCCCTCCTAGACCAGTTTCCCTTCATCCATATTCCTGGAGAAGACGAGTCCGAAGCGATTAGTAAGGAGGTGGACCTTGTAATTTCGCATCAAGTTGATCAACTGTCGAAAGTGAAGAAACTGTCACTTGATATTAAAACAACATTGGAGCGGAAATTTCAGGAGATTCCCCACCGAACATATCTATGGGTGCATCTTGTATGTGATGTTCTAAGGAGGGAGACGATAAAAAGGACACCGAATGCCTACAGAAATATCATTTCTAAACTTCCTCAAAACGTCAATGAGGCGTATGAGCAAATTCTCAACAGATCCGAGAACCCCAGCATGGCTCGGAAAGCTCTAGCTATTATATTGGCTGCAAACCGGCCATTGACGGTCTCAGAAATGAACTCCGCCATGAATATAGACAACGAATCGACATCCTTTATCAGCCTTGACTTGGAGGCTGACGAGGATTTCAGATCAACTTTCAGAAGCTGGTGTGGCCTGTTTGTGTCGATCCACCACGACAAGATATACTTCCTCCATCAAACGGCACGCGAGTTTCTGGTGAAAACACCATCCCGAGATCCTTTATCAACAATGAAATGGCATCGATCTATCTCTTACGAAGACGCACATGGTGTTCTAGCGGAGCTCTGTGTACGCTACTTGAGCTTTTTCAACTGCATGGTAGATGTGAGGCAGCAAGGCGCCCACGTCCGGCATTCCCTAGCTTACGCGGCCCAGTTCTGGGCTGACCACTTTCGCAAAGCAGAACATGTTTTTGACACTGAATTCTTGCCCTTAGTGCTAGGGATTTGTCACCCGGGCAGCAATGCCTATCAGAAATGGGTCAAGAACTTCCTTAAAGACGACTTTCCATCAGGACCGAATGCTACAAAACTTATGATAGCATCACACTTAGGACACTGGACAGTTGCTAGGTTCTTGATCAACAAAGGCGTTGGTGTTGAGTTCAAGGATGACAAATATGGCCGGACGGCACTCTCATTGGCAGTAGAGAGAGGCCATAAGGCTGTCGCTAGGCTTTTGATTGATAAAGGTGCTTATCTTGACTCACAGGATAAAAATGGCCAGACCCCGCTCTCACTAGCAGCAGAGAGAGGCCACGACACTGTTGTCAAGCTTTTGGTTGATAGAGGTGCTGATCTTGAGTTAAAGAGTGCTAACAGCCTGACGCCGCTCTCATGGGCGGCGCATAGTGGCTACAAGACTATTGTTGAGCTACTGATTGATAAAGGTGCTAACCTTGAGTCACAGGATAACAATGGCCAGACACCACTTTCACTAGCAGCAGAGAGAGGCTATGAGTTTATTGTTAAGCTTTTGATTGATAGAGGGGCTGAACTTGAGTCAAAGGATGATGAATGTGGCCGGACCCCGCTCTCATGGGCGGTGTGTAGAGGCCACAAGGCTATTTTTAAGCTTTTAATTGACAGAGGTGCTGATGTTGACCTTGAATCAAAGGACACTATATGGGGTCAGACACCGCTTTCACTCGCAGCAGAGAGAGGTCATGAGTTTATTGTTAGGCTTTTGATTGATAAAGGTGCTGAACTTGAGTCAAAAGATGATGAATGGGGCCGGACGCCGCTCTTATGGGCAGCAGAGAGAGGCCATGAGGCGGTCGCTAGGCTTTTGATCGATAAAGGTGCTGACCTAGAGTCAAGGGATGATAAATGGGGCCAAACGCCGCTCTCATGGGCGGCATATACAGGCCACAAGGCTGTTACCAGGCTTTTGATTGATAAAGGTGCTAACCTTGAGTCAAAGGATGATAGATGGGATCAGACGCCGCTCTCATGGGCAGTACGCAGAGGTCACGAGGCTGTTATCGAGCTTTTGATTGATGATGGTGCTGACCTTGAGTCAAAGGATGATAAGCGGGGTCAGACGCCGCTATTATGGGCAGTACGCAGAGGCCATACGGCTATTGTCAAGCTTTTAACTGATAAAGGAGCTGACATTGAGGCCAATGATCGATCCGGTCGGACGCCACTATGGCTGGCGGCAAGTCATGGCCATAAAGCTACTGTCGCGCAATTGCTCGAGAAGCGTTGCACTGTGGATGTGAAAGATGAAAATGGGATAACACCATTGGCAGAGGCTAGAATAAAAGGCTATTGGGACATCGTGGAGTTGCTCCTCAAAGCAGATGCTGGGACTAATGATGGGGGAAGCTCGCGCTAGATGCCGTCGTTGGTGGTTTTTTTTTGAACGGCGGCTCAACCAGGAGCCGACGGCAGAACTGCAGAGCTTGTTTGGCATTGAGGCGCTGTTTTCACGAAACGGCTTCTAGATAGCTGGACAATCATTCTAGTTAGAACCTTGTCGTAATTTTTACATTATTGGATCAGAGGCAGTAAACTGGTCAGGCAGAACAAGCGATCCGCGTGCGTTGATCACGAACAGTTTTACTCTCGCAGGGCAGGCTAAGCAGGTATGAGCGGCTCTAGTCGGTCTACCCTACAGCAAGCGAATGTTAATGCTGAAGTGGAAGATGGTTGGACTTCTGTCAATGTTCCTTGTTTTCTTGTTTCGTGCATTTGCTTAAAATTACCATCTCGCTGTATATTCAATGTTCCTTCATGTCATTTTGGCGCTTCGGATTGGTCACTACCTCTGGCTATGGACGCGCATTAATGGCTAAGCGCAGCTCAGGTACCAAGGTATATATGCGAGCTAATAATAAGCTGGTACGACAAAAGAGCGAGCTTATCATCATCATTAAGCTTGCCCTATGGGTTGCTGAAGATTGAATTGCTCAAGGACAAGAGTAGGACCGATGAACGAATAAGAGACCACATTCTCTCCGTTGGGTTCTACAGAATGGGAGGTGAAATCTGGCTGGCTCACAATGGTGATCTAAAGATGGGTTTGGCTCTCTAAAGCCGCGTGCGACGGCTAAATAGCCGCTGTAACGGGTTGGTGTGGGCAAAATGGTGATTCATGCCTGTCGGGCTTTTCAGAGTGAAAACAGAGTTTGTGAGCCAGGAGTTTTTATTTGGCGAGGGATGGGCCATGCAGCGTTCGGGTGTTGGATGTGCCCGAGGGGCTGCCTCGACATTGCAAAGAGTCCGAACAGCGAGCTAAACCAAGGGCCAGAGCATAAGCTAGGCAGCTCGAGCCCGAAATGAACACGTGCAGGAACCCTGTAGGGAGTTAGCTGGCTCACGATGAGTCAAACTAGCCCTTGATAGCCACCACACTGACCAACACTACCCAGCCGAAGCAGTCTGACTATGGCCCGCTAGCTGCTGGCCTGTTTTGCTTCTTGTTCACAGAGTTTTCTCTCTATCGATTCTAGGCTCTCCCCCCTAACCCAACCGGGACCCCTTGATATTGGTCGTAATCTGGGCCCACCGGCAACCCATTCCAGTCCCCTTCTGAGGTCCCCGGCCGTAATCTCATGCACGTCGTACTACCCTCGTTCGGGAGGATTGTGATTTCCAACCAGAGACGCTGCTGCCAGGTGCTCGGGGCCGTCAGTGGAGATGTGTCGGGTGATCTACTACCCGCAAAGCCATCTGACTCGGAGCCCCTCGGACGGTGCCTTTGTCGCAGCTCGTATGCGTCGTTTCGGGGCCACGTCGATTGGCTGCGTGCGTCGCCCGGCAAAAGATGCCGGCAGAGTTTTGTTTGACGGTCCTGGTGCAGCGAGATAGAAATGTCCGATCTGGCTGGCCTAGATCAAAGTCCGGCCCTAAAATCCGCCCCTTGATGAAGTAGATGGCTTGCTTCATAAAGACGTTGCGTCCGTCCAGGCCAAACTGTAATTCTCACGATCTGCATCTTTGTCGCAAACCTGCAAACGCTCGTAACGTCGCCTAATCTTTGCTTACTGACTGCAGCGATTGGACTACCAACACCCAGAATAACACAACAACCACCCCCCCTTAATACAACATAGTGGCTCAAGCAAAAAAAGAAGCCCGCCATGCTCTTCCGGAAAGAGAAAAAGGCAGAGCCGCCTGCCGCAGCCACGGCGCAAAATGAGGTCATCGAGGACGAAGCCGCCAACGACATGATGCCGACCCTCACGGCCACATCGACAGTTGCGCTGCATGAATACCCCAGAGGCATCCAGCTCGTGCTCCTGCTGGCCTCCGTCTTCCTGACCATGTTCCTTGTCGCCCTCGACCGACTGATCATCGCCACCGCCATCCCCGAGATCACCAACGAGTTCAACTCGCTCCCCGACGTGGGATGGTACGGCTCTGCCTACCTGCTCACCACCTGTAGTTTCCAGCTGCTGTTTGGAAAGCTGTACACCTTTTTCGCTGTCAAGGGCGTGTGGCTCATTTCCATCTTTATCTTTGAGGTTGGCTCGGCTATTTGCGGTGCTGCGCCCAACTCGACTGCCTTTATTATTGGACGTGCCATCCAGGGAATTGGCGGCGCGGGCATCTTCTCTGGTGCAATTGGTAAGATATCCACTCCCTTCCTCCTCCCCAATGCGCATCTAACAGACAATCTCTATAGTCGTCATCGTCTACGCCGTGCCTCTCGAGAAGCGACCCATGTTCCAGGGCCTCTTCGGCGCCATCTTCGGTCTGGCTTCCATCATCGGTCCTCTGGTCGGCGGTGCCTTCACATCTAATGTCACCTGGCGCTGGTGCTTCTACATCAACCTCCCTATCGGCGGTGTCGCTTTCGCCTTCTCAGCCTTCCTCCTCAGAGTTCCCGATCGTGACACGACGAAGCAGCCGCTCAGCAAGAAACTCGCCCAGCTCGACGGAGTCGGTACCGCCGTTCTCATCCCTGGTGTTGTCTGTCTCCTCCTGGCCCTTCAATGGGGTGGTCTTGAACATCCGGTAAGCTTATGACTTTTTCTCGCCTTTCTATTGCCATTGCTAATATATCTCACAGTGGTCTGATGGCCGAATCATCGCCTTGTTGGTTCTCGCAGGTGTCTTGCTCATTGGCTTCGTCGCCGTGCAGGTGCTCATGCCCAAGACTGCAACCATCCCCCCTCACATCTTCAAGCAGCGCAGCATCCTGTCTGGATTCTGGGCTACTATCTGCATCGGATCCCAGATGATGATCTTTGGTATGGTTCCCCCTTTCCCTCTCAATGCCGGGCTCATGTTAACCAATTGACTCAGTCTACTACCTGCCCATCTGGTTCCAGGCCATCCAAGGCGTCTCAGCCGTGGACTCTGGTATCCGCATCTTGCCCTCAACCCTCTCCATGGTTGTCGCAACCATCTTCTCCGGCGCCCTCATTACCAGAATCGGCTACTACACCCCGTTCATGATCTTCGGAACATGCCTCATGTCCATCGGCGCCGGTCTGCTCACAACCCTCCAAGTCGACACCGGATCCGGCAAGGTAAGCATCACACCCAAACCCCCTCCCGTCGCTACCTACTGACATTTCTTTCTCTCTAGTGGATCGGATACCAAGTCCTCTGGGGTCTCGGCATGGGCATGACCTTCCAGGCACCCAACCTCGCCGCCCAAACCGTCCTCAAGCTGCGCGACGTCCCCATTGGCACCACCCTCATGTTCTTCAGCCAGCTCATGGGCGGCGCAATCTTCATCTCGGTCGGCCAAAACGTCCTCAACAACGAGCTCCTCAAGCGCCTCGCCCCGCTGCCCGGGTTCCGGCCCAGCTTCATCTCGCAGGGCGGCGCCACCGCGCTGCGCACCGAGTTTCCCGCAGAGCTGCTCCCCGCCGTGCTGGACGCGTACAATGAGTCGCTGCGCAAGGTGTTCCAGATCGGCATGATTCTCACGGTTTTGACTGTCATCGGGTCCGCGACCATGGAGTGGAAGTCGGTGAAGAAGAATGTGAAAAAGCCCGTGGCCGCGGGTGCGGAGGAGCAGCAGACGACAACGGGTGCTAAGTCGGATGGGGAGACGATCGTGGAGGGGTCTGTGGCTCGGTCGGAGAAGGATGTGGATGTGAAGAGCGCACCTTCGGGTGAGGCCAGTGCCGAGAAGGAGAAGGAGAAGGAGGAGAAGATCTAAGGGAAGAAAGAGGGAGAGTAGGGCATTACAACATGGTTTGGGGCGTTTGGGATCTGGTTTTTCATCGGCATAGATTCATTGACGCGTAATGAACTCGCGCTCCGGTGGGCTTATTGAAGGCATGGCATAGCAGGTGCCAAACTTACTTGGAAACTCCTCTCTAGTACATAATCATTAATGAAATATTCCAAAGATGTCACCTCTCACGCGTTTTGTGTTCCTGTGTTCTTGGCCTGACATTTCTGGCCACACTAACAATTAATCACAGTCAATGTGTCAAGACGAGCATCCATACCACTTTACTCACGTCCTATTCAATCAAACTAACCTACACGAGGGTTTATTTCAACGTAGACAATTGCTCCACATGGCCCTGGATTCGAACCTCCTTGTTATCCCAGAAGCCGATCCCTTCACCGTACGACTCAGATATTGTGATGTACTTATCACGCTGTTCTGGCAACGCCGGAATTAACTCGCCATCACGAACCCACTTGTCAAATGTGAAGTGGGCATCTCGAACCGGAAGATCCAAGAAGAACTTATTAAAGTACTTGACGCCGGTGCGCGGGCTGACCTCGATATCAGAAGCTCGACTCTTGGGGCCGACTGGCAACATTTCATGCCAGCCGTTTGGGTGCCAGACAGAAGCGAAGGCGATTTCTGATATACCATCGATATTTGGTTCCATTGACCACGAGATGAGGACTTCTCCTGTCTCGAAATAAAACCAGAGTGCATAATAGCCCTTTCCAATATGAAAGTTGCCCCACTGCCTTTCAAACAACGCGTATGACTGCTTGGGGTCAATTTCGTGTTCCCGTCCATCAATTGAAAGCTTGCCTGCTATTCGGGTTGTAGGATTCGCCTGAAAGTCTGATCAGCTACCACCTCCCATCGTAAACTCGGCCCGTTACCTACCCAGTACCACGACCATCCAGGGAGTGCAGCAGAGCCGTCAGGGTCTGGTCCACGGTTGACAAGCTGGATGCCGCCGCTGCCTCCGTAGTAGAAATTCCCGCCGGTAGGTTGCAAAGTAACGTCTAACTTAACACCAGCCAAGTCAAGCTCGAGATGCGTGTCAGTCCATCGATCACCGTCGTCTGGGCTGGCAATGGTCTGCGAGGCGCTCTTCAGCTCGAGTCGACCGGGATTTCCTGACCCAGGCTCAAGGATCGAAGCACCTCGTGACGTGAGATCCTGGAGATCGTTGAGGGAGATGAACGTTCCAAGAAGGTCCACTCCACGTAGACCAGCATTGCTCGTCAAGTGGTATTTGTGGCCGTTTTTGGTGGTGATCCAGTAGAGCATGAAGACACTGCGGCGTTTAGCATGATGAGTGTGCGCCAATCAAGAGCAGAGCTACAAACTTGTTCACGTTGTTGGTGTCGGTTGTCACGTATGCCAAAGTTTTCCGGGCATCATATCTGTTGGCTGAAGTCTTTTCTGAGAGTCAGTCATTGTCTTGAGTACCATTCAAAACTGGACACAGAAACTCACACCATCATTGTCTACCGTGGTTGGCGCATACTCCGGGGGAGCCCATGACAAGGGAGCCGCTGGCATTTCTCAAGCTGATATCCCTCTGGTAGTCTTATTGAATGATACCGTAGCAGAATCAACGGTAGACTCGCTTTGATGACGATACGCGTCGTGCTTTTAACCTCCTGCTTTCGGGACCCGGCCTCCTCGAGGTGTCCGGATGGGGTTCGAAAACGGAATAGTCTCCATGGAGTCCACGGACTTCCTGAAATTCGAACGGAGAAGAACACGCAGACTTGTGGCTATTATACCTAAGGAATTGTGTATTTTAACTTCCTTTTGTCCACGTGTGTTCAGACCCTTTCTTTGCTTCTCTCCTTCAGCCTTGTTTCTTTTTCACCTCAATATCGTAGCCCTATGCTATGAACGCAATCCCTAGGGTCAGTCTAATACAAGCGTTTCAATATGGACAAGTCACATTTCTCAATCTCATCCGTCACAGCGACCGCAATACCGCACTAGTGACTGGTCATTGAACAAGCTGGGATCACGCCTGAAGTGGCCAACTACAACTACTCAGAATCAGGAACGCAAGATGGTCCCTATCTTGTATTATGGAGTACCAATGGTCCGAAGAACCCTATGCCCTCTGCAAAATCTAGGAAGTGGGTTATCACTATGACCACGGCCAAATACTTTGGCCCTTGCCCTGGTTTCTTCGGTATACACCGGTGGAGTATCTGAACTTACAGTAGAGTTTGGGATCAGCGAAGTAGTTACCATCCAGGGCGTATCTCTGTTCATCGTTAGATTCCTCGGGCCGCTCCTTTAGCCACCTCTAAGTGTGGCCGTCGGGCGCTAGATCATCTTCATTCTCACATAGACTATACTAATAACTTTCAATACCGTATGTACCGGGCACCTAACACAACAGTACTTATTATCTTTCGCTTCTTGGTAGGTGTACTTGGCCCGTCATCTCTTACTCAGGTTTATAATCACATATAATGTATGAGGATTCTCTAGGCTAATTCTAACAGAAATTCAGGGGGAGAAGCTCTTTTTAAACGAAACGAAAAAAGTTTCCAATTTCCATTCAACTGTAAACATTCTGTAAATACCTCAAGTTTGCAGAAGGTTATTTATTCAAGATTGTCCGATGGAAGCAATGAAGGTGGCTATAATATCCCTTAGTCTTTAAATGCAGGATGTGCACGGGTCAGTCGGCGAGATTGTTTATTGGAAGGAATCTACAGGGCGTTTCTGACATTTTGTACAAGAACTTATGGGGAACACGGATACCATTGGACAAATAAGGCTGTGATTAGCCGGGTACATCTAGCTAATTATATACAATTAAAGTTTCTATTAGAACGAAATTAGTTAGCTTTTCTCTATAATAATTATCACATTAGTTGTGCTACAATCATTGCTTCCTACACAGCTGAATGACACTATCTGCATCATCACATCGCCCTCACGGAAACCCTTCCTGGCCGCTATTAGATGAGCACAATGTATACTAGTGCTGTTCAGGTCACCCTGCTTGGTCTCTGAGATGATGTTCCAGCTCTCGCGGTCTTCGGCAGTGGTGTCAACAAGAAGGGCCACAGCAAGCTCCTCGCCAGCATCGACACGGGTCTTTGACGCGTCACGAACTCGCGCTCCGGTGGGCTTATTAAGGTACGGAATAGCAGGTGCCAAATTCACTTGGAGACCCCTCTCTAGTACATAGGTAATAATTAATGAAATATTCAAAAGATGCCACTTGCCACTTTTCGTGTTCTTGTGTGTAACTTGGCCTGTGTTAACCAACCATTTTCCTCCCTACCTTTCCCCCTAGCTGCCTCATTGGCCGCAAAGATGTTGGGCCAGTGAGTCTGCGCTGGAAGCAGACAAATACGAGCTTCCCGTGGCAGCGTCAGGCTCTAATTTGGGCACACTGAGGAGTGGGCACACCCTTTGGGTTGACACCCCTCTCCGAGCTACTGTAGGAAGTGATCTCGCCCAATTATTCATATATCTCCCGATCTCACGTAAGCGGTTACTTATGCTTATCTCCCGCCGTCTAGGCTGGACCAGGATCCTTGGGAATAGCGTCAAGCGGCTGACCAGCTCCATGGGAGCTACTCCAGCCTTGGAGTGATCGTGGGTATGGGGCATATTGTTTGGATTCGCCAATGGCGTGCAGTCCTCGGTGTTGCATAGATCCTCTCTGCATCATCATATTGCCCTAGCTGAAGTACTATTGAGAGCCACAGTAAGCTCCTCGCTAGCATGGGCACGGATCTTCCATGCACTACTTGCAGAGACATTGCAGATAGCGGACGGTGAGGCGAAAGTGGCTGGCTTTGGATCAAAGCCAAGCCGGTTAAGACGGTGAAAAGCCACCATTCTCACACCAATTTCCCCTTAAAAAGCGGTCACGCGGCACTGCATCTTGCACTTTGCTTTTGCTTTTGCTTCAGCTGAGGCGCCGTATTGGAAAGTGGTGGGGTTGTGAAACATATGTTCATATATCATTTCGCTCTTGGCCAACAGCATCCCGCGAACATGCAGCCACAGTGGATTCACACGTCAGCTCCAAGAGCTGAACTTTCAGCTCTTGTCCGAGGATAATCGGGGTTGGTAGCACAGTCCCTGAGGCTAACATTCGCAGGAAAAGCTCTGTCAAAGGGGCTTCTTTATTTACTATGCCATCCGTTCGCATACCCTGCCAGTAAAGATCCTCTGCACAGATACACCTTCATTGTCAGTTTTTTACACTCAAAAGATTACCCAATACCCTCACTGTCCACCCATCCAGTCATGGACATACGCATACTACCGACATGTGTCATCCTCGCGACGCTTTTCGCGTGCGTTCGAGCAGACGGGTTGGATGACTTCACCAACAATCTATTCAGCGACTTGGGACCGGAAGTAAGGTAAATGAAGTACGCATTCAGTATCTACGCTAACCCAGGCCCCCTCTAGTATTCTTGCCCTATTTGGAGAACGTGTCACGATGCAATTTATGAGTCAAGCTATGGACTGGGTAGATTGTATTGTCTTGACTATGGCTCCTATCGGTGTCGTCACGATCCTCGTCAGTGCCATTCGAGTAGGCGGGCCACAGTGGCTCAAAGCTGTCATCGGTCGAGGACGAGAGAATACCGCTGAAGCGGAGATGGAGTTGATGTCATCGACATCAAAAGAGGTTTGCGAGCTCTTCAATGGTTGGAGTTTCATCCGGTGTCAAGGAACCGCCCCTGTTTGGGAATATATTTGTATTGTCCCTAAAAACGCCGATCCCCGGAAGAAAAGGGCGTTGCAGTTCATGACACTTGACGTTGCAGTCAACCGGGGCCTTTTATCGAAACATGGAAGAGGCATACAACTCAAACCCAACGAACCGGGAATTGTACGAGATGAAACTACGGACCCCACTTCCACGCCCAACACAGGTAATGCGACCGATCGTACATGGAGTGGCCTAAATCGCTGGTTCGACCTTGGTAAGTCGCTTTATTACATTTACCTCATTGAGCTTTATGCCAAGATGAACTGACACCTAGACAAAGTAGGGACTCTTCGACGAGGACGACCGAAAGATGCCAGAGATGAGGAGAACCCAACAGTTACCCGCCCGGACGATTCAACAGATGGCAAAGCCGACAACAGACCCGGGGATGAGAAGAACCAAACAGTTGAGAACCAGAAAGTTACCCGCTCGGGCGATTCAACAGATGGCAAAACCGAGACAACAGAAGAATACATCACCGTAATCCGACAAATCACTGACAACGCACCCAATATAACCCTCAATCTACAAAAGAACAATCTCCAAGAGACCAATCGGAAAAAGACCAATCTACTAAAGGCCTTTTGGCGTGGGTTGAAGAACCACTTTAGCCGTACGTTGATCAAGTACGTTGCAGTGCTCGGGGTTTTGCTTCAAGCAGGAGTCCTGACCTTTTTCGGTTTTATGAGCTACGACCCCAACCTTCAGCCTAAGTTCCAGAAAGACGGCAAGCCCGCCGCCTCTTATGCCGTTAAACTAGCACTAAGCGGCACCATCTCGTTGCTGATTGGAGTGTTTCTCTGTGGGTTAGTCGTCGAAAGAAGCACAGAAGAGGAGGTTTATAAAGCCAAGGAGGACCATGAGATCCGCGTTTACTGGATTCAACAGAGCCAGACAGTCAGTGATCAAGTCTTTGAATCCTTTGCTATATTTCCGAAGCAAGAGCTCCGTCTTGAGAGCATAACCAAGTCAACTCGGCATCCAGATTTTCACAACGCCTCAAAAGGCGGCAGGACGCCTACGAGTACATTCGGTGTTCTTCGGACCCTGGCAGCTTCATTGCTGTTGAAAATTATTCACCTTCTCTTCTGTATCGGTGTTCCTGCGAGCATCAGCAAGTCAAGTTGGTATCAATATATTGTCAAAGCCGCTAAAAACATCAAGATCAAATTACAAGGGATGACCATTTTCGGTCTCATTTTCGGTTTGTCTGGATTCGTCATCCAATTCATTGGTCTCAGAGCCATGAATTCGGCTGCGTCACTCACACAGCTGGGTGCCGTCGCCGTCATGACCGCATGTCGAGCATTCGCCCGACCTGGGTACTCGAGTAGTTTTGAGAGAGAAAAGCTCCTCTCTGGATTCGAACTCGACTGGTTAGCCTGGAAGCTGGTGACGGAGAAGAGAAATGCTCCAACTGGTCAAGAAGGTGAACCACGATCCAGTGAACAACCACGATCCAGTGAACAACCACGATCCAGTGAACAACCACGATCCAGTGAACAACCACGATCCAGTGAAACACCACGATCCAGTGAACAACCACGGTCCAGTGAACAACCACGATCCAATGAGCAATCAAAGTCTGACAAACCGATTGCTGGATCTTGGGCTGTGCTCAGTGACGAAGCGTTTAAGTACAAAGCTTTAGAGCCACTCACCAAAGATGATGGCAAAGAGACGGAAGCACACGAGCTACTAGTTGCACGTCGAGAGCTTTGCAAACTCGCCAAATTTCAGGGTCAAACGTCGACAGAAGCCATTAATCTCGCCATGGCAATTGAGGCAGCTCTACACACTTTATTTCCAGGAGGCCCTCCTACGTCGACTGCTGGGGAATCTTCCAAATCAGGCACATGCCCTCCCGAATCGACTGTTGAATCTTCCAAGTCAGACATACCAACTTCTAAACCGACTGCCAAGGGATCTCCTAACCCAGACGCATCACCCACTAAACTGACTGCTGGGGGATCTCCCAACTCGAAGATACCAGCTTCTAAACCGACTGCTAAGGGATCTCCTAGCCCAGACGCATCACCCTCTAAACTGACTGCTCTGGAATCCTTCAAATCAGGCGCATCGCACAACCGAAAGCGCGAAGGCTTTCGTTGGCTGGTCAATGTCACACACAGCGGCTCAGATTTGACTAATAAGCAAGAAACTCAAGAAGAAGTGTGGTTTGATCTGATATACGCTGATAATTCCTGGCACGTGCTGGCAGACAGCCTTGATGCAGCACTCTCACTGTGGGTTTACACACAGCAGCAGCCTGACAGAATCAAGGATAGAAACACCAACTGTGTGGGCAAAGAGAATGACAAGTGGCTCCGTCGCAAAGTGCCACAGCCATGTTTGAGATTGATTGATCCGGGCATTGAGCTCAAAGCACAACTTCTACAAGACCTGGAATTGTGGGTACAAAACACCGAACCTCTAATAGAGGTTGAAGAATATGCAGGCTTGAAGGATGGACAGACACAGCCCACGAATTCCAAAAATTTCGACACGGCCAGAGTGGTTGGTTCAACCAGCAAAACGAATACTCAAATACGCCTCTTCCGGGTCTTGCGTCCAAGCGGGAAAACTCACACGACGACTCTTGCAATCGAGTCGCGGGATTCGCTCGAACACATATACGCCAAGGACCTCCTCTTCTCCTTCATGTGCTCAGCTGCAAAGACACCTGGTGCAGCCATCAAGGGTGGAGCTGAGTTGCAAACAACCGCTCCTCGCAACCGAGCCCCCAAAAAGCTTTGGCATAAAGAGTTGACGAAACTGGCCGAATCATTTGGGTCGACAAGTTTTAAAACTAATCAACAAGCGCTGATCAGCATCATCGCGCCTCTTAGCCTGGGTGGGATTCTGCCGTTTCCACACGCTTTGCTAGAATCAATAAGCAATGAAGCTACAGAATATTGGCAATCGGGAAATGAATTGGATGCCTTTAACATCTACCGTGGTCTTATAAGACAAGTGGCCCCCTATTCAGGGGGGAATAACGGCGTTTATGAGTCCACGTTAACATTCTTATTCGAAGTGCGAAATGACTCCGCGTACCAAGCTCGTTCTCTGATGACACGCGGCAAACCAGTGAATCAACTCATGCCCACTTTCGACACTCTCCTCCTTGCCGATATCGAAGACAGCATGAAAATGCATAATGTGAATAAAGAATTACTTTGCGAACTTGAACGGCTCTTCAAGATGTCAAGGCGGCAGCTGATTGCTGATTTTTCAAGATTCACTTGTCGAGGAGACAAGAATTCTAATGCATATGATAACATTAACAGTCATCATGGGCTCCCCACAAACACGTTTCCACGATATTTCAACCTCGCCCAATCACACACTCGTGCATTAGAGGGTTCATTCACTGAGAAGCAAGTCGACAAGAGAGACTTTTGCGGGCGAACTCCAATCCATTATGCCGCAATGAACGATACAAACTGCAAGGCTCTAACGAACTACTTCTCAGGATACCGCAAGGATGTCGATATCAACGTGAAGGATCACCGCGGATATACCCCATTACACTATGCGTGTGAACTTGGTAGAAATGAGAATGTGCGTGTCTTCTTGGATTTCCATGCGAAGCTTGACAATCAAGGCAGTGATGGCATGTATCCCCTGCATTTAGCAGCTCGCGAGGGGCATGTGGAAGCAGTCAAAGCCATTCTAGGCACAGACGCACACCAGAAATTGACAGGCACACAACAGAGATTGGCAGACTACAACGGTTATTTGCCGGTACATTGGGCTGTGATCAATGGCCACGCGGAGATCATACAGCACCTGGAGGCAGACATTAATGTGGCCAGTGCACAAAACGAGACCCCGCTTCATCTAGCCGTGCTGCACAACCAAAAGGACGTTGTCAGGGAGCTTGTCAAGCTTCAAGTGAACATGAAAAAGACGAACAATGACGGCGAAACGGCCTTATCGTTGGCCCGTGACATGGGCAGAGTGGAAATTGCTGAGCTGATCGAGAAAGGCGCGAATCCCAAACACGTCGGTTGATTCGCTGGCACCCCACTCCACGGTCTGAGTCGTCAATATTAAGACGCAGTGCAGTAGAGATTTTCAGAGTTGCGCAAGGCAGATGACGCTTTGGTAAAGAAGAACGGTGCACACCCTTAGGCTAAGCATTCGGAGGACGAGATACTAATTGATGTTACCGAGGGTTGCGAGTTTTTGGAGCTCCGGTAGTATTTGGAAACGTTACCCCAATAGTCTCCGTAAAAACCCATAGTAGGGTTAGCAGTTACTTCACGAGGATCGGATGAGATAGCTCAATCAAATTTGGCAACAAGTTACGCAAAGGTACCAACAGTTTATCAGCGATCTCGCCCTTGCTCAGCGAGGGACCTCCGTAGATCGGCCTGGGCATAGGGTAGGTGAAATTCTGCGATGGTACATTGTCCCCGCAGAATGACGTGATGCGTGAAAAGTCTACGCAGTCATCAATGATAATTGCATATTTTGCTACTCTCTTAGCGGATCAATGGGTTTCTTGATCTGACCCGTCGCAAAATATCAACTCTCAAGGGCTTGAAGTAGGATCTGCATAGAGCTACAGCAGATGCCTCATCAAGGCCTGCGGAAAATGTTCCGGCGGACAAGGATCCTCATAGATTCTGGGGAGTTAAAACTTTGCGATCCAATAAGATTGGCAATGCATAATCTTTTGATGGTCCTTTGCCCCATCTAACTTAGCTTGTGGGCGGAAAGGGTCCAACTGCCCCGGAAGTCTCCCAGATAAATACAGACCTGTTCCGAGGTTACTTATTCCCGAGCTCCCTTTTCTTTGCCTCTAGACACTGAGAAATGCTGGCTGGAGAGTAGCAGCCATGTCTGCTACCGACCGCTCGACCGAAGAAAAGGTCGAATCGCCCGACGATCTGATCCGGACAGCCTCCGGATCCAGGAAAGGTACCTCGGAGACGAGTGTCTCACAGGAGAAAAACGACGAGCCGGACCAAGCCGTCATTCTGTCCAAATATGAGACCAGTTGGGTGCACAGGCTGCTCACGCCGCCGAATTGTCGATGGGATCCCAGTGTATCTCATAAATTGACATATTCACTGTGTATACTGTATGCGACGGTACGTAATTCCGAAGCGTAACCCCAATTTCTGGTTCTGCCCAAACTGACCAAGATTGCAGGCTGCCAGTTTTACGGTTGCCAATCTCTACTATAACCAATCTATTCTCAATAAAATCGCCGAAACCTTTGGCGTGAGCTATGAGACCTCGTCCCAAGTCCCTACGCTGATGCAGGCCGGGTATGCCTCTGGTCTCATTTTTGTACTTCCATTGGGAGACATTCTGGAGCGGCGGTTTTTCATCATTGGCCTGGTCTCTTTCACGGCTACCATGGTAAGTTTAAAAGCCTTCAGACTGTTGAATTCACTATGGACACGATACTGACTGCACTGTAGTGGATTGGCCTCTGTGTAACGAACAACTTCACTGCCTTCAGAGCCATTTCGTTCATCTGTGGCATGACCACCGTGACGCCGCAGCTCATGGTGCCTCTCGTGGGCGACTACGCTCCCCCGAACCGCAAGGCAACGTCGTTGTCAATCGTCTCGTCTGGACTCATGCTGGGTATCCTCATCGCCCGGCTCCTGGCTGGAGTGGTTGCCAACTACACTGCCTGGCGCAACATCTATTGGTTAGGATGCGCAATACAGTTCCTATTGGCGATCCTCCTCTTTGCCTTCTTCCCGGACTACCCTTCCACCAATCCGGACGGTCTCAACTACTTCAAAGCTCTGTGGACCGTCATTTACATGATGTTGACTGAGCCGCTACTCATCCAATCAGGTCTGATGGCTTTCTGTATCTCGGGTGTCTTCACGTCGTTTTGGACCACGTTGACTTTTCTGCTCGCCTCGCCCCCCTTCGAGTATTCATCGCTCCAGATCGGGCTCTTCTCCCTGCTCATTCTGGTAATCGTGATTGTCATCCCAACTCTGGGCCCCTTCATGGATCGCTACGAGCCGCTTCTACCCCTCCTGTGCTGTGGAGCCATTACCATCATCGGCGTCATCATCGGCACCTTCACGGGCACGTTCTCAATCGCCGGTCCCATCATCCAGGCAATTTGCATCGATATCGGTCATCAAATGGGCGCCATTGTCAACAGGACGGCCATCTTCACCATCAACCCCAAGGCACGGAACCGACTCAACACGGCGTATATGGCCTGCGCGTTTGCAGGGCAACTGACCGGGTCGGCTGTTGGCAACAGGCTGTATGCGCAGGGCGGTTGGAGGTACAGCGGATACTGCAGCAGTAAGTTCTCCCACGCCATGAAAAAGTGATGATCGTTGTGCTAATTTGTTTCAGTCGGCCTGGTGACTGCTATGATCTTGTTTGCCTTGGCCAGGGGACCACATGAGACTGGATGGGTTGGCTGGTCTGGGGGCTGGGAGCTTCGAAAAGTGCGTCCGGCGAAGGTGGAGCAGAGAAGTGATGGTGAGCAAACTGCGTAAGAGTGCCATAGTTCACGATAGAATATAGAGTGTTTTTCTTATGACTTACGCGTCATTCTTTCTGGATGGTGTGAATTTCTTGCTTCCCGTGTATGCATCAGACTTTCTTTCCAGGTTACAAAGTAGTGAAGTGTCTCATGCTTACATAGGTAGTTTGCTAAGGCTAGGTGAACGGCAAATTTGTAGCCCAATTTCTCAATCCAAAAATCTTGTGGTTTACCCCTACAGAGCTTTTCGTCTCGTTATTCGCTTCCATGGTCTTCCTGAGTTTTCTCCTTTCCTGCTCGCCCCTTTCATCGCATGTTGTACATGATTTCTGTTCTCCACCCCCGACTTATTCCAGAAGCTCCCACTCATCCTCGGGCTCATAGTCCACAATGACTACGTCGGGTTCATAGTCCACAATGACTCCCTCATCCATGTCGTCCATGTAAGTCTTGCCGCAGCCATGCTTGGCCATTCCGTTTGCCTTGGGAAACTCCATCTCGGTCTCGATCGCGTTCGCAAGATCGTCAATGATTGGCTTTCGGATGGCCACATTGGTCTTTCCGAATCGAAGGGGCGCGGTGAAGAACTTGTCGTAGTAAACTCGAAGCGTAGTCTTGGGGACGAATACAGCCTGGTCCCAGATCATGGCGGCTGGCTTCACAAAGTCGGCGATCACTTGCTCGAGGGGGAAAGTCGGATCGAGGGAGACTACCAGAGTCTTGTTGTCAATTTCAGTCACGGCGACGTATCCTTCGATGACCTCGATTTCGTTGCGTGAAAGGATCTGCTTGTCGTTCTCTGAATACTCCAGATCGAAAGCCATGAGAGGAATGCGGGTTCCAAGAAGTTTGCTGAGTGTCTTGGTCAAGGTGACAGCGAACATGTGTTGAGTAATGTTGTGGTGGTTGACTCGACCATCACCAGCTTTCTCATCGACCAGGAGATCGCCATCGAGAGTACCAAGTCCAAGACAAAGCACCTTCGAAACTTCTGGCAGCTTCGGGGCGAGAAGTTTCAGAGATCGAAGCAGCTCTGCGTGATCGGGGTTGCTGCCCCAAGTGAGCCAGCCGTGGTTCCAAGCAGCTTGAATCTTGCGAAGATCGCGTTGTTCAGCATCCCTGGATACTGGCGAAGTCGTGTTCGGGAATTTGGTCATCGTCTCTCGTTCGTTGTTGAGGAAGTCGCTGGTGAAAGCCATCTCGGCCATCTCGTCGATGTCAGGCGTTGTGATTTGGCTATTGCGTTCTCAGCATGAAGATGGACAGTAGGTGCGGGTAGGTCGAACAGGTCAGTCTGGGATTCTTGAGAAAGGATTTACTTACGTGATGTATTCCACGCGAGGATGTGGTGCTCTTGAAGATGAAAGTGGATGCGTGTAGGCTCTTCGAGAGATGAAAGCTTCAAGCTGTGGCGGTTGGAGAGATGAAAGAAGTAGAGGGTTGATGAAAAGAAGAAGTTGAAAAAGAAAGGAGGTGAAGGGTCGAGAGAAGAAGTAGGGCTGAGATGGAAGAGGAAGCACGCTAGAGCTCTGTGCAACCACCAACCTGCCGGCATGTGATGCGTGAGTGGCTCGCTTCGCGTTCAGAAAACGCGAGCTATTGCCAGCGCGTCATCATGGAGAGGAATACTTATTGGTTAAATGGATGTACCTTTTGCTAACTGCTATTGTACGGTCTTATGTACTACAGACGTCCTTATTTGCTACTGAAGGTATAAACTAGAGGCAAGAATATGTTTCGACCTGGTACGAGGGTGGACTGCCCGTTCGCTGTTTCAAAGTCCGAAATCTCCAAAAGGTTCAGTTATTTGTCAAAAAGACGGCAATTAACTTCCGGGAACGAAGAGGACTAAATTCAGGTTGTTATTAAAGGAGGAACAGATGCAGTTCGAACGAGAACTGAGTGGGTTTCGTAAAGAAGGTGTGCTGATTGTTAAACGTCATTAAACAGAGAGCTGTAGTAGAGTACCAACCTCCAAAATTATATTCAGTTTCGTGGTCCTACTCATCCTAAATGTAACTAGCTAGAATATCTCGTTGCTTCAATTTTGTTTAACAGATCATTTTGCTTTGGAACTTTGGAAGTCCATAACTTGGTTTTGTGAAGTAGAAGGCGAGGCAAGAAGAGTTCGTGTTTCTTTTCTTTTTTAAGGTACAAATATGTCCTTCACTTTCAACTACTATCTTTCGGTCATGAGTACATTCTCTCCCTACACTTATCGAGAAGCAAGGCCCTCACCTAGGTAGTTAAGGGAGGCGAAAAGTATGTGACCGCAAAGAAAGAAAAATGATAGAAAAGAGAGGAGAAAAAGAACTAGGTAGAATAAGAAGCATCCTAACTCATCATCACAAGAAAAAGAAAAGTTTCATCATTTGAGAGCTGTTTTCTTATGCGGGCGATAAAAGATTAAACCAAGTGCGCATGCCCGTCGGATACCAGTGGCTGGTACTGGGGATCTAGATTTAGACTTAACTTTGAGTTATGTGACACGATTATGGTGCTCAACCTTTTTCTACGAGCATCAGTGTGAAAACTCATCTTGGATAGGTTGTACGACGCGGGAGGCTGGATCTCCACTAAGGGTATGTGTTACTGGGCAACCAAAACAACTGGCACAACAGTTCACGTTTCAGTTCACTGTCTATGTACAGATGAAACTTTCATAAGCGTGGTCAGCACTTTATACACGTGAGAGCTACTGGCCAAGCTAACACACTTTTCAAAAATCTTGCGGCAACTTGTCTTCGACCGGATCAAACGCGCAGTCAGGCTGACGATACCTCCCTCTGGGAAGAATACGTCTTTCTTTTTGCGCTTTACATTTGTTGATCACAAAAAGTCTTTGTTCTGCTTAAGGAAAAGGATACTTGTATTATTGTTTCTATGAAAATTGTGCCAAGGATCTAACATTGGCCATTATGTGTTTGTTGCGTGGAAGTCTCTCGTACTTTTCTGTTCATATCCTCCGTTAAGGAGGGTTTCTCAAGCGCTTGATTCCCAACGCCTCCTTGCTACCATCATGTGAATACATCCTCATTGATCTTGTTGACTCATAAATCTGACGACCTTGTCCATTTAAAGGGCCATGGCGGCGGCAACGGCGGCGAGACCCATGACGCCATATCGCTGGGCATCCATGGTGGGAGCGGCAGCCCTGGCAGTAGAGGTAGCGGCAGCGGAAGCGGCAGACGAAGCTGCAGAGGCGGCAGAGGAGGCCGCAGCAGTGGCTCTGGAAACAGCAGATGAGGCGGCTGAAGCGGCAGAAGAAGCGGCAGCAGTAGCCTGAGACGCGACAGAGGAGGCAAGAGAGCCACTGGGGGTGAGGGCACGGCTACTGGCGGAAGGGATTACTGCCTGAGAAGAGGCAGCAGAAGCGGCACTAGAGGCACGAGAGGCGCCGGAGGAGACGGCTGCGCTGGCACTGGATGATGCGCTGGCAACGGCTGACGAGATGACACTGCTGGCTGAGGCACTGACACTGGCAGATGCACTGGCCGAGGCACTGCCTGCACTGCCAGTAACTGATGCGCCACCAGCTCGGGTGGTGCTGATGATGCCGTTAGGAGCACTGGGGGCCGGTTAGTATCACCTCAGGTTACACGGTGTAACACAACATCCGCCATGAGAAACAACGGCTCCTCAAGACGTGTTGCGTAGAGACGTACCTCGACTGGGCAGCAACGGGAGCCACGACCAAGGCGGCGACGCTGAGGAGAGCAGTGACCTTCATCTTAACGATAGTTTGTAAGTCGGAGAGACAGATCAACTAGAAATAGACTGCGGTAATGGAGTAGAGACTGATGGTTTAGACTTCGGTATCGATTCGAGCAAAGTAGAGCGGAGGGGGCCATTTATACCTTGAACTCGGAGCCAGAACAGAAGAAGCAAGGTCGGTGAGCAAACTCAAACCCGGGCTTCAGGCCTCCATGGCGACGATCAACAAACAATAGAACAGCTGGATAACGCAAGCGCTACTGCCCAGTGGCGTTATCCGAGAGCCACACACCATGTTGTCCAGCAACAGTTGCTCGATGCTCGATATGCTCACGCTATGCGCGGGTTCGGTCTCACCTAGATCCACCAGACGAGAGCTACATCTTAGCCCCAGCTGAGATGAAAGCCACTGGCTGAAAAGATGGAATGTGGGGTTGAGCGTATGGCCGGAAGCTATTCTTTCAGCCCGGTTCTACTGTCCGGACGCATGCGTGAGAGCCTTACGGTGATTGATCCGATGCGGAAACTGTGTGGGAGGAGTACCTGATCTAGGCTTCAGATCTGCATTGCACCAAGAACGACGGACAAACTCAATTCGCTTCTCCGGTCTGCCATTCCGTTCTCCTTCTCTTTGCGTCAAGCTCATACACTGCTCATAAGAAAGCCCGGCCACCTTTCCGGCTTGGTGGCGGATGAGTCTGAGACAGGAGAGGCCAAGGCGATGGTCTCAGAAGCCAGCCGTCTTTTCCGCTTCGCATTGGCCACATCCCGTATGTTTCTGACAGGGAGAGGTGAAGCTACTCGCCTCCCAGCTGTGACAGCTTGCCTGGAGCACTGCTGGCCAGTTGTTCCTGTTGACGTGATACGCTTCTGCCAATGGTACCAAGCCACGGGCCGTACTTCCTCCTTCCCACCAATGGGCTTTAGCCTTGTTCGGCTCTACGGCACCGCTTAGACTGGTCTCGAAGGGGCTGAAAGTGTGTTCTGGATCTCTGTCTCAGCTCTGCGGTGTCCTCTTCCATTTCAAGCTCTGGCTCCTCGATCGATGTTACGAGGGCCAGGACTATTTACCCCGGATCGGGCGTTCTACCTCATTAAGCTCCCCATGAACACGTTCTTTGTCCCCAAAGGCACAACGGTGAGGTCAATTGGCCCGTCAGTCAAGTCCAGCCTCTCCCCCCCTGCCACCAACATTCCAGCGTAGCTGATCGCGGGAAATATTGCGACATCACTAGCGTATGTGTAGCTAAGAAAAGAAAAGGCAAAAAAAGGTTTACTGGTTCCAGAGCATAACCAGAAGAGGAATCGGGGCTGATGCGAACTGTACGCTTTAAGCTGCTGCCGAAATTCCATTAGCAAACCTACCGCATCATCAAGCAAATTTCTGCTGAAGAGAAAAACTTGAATTCAGGTCCGATTCCAGCTGAAGCCGTGTCATGACCCAGGATGCGTGAGGCTAGCCAAGGCTCCGGTGAATTGGCCTCGTCGATCGGAACTACACCACCCGTCTGACGCGGGGAACACATGGATGGCTGGCTGGACGGCGTCTGCCGCAGTAAGCAAGCTATAGGATCCTTCCGCCAATAGTCCGTAGGCCGCTGATCTACTAGTAGCAGCAGTATGGGGTCATGGAGGCCGCCGAGCTGCGCTTGTAGGTGGCCATTCATTGTCGTTGGACAATGATGCCGTAAGATACACGAACAATGATATCAATTGATCATCCGGTCATCAGCAAGGATCTTCAAATGTGCCGATCGGCGGATATGGTACCGATCACAGATGGAGACCAACACTCCGGGTCTGGTCGAGAGTGTTAGTGTCTTTTCTTTATAGTTGAACTTGGTCGACGCCTGTGCTTGCAGTCGCGGACAATATGGGTGGAATGTCATCAGCCACTGGCTGTGCAGCGGGCCTCGACCTCTCGGGATGATGCTATTACCCACGGGACAGGTTAGGGTGGTATCTCTAGTTTTGCGTTTGGGTAGAAACTATCTTTTCCGAGGACATTACACCAGCCACCCCCACGAGACGAGCGCTCGTGGTCCGGCCAACAAGTCCGAGATTCTATGCATAACTTCTAGCTTATCTATTACAGCATTGGATAAAAATCAATGATTTGTCAAGAAGTGGTGGAAGTTGTGATACACGGAGCCTTGTCCGAAGAGCTAAGAACTACTCATTCTAAGCCGATGGACAAAGGGCCCATGTGCTCTACCTTGTAAGTAGCTCAGCTACCAATCCCTTCTCGCAATTAGTGCCCAGGAGTCCTCCAAATATCTTCAAATGTTTTAGTGAGAATTAGTTGGTGATGATCACTCACGTCATTGAAGATATCATCATCAAGCCGGTCTGCCGGGAGGATCGACAAAACAACATCCAAGCTGAAGATGGCGAATCGTTCACTTCTTTCCTGTTCTCTGCATATGACCATTGACAGTAGTTGAGGTATTTTCTGGGAGCAAGTCAATTCAATTTCTCACTAACTGGTATGCTT